ATACTTCAGATGGTTCAAAATAGAGCTGCCAGGATGCTGTTGGGGATTGGGTGTTATTCTCATATAACCCCAGTCCTCTGTCAGCTCCATTGGCTTCCCATTCAAGTCCAGGCTCAATTCAAGGTGCTGGTTATTACCTATAAAGCCCTAAATGGCTTGGAATCAGGATACCTAAAGGAACACCTTTTTCCCTATTTGCCCTCCTGCCCCCCTGAGATCGGCAACAGAAGCCCTCCTCCGGGAACCCTCTGTGAAAGATGTTAGGAGACAGAGTACCCGGAGGAGGGCCTTCTCTGCGGTGGTGCCCAACTATGGAATGTACTCCCCAGAGAGGTCCGCCTGGCACCGTCATAAATTTTTCAGCGCCACGTTAAGACCTTTTTATTTAATCAATATTTTAATATGTTTTAATATCGAATTTTATTACTATATTTTATTAATTTGCAGCCAGAGTGGGTTGTCAATGTATTTATGCTGTTAGCCGTCCAGTGACATTAGTATTTCGATGGCATACAAATTCTATAAATAAATAAATGTCAGAACATCCAAATGTTCTGCATATAGCTGTTACTTTTTGAAAGAGAAAGGAAAGTTTTATTGTATTGAATATTTTTAGTCCCTGGAGTTGTATAGATTGATGATAAGCATATTTAAGTGAATATCTGTATTTAAGTAAATAAATACCTAATTTTAGGCAATGGAATATGGCCAGTAGTTTTCACATCTTTCTTGGCTAAATAAAGGATTAATAGTTATCTTATTCCCTTTTGGGACTACCAGTTCCATATTCCCTTACCAAAAGCCATTCTGCCTGGTGCATATGAGAATTGTAGCCCAAAGCACAGGGCACCAGGTTCATAATGTACAGTGGCATGAAATGCACATTCAGCATCCTATGGACTACCAGGAAATGTGTGTAGGTGGCAGCACTGCAATACAATTACAAGTGCTACTGAAGCAGTATCTGCATGTTGTGCTTCCATAGGAGATTCTGGAGTGACATAGCCAAATTCTGAGGTTCTTGGTATTTTCCCCAGAAATCCCAACCAAAGATAGGGCCTGAGGGTCCCAAGGAAAATACACCTTTTATGGCGCTTCAGGTAGAAAAGTGGAACGTTTTCATGTATTCACTGATAACTCTGTGGTTTGTAGCTGCTCAAATAATGCTGGCAAACACACCTGCAGGCTATATTTTTGTCTCCAAGGGAAATTGGAGGGCTTCAGACAACTTCTGATAGAAATCTCCAACAGCTGACTGCTTCCCCTCCTTCAGTGTGGGTGGTCTATAGGACAAAAAGAAAATTATCAGAGCCTGATCAGATCTTGCAGCTATGTCTGTGAGCCTGACATCACTGTCTGAAATGAGCCTTACTCTCACACACGCTTCGACCTGTTTCCTGTGTGAAGTTATGTTTATCACTAAACTTGGAGTCTCTTGTAATAACAAGTTAGGCAATACTGAAATTTAGAGGTTTGCTTTGAGCTCTCTAGACTTGACTATTACAAATTCCACCCCAAAGCATTGTGAGTAGATTTGTCATAAAGTACAGCAAGGTTAGGGAACAGATGGCCCTGCCGACTTTTTGAACCATAAATCTCATCATCCCTGACCACTGGCTAAGCTGGTTGATGGGAATTGGAATCTTAACATCTGGAGACCTATAGCTAGCTTGAGTATGATTTTTTTTGGCAGAAAGGCAAAAAAATAGTGATAGTTGTACTAGTGTAATCCTTCCTACATACAAATCCTCATACCTGACTTGGTAGTGAATAGGAAGCCAATGCAATTTCTTCAGCAAAGGAGTTGCCTCCTGACAACAGTTGAGCTGCTGCATTCTGCACTAGCTCCACCTTATGGACCAGCCTTAAATGCAGCCCCACACAGAGTGCTTTACACTAATCTAGCACTGAGGGTATTGACACCTGGATGGTAGTGGCCAAATTCTGCATGTCTAGGAGAGGCTGGTGCTGGTGTACCAGTCAAAGTTGGTCAAGGCCCTCTGAGCTGCCATTGCCAGTTGGGCTTTCAGCAACAGTGGTGATATATGTAGCCATAGCCCCAGTCTACAAGCGTGATCTTCCAAAAAGTTTAAAGCTGGCCCTTGCAGGGATCAAGGCTTCACTGGAGAGCATGTTAATCTTCAGGCCTCCTTGCAGGGTGCCTCTGAATGGCTACTCAAGAACACAATGGAGGCGTATTCTTTGTTGCCCACGCAGCTGCACCATTGGCAAAATGATGTGCTCATGGATGGTTTGGCCATCCGCAATTCTTACGAGATTTGTGCTGTATCCAACATTCAGCCTTTTAATCATCTACAGTTGCCCAGTATACCAGGGAGCAGTGCAAGCTCTAAAGCAGGACTCTCAGATATGATCAAAGCAATGGCCCTCCACATCTCACTGTTCCACTGTGAGACTAGGACCTCAGCTGGATCAGCAGTTCGCTCCATTGGAAAATCCCCCAAGCATTTGGAAGCCCATCAGAATTCACCAGCCTCCTGAGGCAGGTCATCCAAGTGGGTTCCCCATTGCTGCAGGGGGAACCAATGCTGTGAGTTCAAATCTCATGTCAGATAGAACATGTGAAGGGAAATGTCTGTCTGGCTAATGTATAAAAAGCGTAATGTTCTGCTGTCTAGGAAAAAAATCCAGATGGTGTGCTTTCCATATATAGTTTTTGTTATGAGCCAAGGTTCCTTCTATGCTTATTCAAAAAGCCAAAGACTGTTTCCCTTGCAAAGCAGTCCCTATTGACCCCAAAGCACAAATCACCCAAATGAATCTCTGAGCAGTTTCTTGAATCCAATCTAGAATTGACCTCCAGGAACTCTCCTTATCAGCATGCCAGGGCCATATCCCTTTGTGAGGGGCCTTCTGAAAGCTTGGCTCCTCTCCACGTGCCACTCCTCTAGCTGGACCTCCCTCCTCTGCTGACATTGCATCATGTGGTCAAAAACTGGGGCTATCTAGTCTGAGAAACTCCCATTTCTCATGTCAGTGTCTAAGCATGCCCCCCTCCCAAGCTCCATTTAGATCTGCTTCACATTCAGATTCTTCTCAACCCGGGCCAGCAGTCTTTGAGAATGAGCACCCAAAGCCACAATCCTTCTTACTCCCAACAGTTTTTATGTTTATTGTAGGCACTGTCCATTCAATGTCTTAAGTAGTTAAATGCACAACAGCCATCTATTTTCTGTGCAAAGGTTAGGACAATTATCCTTTCAACTTGGCTCATTACAAACTTTTATAACCTTGCAAATAGCTGGGTTTTGGCCTTAAAGACTTGAGTGTGGCATTTAACAAGCTCTGTGTAGAACATAGACAAGGCAAGAAATAGTTTACATTATGGAGTTTAAATATTTGTAACTTCTCTCGATTTGTACAGTGTCTTTTGACAAACAGCATGTCACCTTAGGTTAGAGGAAAAGGTATATTATTGCTGAATCCCAGAAGAAGTGTGATGTTTTAATAGGTTTTGAAAAAAGTGCAACTCTTAAACCCCATTCTAGGCTATGGGATTTCATCCCCTCTGTTTGCAAGATGGAAGCAATCCAAGTGGATGTGAATGCACAGACCTAGATGTTGTAAAAGAAGGTTCTGAAAAGGCAGAAAAATATTAGCTTTAGTTGCATATATTCCATGTGCTTCTTCCAGTGAAGAGACAAATTTGATATTTAGGTCCATCACTCTGCTCCAAGGAAGTGGTGAAGGTAGAATTATCCACAGCCCAGGATACTACATCATGTGCATTTTTCCTAAATAGCATGTTTGTTAAGAGCATGGTCCTAACAGGTGTATTTCCCTGGGCATTTCATAGCCCTTAACATAACATGTTAAACAACTGGAAGGGTTGGTTGGTTGATTGATTGCTTTAGAACTAATGCCTGTTTGTGGAATGGAAAGCTACAGAAGGAAGGACTTCTGCTAGAACAACCTATCAGTGTTTTCTAAAGAAGAAAACGAATGCCTGCTCATTCCTCTCCCACGCTCCAGAGTAATGTGCAAGCACACAGCTTCCATGGCTTGTGAAGACAATGACTCATGCTTCCTGTCCTGTGACTCGCATTGTTAGGATGCAGACTGTTATCCCTTGTCGGTATTCAGAAGTTTTACAGGCATTGCTCGAATTCTTCCTTTCCTACCTTCCTATCTCAGCATCCAATTTAAACTCCTGTTTTTTCACTACAAAGGCCTATTTGTTCTCAGCCATTGATCTAGAAAGTGGATAAGCCTCACATAGACAAGGAAGAATGTTTCTGAATGCCTTGATCTCAGGAGGTTTCACCCTATTGATACCTCTGTGAGTCTTCAATGCACATGAAGATATCTGTGTTATCAAGGAGTTCTGAACTGCTTAGAGAAGCAGTGCAGGAACAGGAGCTCTGTGCATATGGAGAGCCCAAGCATCTCTTGGATTGAACCTATTGATAATTACCTAGCAGTTCCTGTGAATTTACAAGAGCTGAGCTGGACAGGACACTTCCCAGGGCACTCATTCATAAGGTTTCCATAAGTAACAACACAACAGGAAACTGGAATGTGTGTGTGGCAAAAGTAAATTTGTGGAAGCCCTGAGTCTCTAAAGGTTGATGATCACCGAAGACCTTGGAAATCTTTATAAATAGTAGTAAACAAACACACACTTTTGTAAATAACTGGTTAACATGTACTGAGCAGATAAATTTGACCTAAAGATTGTTTCTCTCTACTCTGTATCTCTCCTTCCTGTCTATTGACAGAACATTAATTTTTATTTTGTATTTTTTTAAGTTTTAAAAAACAGATTTGCATATAAAGTAAGTATTCATTTTGGGCAGTTCACAAAGAAGAAATGCTAAGTGTGGGGAAGAAACCTGGAACAGGGTACAATTAATGCTTGTAAAAGAACATTCCTGTGTGTGGAAAAATACAATTTTCTCCACAGTCATATTACTCAAAAGAATTTCCCCATAGCAGAGGAGCTGACCTTGCATGTAATAACCTCCTTTTATGTTCACCTGTGTGTCACTACAGTTTCTAGACTGTAGCACATACAGATAGTATATTAAGATGACAAAACTGGAAATGCCCAATCAACAAAACACTGTAGCCTCCAGTTCTTACTCCCACCTATAGAAGGGCTGCCTTTTTCCTGTGTTGCATAATCAGATGACTAATATTACTTGAGTCATAAAAATTAGCTTGATCCAGTCAGAGCTCTACCAGGAGACATGCTATAGTAGAATGACTACATGTTAAACTTTCCCTCTTGTTTATATTCCCTTTAGGCTGGTGCTGTCACCATTCCAGCTCACTGTTTGCTTATTGTCTCCTGAGCAGGGAGAGGCGGAGACACAGCAGAGGAGGCTATAACGAAGTCAGCCCACCTTTTAAAACTTCCCAGGAAGTGGGAGAGGTTTGCAGCTACTTGCAGTCTTCTCTACAGGTACACTGCATACTGGCTGCAGGTCCAACATGGAGGAAGGAAGTGGAATATTGAAAGAGGGGTTTCTGGTTAAAAAGGTAAGGTGCCTTCAAGATTATCTCTGGGTGGTATCAGACTTCAATTCTCCTTTTTTCCAAAGCAAACGCACAAGAGGGAGAGTCAACTTTTCTCCACACAAAAGTGAGTTCACAGTAAGTTAGTGATCTTCAACTGCTTTTCAAAGGTGGCATGGTCTCTGTAGTTGCCAGGCGAAGGGCGAGAAAGCCGGCTTGCGTACATGCTAACCTTCAGCTAACTTTCCTTTCTTGCTGTGACCTGCAGCAGCTCATTCCTTGTCAAGTCTAATCTTGCATATGCTTCTTCATAATTCACTCTCCTGAACTGATCCTAGACTAGCAGCTCCTAGCATAATCCAATATTGCTTTTTCCTTCCAAGCTACAAGTCAAATTGTGATTGACTTTCCTTACTATCAGGAGTTGTGTCTTTCTCCTGTGTCTACATTTGCCATGTTCTACCCACAACTGCGGGCATGATGTAAATTCTGTGTGTTGGGGCATCTGAAGTTTGGCACATATTCACTATAATCCTTACAGGGGGTGCCATTTTATGACCCCATTTAATTTTCTAATAGAGCCTTTAAATTAATAGTAAAAGTATTTCCCCATTATTTTTAGTGTGATTATTTCTAATGGGTAATGCTGGAAATCCCTCATGCTAGCACAATATAAGTAACATTTCACTGGGACTCAGGAGATCTGAGTGCCGGTCCCTAGTCAGCCACGGAGCTCACTGGAGGACTTTGGGCCAATCACAGGCACTCAGTCCAACCTACCTCACAAGACTGTTGTGAGGATGAGATTAGGGGAATTATATAAGACATCCTGAATTCCTTGGTGGGAAAAACTGTGGGATATAAAGAAATAAAGTTGCTTAGGAGGAACCGCGTAATTCCATCTGTATTTGATTGCCCTATATTGCTTTCTTAATTGTGTCATATCAATTTCAGCATGATTTTAGGGTTGTTGTTTTTCTTTAATTGTAGGCAGAGTGCTCCTATGGCCCTTCAGCAGCACCTAGATAGTTATTAGGGCTGTTCGGAATCCCACGTCTGAGGTTGCAAAGTTGTTCCAGACTCTTTGTGGAGATATGTGCTTGGATCCCCTGCCTTTCCTTGCTCACAGCCAGCCTAGAAAGAACCATGCAGGCTGACTCTTCAAGGCTGCAAAAACAAGCTCAGGAAAGGGGTTTGCTGCAGGCTCAGACAGGCAGGGAGGGGAGGAGACCAGCAATGACAAACACAATGTGTCCTGCTGGTGCTTCAAACTCTTTCGCTTCCCTTTCGGACTGCTATAGATAGATGGCCAAAATCTGTTGTCGAGCTATTTTGCAGAGCTCTGCAAAAGTTCCCCTTAATCCTCCAAGTCTGGATGCTTGCACGCATCCTCACAGGACTGCATCCTCAGAGGCCATGTGCTGCCCCGCTTGGGTACATCCCCTCTAGCAAAATTTGCCCTAAAGGGGTAATGGACAGCATTCCACTTGCTTCACTGCCAGACCAGACTAGCCCCACATGCTTTGCTTGCAGATGTTATAACTGAGTGGATTATTTCTGGGAGCATTGTGGGGTAGCCAAACATCATTTGGGGAGTGCCTTGAATATGTTGAATGGCCAGGATTGTGTATAAAGATCAGGACCACATTAAGAACTAAGTGTGAAATCCTATGTGGGTTAGACAGAAGAATGTCTTACGACTGCCAGCATTTCCCACCTAGCTCTGCTGCTGGGAGATGATGGGAGTTGTTGGACCTTTTTGCTACCTAAATATGCATAGGATTGTCCCCAAAATAAGCATATGAATTGCCACAAATAAAGAGTGCATCTATGGGCAAGACTAAGGCAGGTTAATGTTGTGTTTAAGCTGCTCCTGAAACACTGCTTTTGTTTGCAGGGTCATGTTGTCCACAACTGGAAAGCAAGATGGTTTGTTCTTCTTCAAGACCGGCTACTCTATTATAAAGTTGTGACAGGAAAGAAAGAATCTTCTCCAAAGGGTAGGATTCTTCTGGATGGCTGCATCATCACCTGCCCATGTCTAGAGTACGAGAACAGGCCGGTATGTCCAATGCTGTCTCCCCGTTTTATGCACCATTATTGTTTTGTTGGCACCGGAAAATTCAGACCAAACTGAATTAAGTGCATGCTATCACAAATACAACAGCAAACCCACAGTTTTCCACAGTCCTGATCTAGGAGAAAGAATGATTACATGTGTTGATGATTGGACCAATAAAGCTTTTAAGGATGTCTTCCTCTTATGTGGTCAGCATTTCAAATAAATGTTTGAATGATGTAGAACTATAGCTGTAGATATTTTGACTATAGGTCTAAATCTGTTTGTTTCCTGTGATGCTCTTTTGCAGTTGGTCATTAAACTGAGGACAAAAAACAATGTAGAGTATTTTCTTGACTCTTCCTCTCGTGAAGAGCGGGACTCATGGGCATTTGACATAACTGGTGCCATTCACGCTGGCCATCCAGGGCAAGTTCAGCAACTTCACCTCATGAAAAATTCCTTCAAACTGCCCTCTAATATCAGCCTTAAGTAAGTGTTAAAGAATTCCTTGATTTGTTTTTGGGTGGGAGTATTGTGTGTTGTGTGCTTAAAGGAAGTAACTCTCTGTCACTGCTTTCCCATTGTTTCCCCAACCCAGCATGTGGGACCACTATGGAAAACCCATGTGAAAGTATCTTTCTACAAATGTCATTGTTGTTTCTAACACCTGCTACACACATTGATTTATCTATTAGGTTTATGCCCCACCCTTTTTCTTACAAAGAACTCGACGCAGCATACATAATATTCTTCCCCTTGCTCTCAATCTTATCCCCACAACGGAAAGTTGCCCAGCTGGCTCCATGGCTGAGCAGGGACAAGAACCCAGGTTGCCTGAGAACCCAGGTTGCCTGAGTCCCAGTCCTGCGCTCTTAACCACTGCACCACACTAGCTCTTATAGACATATACACTTGTGTTTGTGTACACATGCACGTGGAACAGTTGATTCTCTACATGTGATCAACCTTGCTCACTGGTAGCTACAAGCGAACTAACTCCCTCAAAACATATTTCTTCTGAGGCAACATGAGATTGGCCCTGCTGTTTCTGATGGCCTGTTCAGAGATGCAAGTCCTCACTGGATGGAATGTGCATGTTGAAACCAGCGCCACGAATGCACCTTATATTCCCCCTAACCCTAATCCTAACCCATTATAGAATTCACTTTGATCAATCCCAGACACTTCGTTGCTGTCTTTGTCAAACTTTGCCTGATTCACAAAGAGGTCATTTTTAAAACACGGAGGAGAGTTACCATGACACATGGGCTAATACTAACTGCCCCTGGCTTGAAAGAGTATCCAAAGAACTGACTGCAACATTCCTTAAATGTGCTCCAGCTTCCCTGCCACACTCACACACGCGCGTGTAGCCCCACAGTGTCAGGATTCTCTGGAATAGGATGTAATGAAGCATGGAGAATTGCAGGACTTGGTCGAAATCAATGATTCCTACCTGTGTGCAAGCAAAATTCCCTTTCATTCATGCATGGCATGCTTTGATTTGAGGCTTTTTGTTCTGATTGGTTTTCTGAGTCAAGACAGAAGAATGTGATAATTTGACAAAACTGGTTTTTCGGTTGCTGAACACTAACCATTCTTGATTGCTGTTTTTTCCAGTCATATTGTAGACAAAATGCATGACAACAGCAATGGAATTAAGCTAACACCCAACACAGGACAAGGCAGCACATATAGAGAAAGTTTAACAGGTATACCCCTCTCCCCTCAATTACCTGACTTCTACTTTCCTTGATGATCAGAAAAGTTGCTTTCTGACTGGGTTGGCCAGGGAGCAGATCCAGAACCTATTTTCAGTGTCATGGCAAAGCCCTGGTAGGTAGAAATGTGTTTTTCTGTCCACTTGCCAGTAGCAACAATAGGAACCCACATGTCAGGGGTTAGGTGGAAATATTTCCTTAGCCACCTGGGGAAACCCTGTCCTGTTCCAAAGTCAAGCAGAAAATGTTAGTACCTGTTGCATTAGCTGTGGCCACTGTGGAACTAAGCAGAGGTGCTTTGCTGTCCCAGACAAGTCACTCAACCAAGTCTCTTCTTCTTGGGCTAGAACCAAGCTTCAGACTCCAAATTATCATTATGGAAATGCAACAAGATGTCATCACTCCAGGTTTTTTCCTGCACTTTGTTGGCTGATGCTTCCTGGACTGTGGGGAGGGGAAAACTGTGTGAGGACATCATGCCATGTTCTGCTTCTTAACTCAACCTTATTGGTGACATGCAGGGTGGCATCTTCCATGCTGCCTAGCTTGCCTTGGTTCAAAGAGTTCCAGTGGAAAGGAAGTGGCGTAGATTTACATAGACTGTACTGTCTGACCTGAGTTGTAGAAATACACAAGTAAATGTCTAACCTTCAGCCTGGTTAGATGAGTCTCTTTTTATTTTAAGACAGATTGATTTATGAACATGCAGCAACTGCTGTCTGCTTGGGTGACAGCAGACTAACTGCATGCCATTCTTACTTGCCTTCAGAAATGTCCTTCTTTTTCTTCTCTAGGCTCTGGGTTGGTAGACTGGCTGATTTCCAATAGTTTTGCAGCTTCCCGGCTAGAGGGGGTCACACTGGCCTCTATGCTGCTGGAAGAAAATTTCATCAACCCTGTGGGAGCCCGGAGTGTTGAAGCCATGAGGAACGGTGATCTGGTGGAACAGTTTTTAGATGACTCTACAGCACTGTACATTTTCGTAAGTGATGTGGTTTCTCTGAGCTGGGTTTCTTTATTATGACATTCAAAGGTGGGGACAGCAGCAGTGCATATGTATCAGAGAGACCAGTTGGGAAAACATGTAAGCAAATGATAAACAGCCTCAGAATTCTTAGAAAATTTATTGACTTTCCCCATGCTTTCAAGACTTTTATCTGAGATTGACACTGTAGGTGGACTTCGGCCTGGGTGTGCACACACAGCAGGTACAACTTAGTCTTTGTATATGCATAATAATAAAACTCAGTGTTTTCGTGTCTGTCATTTCTTGGCACCAGGGATAGCACCCCCAATTCTGCCGCTTATCAAATTGTGCCTGGCCAAAGATGACCTTGATTTGGAGATGTATTTATTTAGAATATTTCTGATTTGTCCCTCTGCTTGGTGGGCACTTGTGATGTTCAGCACTTTATGTTTTTCATATATGTACAACTTCTGTACAATTCCCTAGAAAGTAACAATAAAAACAGAAAACTGCATTCATTATTAAAATGGACATTTATAGCTTTGAGGAATATAGGTTACATCTTACAGCTTGAAATCAACACTTGTGTTGCTTCTGCTACTCAAAAAATGCTTACTTAAAAATATCATTTTAATTGCAGACTGAAAGCTGCAAGAAGAAAATCAGTTCCAAAGAAGAGTTTCATCTTAATATTCTTGAACTGAGTGGCACAGTTGTGAAGCAAGGCTTTTTAATAAAACAGGTATCCCTTTTTTCAGAATCATGTTGGCAAGCCAAGAAAGCAGGAAGGGACCATTCTACTATCTTGAAGGTCACAGCTCTATGTTTCTTTAGACAGAAAGAAGTCCTACAACTTTCAGGTTTCTACAGCCAACCATCCATTTTAACCAACGTAAAAGATCAGAATGTTATAAATGATGTTATGGGATACAGGGCAAGACTTGCAGAAAAACAGTGGGGTTATATGTCTAATAATCCCCCAGATGAAAACTGCTTGTCACTAACTTGGGGTATTTGCAAGCTTTCCATGAGTAAGAAGTTTCTGATAATGGAGGAGAATTTAGATCTGTGATCTTCCATCTGATATGATCCAGGAAAAGCTGGGCCAGTGGTAGTCTGGCTCTCAGTGCGACTTAAGGAATGTTGCCCAGTCATCACAATTAACAATAATGTTTTGAGCAGGAAAGCCTGTTTCTGGTGCATCACTGTCTTCAACAACTCAATTAGCTTCAGGAATCTAGCTTTTCCCCGTGCATTTCAAGGCAATGACATTAGGCATTTTAATTTTCTACAAAATTTTGCAATGGTTTTATTGTTATCTGTATTTTATTTTTATTATATTTTATGTGTTGTTGTAAACCTTCCAGAGTGATTCAGGTTTGGGCAGTATAGAAATAAAATGTATAATAATACTAATAAAAATGTGACAAACATGTCTCAACTGTATGCAGATCAATAGGCAATTTAAAGAGAGCACATTGTGATGGGTGGAAGGTTAAGGTTACAATCCCACGCTGGCTGAAGAATGCTGAAGGTTGTAGGCCCTTTTCTGTTTGAATATGCATAGGATTGGGCCTAAGTATATTGAATCTTTCAACTTTTAGGGACACAAGAGGAAAAACTGGAAGGTGAGGCGCTTTGTCCTGAGGGCTGACCCTGCTTTTCTACACTATTATGATCCTACAAAGGTGAGATGACAAACTTCCAATACTTGAAGCGCTCTCACTTTCTCTCTCTCTTTCTCTCATTCTCTGCATGCGTACATGCATTCTACAAAAATCCTACCTTTTGGTAACATAGGTTTGAAATCTTTTTTTAAGAACCACACAAGTTTTGGATGTATACAAGAATTCTCATGAGGCTCAGACACTTGAACTCTGCCTACTCTGGCCCCAAAGTGTGGTACCCTGAGATGCAGCCACCCCAAGCAATCTCCACTGTGGTGGGGTCAGTCCCGTGTCACGTGCAGACTGCCATGCCCGTGCCATTGGGGTGGATGCTGTCATCTCACAAACAGGTCGAGACCCTCTTGTTTCTGTAAAAACCCTTTATTCCGCCTTCCTGTACTTTCTTCACAGCCGTGTGTGGTGCTCGCTATTGCCCCCTCATGTAGCCTGAGAGGAAGTACCACTGGCTGTTTCCCTAAATTACAGGCCTCAAGCAGCAGTCTAGCAGGCTTGCCTCAGGAGCAGCAATTGGACTAGGATGTCCTATAGCCCTGATCTGAGCAAATCAACGTGCCTTGCATCCATTGTATCCGTGGAGGAGAAGAAAGAAGGGGCACGGCCTCTTGGTATATTGGGACAGATCATCACTTAGTGGAAGAGCACATGCTGGGGGCACCAGGATCAGTTACTGGTATCTCCAGTTGAAAAGACTGAGTAGGCCTGGTGATGTGAAAGCCCCCTTCCTGAGCTCTTGAAGGGACACCACCAGTCAGTGGTGGACATATGCAGAGGAGGACAGGGGCTCTGCACCAGTAATGGTTGCAATGGAAAGGGCCTTTTGAGGCTTGAGGGACAGCAGGGGTTAAAAGATGGAGTTGATTGGCCTGGTGAGAAGAGCAGTAAAAATACTGGCGGCCTTGATAGAGACTCCTTGGCACCGAGGTCATACAGCAGGAGGGAAAGAAGTGAAGGCTTGAAAATTTACAGAACTAGATATCATCCTCCCCAGGACGGATGCCAGGAAGCAGGAACTGAGATAAAGAGCAATAAAATGATGCCTTTGCAGGCCTGACACTGGAGAAGGGTAAAAGGCTGGATGTTTTCCAGAACCCCCTGGGGATCAAAGCGTTATGCTGGCTTGGGAGGAAATAAAAAGACCTCTGATGGCCAGGTTGTTGGGCCTCGCCTCAGAGAGAGATGGAGGTTTGCCAGCTGTCAGTTGCTCAGAAGATTGGACGGTTACTCTGAGGAGACCGGTTGGTGCAGCAAGACAGTTTTATAGGCTTTAGCTCAGTTAGTGTTTGTTATTTTAGAGTCCGGGACTGTCAAATGACCCTTAAGGGGGTAAACTTCGGTAAACTATACTGAATTGTCTACCTCATCCATTTTTCCTCCTTTTTCCCCCTTTCCCTACTCTTGAGTAGTTGGAGTTACTTGTACTTTTCCTTTGTGCATATGTGTGTGTTGTAGTCTAATAAAGACTCTTTTTCCCAAGTCCTGGGTCAGCATGAGCTAGTCCAGTGCTGCTTCTTTGTCATGGGCCGGGATTAAGTCTTATTTAACCCCAGGGGCTGTGGGAAGGTGGGGACTTTCGGCAGCATTTGGCGAGGGCAGTCTGCCTCACCGTTACAATGGTTGTGTAGAACAGGCCTTCAAGCATGCGCAGGACTTGCGTGAGCAACAGAGCCTCCTGAAATACCCTCCTGCATGAATGCTAATGGTCCTGCTTTGCACATGTCTACTCTAGTCAGAGACCATACAGGACTGGATGGACTTGATATACAGACCCCATTCTGGGTTTCTGTAATTCCCCTCAGCTTGGAGTTCAACACCATTAATTTTAGAGGAAGTCACAACCTGTATCAAGAATTAAAGTCTAGCATCTCAGTCTAATAGGGGAAAAAACTGCAGAGACATAAACTTGAACAGAAACAGGCTGGGACAAGTTTGGAGCGTTGCTGATGTGGCTACCTGCTGCATAGTCATTTCCTCCTCGTGTATGTAAAATGTGTTGAATAGGGAAGATATCATTCATATTTTGTTCTTCTCTCCCCTGCTCCCCCTTTAGGAAGATAATAGGCCCGTTGGGGGGTTTTGTCTCCGTGGGTGCCTTGTCTCAGCACTGGAAGATAATGGAGTCCCAACAGGCAAGTTACGAATTTGCTAGATTTGTTTTTTGTTTCAGAGCTTTAAGTTTTGTTCCTTTTTTGTTTATGGGTAAAGCAGGTACTTACAATTGATCAATAGTCTTTTAAGTTTTCTGGGCCAGTTCTCAGATTTTGGGAGAGTGAAAGTGTGGCTGAATTAACTCCTCAAATACCACATTAGCATCACCCAGTTTTAGCCAAACCATTCCCTCTGCCTCCCCACCCCATAGTTTTCTAAAAACGGTATGTTAAAATGTTGTTCCAAAGATAAGGGAGTCATGACCACTCTTGTTCTTTCTCTAATTTGGGCACTGAGCAGGGCAGCCTGGAGAAGGGCATTTCTTTCAGTGGGAAATGGTACGGGCCTTCACCTCATACATGATCACATGGAGAAAACACATTCTATGTGTTTGTGCAAACTTACTTTTCCTTATCACTTGTGAAAACACTGTAAAGATTAATCACACAGCACAAGCAGCCACCCTTATCTTGATCATATTCAAAAGATTCTGGCAGGGTGTTGCAGCTACAGCAGCAAACTTGCCATCTTGCCTTGCTTACTTGTGTTTTTCTTTTCCTTTTTGTAGGGGTGAAGGGAAATGTGCAGGGCAACCTCTTCAAAATCATCACAAAGGATGACATTCACTACTACATACAGGCCAGTTGCAAGGCAGAGAGAACACAGTGGATTGAGGCTATCAAGCAGCTAACATAGTAAACCTGCAAAAGTGTACATATGGGACAATGGCAACTTTGAAGACCTAGCCTGCTGCTGCCTGGGCTGGTTTTTGAGATGCATAAGTCGTTTCAGTCAAGCACCACACCTACATCTGACAAGTCTTGTCAGGCGTTTTCCATGAAGAAAGAGAGCATGTCACCTTGCACATGCTGAAAAGTCTAAATTCCGATTATTTGTCCCTCCTTTTGTCAGTCTGTATATCAATTAAAATAATTAGCCCTCTGTCTGCATGGGCTGGAAGCATCTCCCAAAGATCTCGGGCAAGGCTGTTTTTCAGCTCTCTGTGATCCTTTAATTGTGGATTTACACTGGAGGCTTCCACCTGCAGGGAAAAACTTCTTCTAGGGATCTGTGAGTTGCCTCTGCTTAGACCACCTCAAGGCCCTATGCGGGCGAGAAGTGCAACTCTTGGGGGCGAAAGCAGGTTCTAGTTCAACAGGGTTATTTGTGGGCAAAGCAAAAATATAGCAGATAGATGACCAAATGAAATGAACATCCAACCATTATGAAAGTAAGTATCAGTCTAGGATATATTTCTATTTTCTGTATGAGAAATACTTATTTTTGTATTCTGTGCATACCTACAGAATAGTCAGTCTAAAACATCTGTTACTGAAAACAAAGGATTTAATAAAAAATCAAAGAAGCAGTGGTGGTATTCCTTCAAAACAAATTTTAATTATTTTAAAAGCACAGATTACATGCCAAGGTTAAAATGACCTGTGACTTTGTTTTGGAAAGCCCCTTCATATAAAGTTATGCTTCACAGTCATCACTAGACAAAAAGCCGATATATGTGGTTGCTGGCTGGTCAGTACCAAGGATCTTTTCAGACACCTCCAGTTTTGAAAAAGGAATATTTCTGCGCATCCAGCTACTCACACCAAAACACCTGCTGATATTCCAGGGACACTCTTGGAGAACTCTGTATTCCTTCCCTGATGTTACCTAGGAAAGCTGTACAAGAGCTTTATCTCAAGGCTCCCTTACACAGATACCAGGATGAGGGAGCCTCGAAATGCAGCCATGGGGCAAGCCAGTTGCATGCAGCTATTCAGTGCAATGACAGTGCACTATCCAGCTGCAAATCTTCCTGGGCTGCCTTGCTGAGGTGTGGTGAAGCTCAGCAGATCCCTATGAGAGACTGTTATGCTACAACAGTTGCTGCAGGAGAATGGCTGCATTTTAAGCAGCCCCTCCCTACACTGCATTATATATTCTTTGAGCTCAGCCTAAGAGAATGATTCATTTTGTGATTACATCTTACTCTTCATGCTACCGTCACAAACCAGAAATGCCTTATGTAAATTCACAGTCAGCCTATTCTATCTCGGCTGTCTGTGCTTTCTTACATGCATGGCCTTTGAAAGTCAGAAACAGGTGAACCTGCAATACTGTAATGTTTTCCCCACATCCAAGCAAGGAGAAGTTTCAGGGACCACTGTGCTTGGCTTCAGCTTCCTTAGAAGGAGGCCACTGGCGGCTGATGGCTTTTGCTAGCCCTACCCCCACCCCTTTGCAGAATTTAGGATTTCCTGGGGGAAGAAGATGACTATAAAACCAGTTTTATAGAGCTGAACTGCAGGCTTTAAGAGAACGATGGGGATGCCTGTGTAGTGCCTGGGTTTGCTTAACGTAGCCTGAAGCTGAGGTCTGGCAAATGTACAGTTGGCCAGATTAAAAGATATTTCAGTTACAGCAGGGCCTGTTGGAAGGGTGGGCATGATTGAGCACCTGCCAAAGAGCCCCCCCCCCCCCCCAGCCGGGCCCACTCACAGGAGCTCCTTGGACTCGCTCATCTTCCCCGCTGCAACCACCATATTCACGTGCCCCCAGCTTTGGACTGGACAGCAGTGGTGGTGAGAAGGAGAGGCCCCTGCATCCTTGTGCTTTGCTTGCTAAGCAAGCAGTGGGAGTAATGGGAAAGAGGACAAGGTGCAATAGCAGCTCATTATATCGGGGGGGGGGGGTCATTGACGGGGTCCTGGCCAAAGGACCTCAAAAATCTGGCGCAAGTACTGAATGTCAGGGTTGTTTTCATTGGCATATTTGGCTCTACAGCTACAGGGATCTCTGCTCGACATTCAGCCAGCTCTCAGCAGTTCATGTCCAGTCCCACAGTGGCTCATGCTCTTACAGCCGCTTCTGCTGTAACCTCTTTTCTTTGGCACTGCAGCTCAAGCCCCACACAATACCTTCATGCAATGGTAGCAGAAGCCCTGGGGGAGAGGCTTGTGCAGGTCGTCTACCTCTGCTCCCCCCACATGTCCCTCTTAAACAGGAAGCACCTCCAGTCAGTGCTCCCCATCCTGACCATACATGGGGGCATGCAATCGAGCCACTCCTATACTTTTTTAAAGGGATTTTTTTTAAAAAAAATCTGTCTTAAAATTTTATATATTGCACTTTAGCAGTGCTAGGGCAATTCACTCCAACCAGATGTTAAAATGTAACAACAGAGCACAACACAACACATTAAAAAGCCTGGGGAAATAAGCACTTCTTGTGATGCCAGAAAGACCCTTCCGTTGGCACCAGGTGAACTTCATTCAGAAAAGAGTTCTGTAAACGGGCTGCACAACCAAGCTGCCTCTCTGGTTGACACGCACCTCACCTGACGGAGGTACCTGTAAGGCCACCTCCAAGGAAGACCTCAGTACAGTGTTAGGTTGATATAGGGGCAAAGTGCATAATTTTGTTCCTGTTGAACTCAAGGCAGAATTAGGCTTGGTTTGTGTATAGGGGAAGGGACTTAAGCACTGCAGCTGCATGAAAAGTAGTGCATGTAAATGGCGTATAGACACACTATGAATGCTTATTTATCATTTGCTAGTGAGACTTGCAATTTCCAAAAAGAGCTGTAGTCAAGATTCATATAACTATTCCAAAGTAGGGGTGTACAAGTTCTTCTAATGAATTCATGTGTATATTTTCACCTTCCTAAAGACGGTCATCATATGCTTAGCCTACTTTGTACAAAACTGGATGTGTACTTGTCACATTTTTGAATCATCAGTATGCATTGCATACACAACTGTATTTGGTTCTCTGTTTAGAAGCACAGTCGTGACTTCATGGAATGGTAGCACTATAATGTCAAAGTGAGAAGGGGCAGCCTCGTGCCATGATTTTGACTTGCTGATAGATGTATCTACATTTAGAATTTATATTTTTGAAATGATTTTTTAAAAGCAAAATATATTTTCAAAGCTGTTGAAGAATGGTGGGAAGTAAATAGCATAAACAAGCAAGGTCCCAGGAGCTCACAGTCACTGTTGTACTTCAGTTTAGAGTAGGAAGTCAATACATAAATTCTGTTTGCATATAAGAAAAGGGGGGAAAAACTTAAAAACTTAAAAACACACCTCGAACCAGATTTCATCTCAAGAGGCGCACACAAGAAGAGGAGTAACGAGGTAGCTCACAGGCGATAGGAAAGGCACTGTTACCATAAAACTGTCCCAAGATGGGTTCTTTATTCCTTTCTTCAGACCACCTTGGTGAGCTTGACATCTCCTGAGATTTGTAAAGCTGTCACTCTTTGTATCGGCTGCACACGATGACTGAAACTGCAAAGCTGACGTCCATCAAGCAGGATCCGAATCTGCTGATGCTCACAGAAGAGCTCCATCTGAAAGGGAATGAAAAGCAAGGGGGGCTGTGCCAGCTGCAGGGTCTGAGTGCAATCCAGAGAAAGTTGGACATGCAAAACCATTTAATTGATATTAAGCAATGAAGTCCCGTTAATGACTTAGAGGAACTGAAGCATGACCACTGTCTCTGCACAGTTTTGAAAATGAACTAGAATGACTGCCCTGAAAGTTCCTCCAGACTCCAGCCAGTCTCTCTTGTGCTTCTGTGAACACAAGTGCAGTGATATGAGAGCACGTCTTGTGTTCCCCTGGTCACAAGTGCAGTTCCTTTCCAGTGAAAGCATCTCAGGCACTGCCAAGGAGCTCTGCGAGAGGCTTTGGAAAGCTGCTGCCCATCAGCACAGTAGCCAGTGCTGGGCTAAATGGGCTAATGGTGTGATGGCATAAGGCAGCAAATATTTATTTTACATTTTATAATAGATACCATCTAAAAAATGTACCTTAAATGATTCCTCTGCCGTAAATGGGAAATAGGGGATGGTCTTTTCCTCTTTACCCCATTTCCCAGCAATCCTAGAATCCCGGATGATGGATTTCTCAGTAAAGTTGACTACAAGTAGAAGCCCCACGTCCTTGCTTGTGTTATTGTCCACGGGATCACAAAGCAAAGTCACTGAAAAACTACAAGGAATGAATATGTTGTAAGGGACACAGGCCTCAGCAATCTAACCAGACAGTGTGCAAGACATAATGAGTTTATTGTACCATATAAGGCCATTTTTATTTCCACTGCAAATACAAACTAGTCATTAAATGCTTACCTCCACCAGTGATTAGGCAGAAATGGCTAAAATGCTCTGTCTTGGACCCTGTTACAGCAATATCGGAACTGGCATGAAACATACACCAAATAAAAAATAAAACTCATTTTTATAGCATGGTGTCAGTGGACTTTTTAAAATTCAGTGCAGACATGGAATGACAATGTCTTTATATATCATGTAACTCCCTCATTCACAGATGTGAGAGAAGCAGAAAAAGAAGGCAGAAAAAATATTCCTTTTTTTTTTCTTAATTTCCAACAGATGTGTAACACCCATCAGATACAATTTTCAGATGGAGTCAAAGTGTTTCATACTTTAAAAACAACAAATTATGGTGAATGATTTCAGGGAAGAGAGTCCCATTCCATCAGCTGCTGAAAGTGTTACCCTTGAGTTTCTTGGGAAGACAGGGACCGTAAGCAGTGAAGTCAGAAGAAAATGAAAGGCAGAAGGTCCAGACATTATGAGCAACCGCCACCCTCAAAACGGTTGTCCATGAGAGCAAAGGCACCCTAGCATTGATGAGCTAATTGACACAAACAGTGGGATAAACAGCAATTCCTGCGTCCCGATTTAGGCCACATTGTAGCCTCCTGATGTGCTGTAACTCAGAGGGGACTTGCACCAGTAGATGACTTTAGAGAATCAGAGCAGGACCCCTGCACATGGCACCTGTGGGCACCTCCAATAGACCTCAATATGGTGCCTCCTCTGACTCATCACAGGTGGTACACAATGAATTATACTGGCTACTCTCCAAGTCTAGAAAGGCATCCTTGGAAAAGAAGGCATTTTGGGTTGTGGGGAAGTGAGGTGACTGAAGTGGCCAAGATATAAGGTAACCTTGAAGTCTCTCCAGCCTCTTTCTCTCCCCCTCTGAAAGCCTGTTGCTTGACAGCTGAAAATGGTTATCTAAAAGCAAATACAGAGCAGAAGAGGTGGGGAAGAGAAGATTGCCTCTGCCACTTCTACTCTGCACCGGATGCCCATTAGCTTCTGAATTTGGGGGCTCCTTGGCATCCTGGCAGGACTGTACCTTTAAACAAGCATTAGCTGTGATGCACCACCAGCAATTAGCCAGAGTAGACAACCGCTTATTATAGAAATGTTGCAGTGTCCAACAGATATAAAACAAGAGTTTTTGTTGAATAAGATGCAGCCTCCGATCTATAGACTTGACAGGTAAATACCAAAGTGGTGATGGTGCCCACAGCAGTTTCCCAAATTTCAAAACGTGTCCATAGAAAGGTTGTGGACACATGGACAAGATGATAAACTCCACACTTTTGTCTTGTCTGCAACATTAATTGCTTGTGAATTGTAAGGTTCTGTAATTTCTGTACTGTTGACTTTCAAAGTTGTCCAAAATAGCCACGATAATTAAGGTCATATTAGGGCAGTATTTCTGTATTTTTAGCATGTGTAATAGCAAGAATGATCCAGTTTCATAGGATCCCGATCCTTTTTGTTTCTGCACGAGTCACTATTCTAGGCATGCCTTCTCTAGGGGCAGGATTTTTCTCATATTGCTGTGTCAGGGGTCTTGAAATGAGCTGGTCAAAACCAAAGCAGAGATATGGCATAATTGTACCTCTATTCTCTTCTTCTCCCATCATGGATGATTTGGAGGAATGAGTCAACCCCAGAACGGTGACTCAGGCAGAGAAGCAACAGGCAGCTTTGATGCCTCAGTTAAGTCCATGCTTAACACAGAAATGAGGCAAGACTGCACCTCTCCTGTGGAGATTGCCTGGAAAGAGGCAAGCCCAGAAAAATGACTCATGCAATTTCTCTGAGGGGTTACTTTGGGTTCACAGAAGCCTTTCATTATAGAGTAATAGAATTTGAGAGTTAGACATCTCCTTGGGGCTCATCTTGACAAACTCCCTCCTCAATGCAGAATATAATTATTTAGTTTTCTCTCATTGTAAATATGGGGGAGGGGCATTAGGACATTATTATTTTTTTAACCTGGGTCTCTGAAATATGAATAAGCAGCTATGTACTGTTGTGGTACCATGTTCAGAAATAGTTGACATCTCTCACATTTAATGCTTCCTTAATGTTCCCAAGGAAACAGAGGAGGAAAGAATCCCTTTTAAAATAGACTCTGACAAGACAATCTCTCCCTTTTCACCCAAACAATGCTGTTAGTCAGAAGACTACTTCCAGGTCATCATTATCAGTTACATCTGTGAAACTCCTGCAAGAATGCCTCCTGGCACACCTACCTTTTGGGGTTTGGGTATATAACCCCCATGATAGTGATTTTCATAGTTGGCCTCAGTCCTCCCTTAATTTCACCAGTATATCTCTCCACCTAAATGGAGCAAAAGTTATTTTGAATGTGTGTCTGCTACTGATGTCAGTATGATAGCATAGAAAGTGATAGGTGATAGTCTGCATATTTATTACTAACTTGAGCAAACTGTATATTCATAAGAACACCTTTGCAAAGTTTTTCTCTCTAGTTGTGAATATGTTCTGAGTTCTGCATTAACTACAAAGCAAAAATTTGATGTTGTAGAACAGAAAAGCAGCCCAGTCCTACAAAAGTCAGACAATTGTTAACCTAAATTACAGACTAAGGAAAAACGCATTTCACCAAGAATCAAACAGAGCTGCCATGCTTTTAAGTGATGGATAGGTGGAATGAATAACATTTAGGATAACCCTATGCAAGGGACATGCTGGGAATTGTAGGTCTTATTTCTGTCTAAGCTTTCATTAAGGCTGCACGTTTACTCACCTAAAAATGTACACAATATTTTTAATATCGCAACTTAAACTATAATTAAAATTATCCAGTTTCAGTTCTGGACCCAACAAGTAAGCAATTAACTAAAAACAGAATAAAAGCTTCTTGATCTCCTTTTTGTGGCCCTGCCAGAGAAAGAGAGTGAGGGAAGGGGAAAATAGACAAGCCTGAGGGGTTTGTGTATCATGTCCTGCCATGTAAGATCAAAATTTAGCATTATGTCTGAACTGGATCGGCACTGAAAGAAACTGATTCTATGTACCAGTTGGAGTCAGTATGAATGAAGCCACTGGTTTTTACCAGGGCATTAAGAGAGCAGAGGAACAATTCAGATAGTGTTTTGAGAAAGTTTCACTTCCTACAGCGAAGACATCTTTTCACTTTTATCTCTGTTGAACACACTGCAATATTTTGAAACAAAATAATCCCTCACAAAGTTTCTTTATGATAAACTTCCTTTAATGGTTTAGGGAGTGAGGACATTAGTCTCCACTAGTAGCCGTAAACTCTTTTCTTCCTGCTCTCCAGTCTTGTCAAGTTATTGCATAAATACTTGCCAGACAATGGAAAAGCACTGACTACAGAATGGAATGCAAACTAGAAGACTACCAGGGAATGCCTGGAATGTATGTCCACTCCATTGCCTCCCTGTGCAAGTGCAAACTGTTTATACACAGATATACTGAATGACACTTAATTGTCATCTGCATACGTATTGTATGGAAAACCCTAATCTAGTGCAGGATTTTGCAAACTACTTTGCAGTTTAGTTTCAAATTTATCACACAATGATACACTGGCTATGTTAAAAGACATTTTGTTAATGCAAAATATTTTAGGCTTTACAGCACATTCTTCATTGCTAATTTAATCAGTCCCTCCCTAAAATGCCATTTTGATGACAATGATGATGATGGACTATTGTATCCTGGATGCAAACAGTAACAGGCTTTCTAGGATCAGACTAAGAAGGGAGGAAAGAAAACGTCGTGTTTGGTCTGATCCTAAGCAAGTTCTTCCTAACTATGTTGCGCTAATAAGCAGGCTTAGAACTGCAGCCTTGAGTGATGCTGCATTTTGTGGCCATAGATGGAGAGCTCCTTTGCTAGCAAACAAAGGAAATTTTGTAGCTAGTCCAACTTCTATTCTTTGTTTTTTTCTGGTAAGAAAAGATGGAAGAACCTGTGAGAAAACATGGGAAGGCTACAAATGGAAATCAGCAACTGCTCCCTTCCCCACAAAATTCAGTGAACAAGCAGCATAACTGCACAATGAATGCCTCATCTAGAAGCACCCATAGACTCTTCAGTAGTATTAGTTCATTTTACAATGACACCTAAGAGCAAAAAAGCAGCACTGGGAGAGAGGGAGATGAGACAATCCATGTCAGTTCATTTCCCTCTGCAAGCGCAGTAGTATTTTTAAGACACAATGATCCTACTTTACATATAGCAAGGGATTCAACTACCCATAATAAAAGATCCTTCTACTAGTATTACTTCTGCATTATTCCAGTACTACTGAGGGATCCTTATATAGCACTGTGTCTAAACAAATATCTTAAAGAATTTGTGGGATTAGCTATGCCAAGAAAATGTGAGGCATGAAAAGTATTCAAGCTTCAAAGAGTTGTAATGGTAGAATGGTGATGGTAAGTTAAGCTTACTTTCTTCTCCCTGTATAGAAATATCTCCTCCTAGAAAGTACAAGTAGATGTTTATACTTACATTGGTGCACTTGTCATTTTCTGTCATTTTTATGTGGCCTGCTGCACTCATGCCTTTTGAGAAGGCTACAGAAAATGTGCCCCCCACCCCCTTGCACATAAAGAAAACAAACAAATGAGCCAGAATAAAGAGAGGTTATCATCATGGGGAACATTATCTCTAGCAAACAGTAGCTGACACCGCCCGCAAAGAGAGCTGAGTCACAACAGTCACTTCTTCAAATGGGCATCCAACAGGCTGAGAGGGACGCCGCTGTGCTGGCCTGTGGCCTTGCCCATGTTCAAGCAGCATTCCAAAACTGCTTTCAGTAGCCTAAGAAGACTCTTTGTCTGAGAGGGATGTACGTTGTAAATCAATGTTCAGTGCCTATGTGCTATATAAGTGAAATATTTTGGTGGCCTAGGGCTCAGAGGCATCTGTATTTTTTTCTGCATGCCATTTATATCCCACCTTTTTACTCTTGTGGGGAACCCAAGGTGGCTCACATAGCACCATTTTATCTTCACAACAACCCCAAGGGGTAGATTTGACTGAGCGTGAGTGAGTGTCTGGCCCAAAGTTGGACCTTCCAAGTCCCTAGTCCAACATTGTACTCACCGCACCACACTGAACACATAAACAAAGGACATTCCTAATCAAGGAAAAAAGGAAATGCATGAATTAGAAGCACCAAACAAAATTTGATTGTCTTCATGCACTGATGCCTCAAAGATTTACACATGCATTTCCAGTGATTTCAGAAGGCCTACACAGAACAGAACTGTATACAGTCTCTTCAGATGTACTGGAAAATAAATATTTCTGATATTTATACAGATTATTTCATGGGATGCATATGGAATGGATGTGCCAGGATTTCGGCTGCTCCAGGGATCCATCTGGTGGCCAAAATCAGAACAACCATCACAGTACTTGCTGGATTGGTCCCAAGCCCTGCTACTGTGCTCAGCCAGCTGATGAGCACCAGGCAGGAGACCTGGGGAAGAGCTGTATAAGTGCAAGCTCTTCCTTCCAGAGGCAGCTTTAGTGATGTAGATCTTCTTGCTAGCTGTGGTTTGGTTCCTGCCTTTCTGTATCACCTTAGAAATGCAGATCTTCATGCTAGTTGTGAAGTTGCTCAGGCTGACTCTTGCTATATTGTTGTGCCTTGCTGTCTTCTCTCAAACAACACAGATCTTCCTGTGGTTCAGTTTCTGTATCTTGCCATGTCATGCCTTGCTGTTTTTCCTCAGCAACGCAGGTCTTCCTGCAAGCTGTGGTTCAGTTTTTCTGTGATGCCTGACCCTTGCTACACCCAGTTTTTGCCTTACCTTGCCATGCCCTGCCTTGCTGCCTTGCCTAATTTCCACCTCTTTGTTGCTCCTGAATCCCATCCAGTTATCCTGTCTTAGGTGCCTGTTCTCTGTCTTGTCTTCCTGGTTCTCAATCCTTGGCTTGTTTTCAACCTTATCTTGATATGTACTCCTGGTTCCTGATGTGAGAAGTAGAAGATTACTGTGACTAACAAACTAGAACAGGTAAAGCTATGGATCACCTAGTGATTAATAAAGGTATTGTGATTAATGGACCAGAACAGTAAAACTATACAGATCACTTAATGATTAATAAAGTTATTGTGATTGACACAAACTAATAGACTACAAGATGTAATTGGTAGACATGGCATTAAACTTTTGAACTTAGAACCCAAAGTATGGCTGCGTAATTAGCTAATGCATATTAATGGTGCCTCCTACTATGACTCAGAGGGTTATGAACATGGGACGTATGAGCAGGTGGGGGTAACATACCAAGGAGTAGTATGATGAAGGCGGATGGGAAGAATGGGAATTCCCAGTATCCCAGCCAATGGGAGAAAGGAGGCACGGACTTTGTGCGTGAAGTAGGGAATAAGAGGCTGTGTAAACTGCTCCTCCAGTGCACTGCCCTTGGGGTGAGTGCCCGATCTGGCCAGAACGTATTAAACTGTTGCTGCTTGGTCCTTTGAGTTTGGACTGGCTGTCAGACTAGATGGCCTGGGAGTCCCCTTCTCATTCGCTCTGTTTCTATGTTCCTATGCCTGCTTCTTGACTATGACCTGCCTCTGATTTCACTACTGGACTGGGTTTGAACTCTGTCTTGCCTTGAGTTCAGTTGCCCTGGTACTGGTGCCACTGACTTGACTCTGGCCACCCAGGTCCCAGACCTGACAGCGTGTTAATATTTTGGAGTACTGCTTCAACATTCTTTTTTTACCTCCCTATATCGTAAATCAACTTGCTATACAGTTATCGAATACATGAATCTCAGTCTGATCATTGTTAGATTGACTCCAACAAGCAGTGGGTCTCAAGCAGAGCTCTGGCAGCTAGTTCAGATCACTCTGAAAGGAATCAAACCAGCATGCGTGCTTTCCATGAGCAATTTCTCTCCCTTCCTGTGTTAATCAAAACTTTTAAATGGAATTAAACATTGCAGTTTATTTTGGTGGTAAGAAGAAATCAAAACCCTTGATTGTACCTGATTGATCAGGTCCAATGCAAGTCATCAGGCATTAGCTGAAAAGGGGTTGCCTGATGTAGGGAATCGCAAGTCATTTGCATGCACAACGGTTATATTTGGTACTCATTATCAGGCAGCAAGAATTTCAGCACTCTGGGGTATGTATAAAACCAGGGAATACCCTGTAGCTTACATTTTTATTTCTGGCTCCACTTCACTTTTTCGGAGCACATAACTTTCACTCTATGGGAAAAAGAAGCAAGTGGCATAGTAGGAAGGGCATGCGGCATAATCTGCAAGTGGAGAGACCTCATCGTATTTGATGTGTGGGCAAGCACTGGCAAGAACCGATAAAACATTTTGCTGCAGAAATTCAGTGGCACAGAAGCAACACGTACATTTCTTTAAAAATTAAGGCGTGCAAGAAGCACGTGCTCTTTGCCAGCGAAATCATGTGACTGTTTCCAGGTGGTGGCAAGGCCGGCAGCAGGTCCGGGCAGAGGTGTGGCCTCGGTTGGCTTTCGGGGCGCAAAATTGGCCCTCTTAGACAGAAATTGCCTGGCTCTGCTTTAAAGACAAATCTACGCACCTTAATTTATCCGTGTGCGTGCCAATTTGCTACTTTAGCTTTGCGAAAAGTTGGGAAGTCTTGGCTATCATTACTAGAAGCCGTTCAGTGCTTCGGGAAGCAACTCTCAAAGAGGAAACGCCCCTCTCCTCACCTGGCCTTTCCTCCTGGAAAGACCTAGCAAGGAGGGAGTTGAGCTGCCGTTACGCGAAGGCACGGAGGAGCAACCCTGAGCAACAGCGCCAACTGCCCCATCCTTCCTTTGAGAACGATGCTTTGGGAACACCCTCGGGAAGCAGAAACAGGAGGTACTTCCAGTCGATCTTCCCCATAAGAAGGCGGCGGCGCACTGGGCGCCAAGCGGTCACTCGGTCTGGCTTTGGGCAACAGCGTCCAACCCCACACGCTCCTCCAGACCTTTCCTTGGGGAAAGAGCGGACGAGCATAATCTCGAGGCTCTCCGTGCACGTTGGAGCAGCGGCGCCCCTTCCTGAGCGGTTCCCCTGTGCCGCCTGCACGAGGTGGGGGTCTTTGGGAAACCTCGAGCAGAGAGCGTCCAGCGCCGCGGCGTGCCTGCTTAAGTGATGGCACTGATTGGGCTTCTTTGCCCCAGTGAAAGATGGCGTCTTCCTTCTCCAATAAACCAGTGGCTTCGCCTACCGCTTAGATCACCTGATCTGTATCTCAACATGGCCGCGGTGGCAGGATTTGTTTCTGTTTGGGAATACAGCCGGAACAAGCCGTAGGCGGAAGGCTAAGTGGACGACGCGCTGGGCGTATATCCCACCAGCAGGTGGTCTCGCAGGTAGGTCGGGGCCGGGGCAACTCTTCACCGCTCAGGGAAGTGTTAGGCGCAAGAGCGAACTCCACCCAGTGGGCTCAAACTCCGAGCAGGACGCTGAAAAAGTCCCCTCCCCGTAATAATTTGAGGTGGGGACGCACGGATGATCTCTCTTCCGGAATAATTATCCAAGCGTATTTGACTGAAAGCGTTGCGTGCCTGGCTGATGTCTCTGAAAGTATGTAGGAAAAGCCTTAGGTTCAACTTCTAGGGTTTTCTCTTGGCAAAATTTTCTCTCGGTTTAGGAAGCGAAAGTTATGTAAATACGATTTCAGCGTAGAGTCTGATGGTCGTGGTGTTTGCCTTTTGCAGCAGGAGGATGTATCCTTTTGGGAAGGAAGAATCTGTGTCCCTGGAACGGCTCTTCTGGTTTTTCTGCGAATCTGTGCAGAGGGGAGACTGGGAACTCGCCCAGGCCTGTGTTCCTCAGTTACATCAGTGGAAAGAAGATGACTCTGAAAAAGTAGAAGCAATCTTGCATGCCCTAGTAGTCTGTCCTTTCCGTCTGAGGTAACCACTTCTATGATTTTATTTTATGTTCTCTAATTTACTTTTGTGTGCTAGGAAGGTATCGAAAATGTTTTATAGTGCAATCTGGTTCACTATTTTTCAGAAGTCCAATTGTTTTCCAGGAAAATGTGTGTAGGATTGAAGCCTTAATGTAGTTTTTGCATGTGTTCCTTTGTTGTTTACATACTAAAGCTTATGCTATGTTCAATTGTGCACGTGCCTCTTAAACGTGCACATAGTATGCTCCTATGCATGCTTGGTCAGTAAGTCCCATTATACTAGTTGGGATTATGCAGTGGGAAATGTGCATAGGATTCCCACTTAAATATGCTTACTTAGACATAACCCCATTAGAAACAGTGGGACTTATATCTGAGTAAACATGCTTAGTTCTTTCTTGTGTTTGACAGACTGAACAAATGGCAGTATAAATCCCTGCAGTGGTCTGTGAAAATAAGGCAGGATGTCTTAAAACTAGTAAAGATTCTACTTTTTTATTGGATTCTTTATGAAATGTATAAAATATAAAGCAAAAGAAAGCAGAACTTATTTGCCTTTCAACAAACAGGTGCGGTATTGTAATAAGGCCTGTAGGATGGGGATGAACCCAAGGGGAGAGCCATGTCCTCCTTGAGGCTCCTCAGAGGCATCTGGCTCACTGCTCCTGGCACAGGTTGCTTGACTAGATGAGCCTTTACAGTGTGATCCTAAGTGGGCTGGGGATGTATATGCGAAGTGGAGGATCCATTGTTGCTTGGACTCAGGCTGGCTTATGTGGACCACAGTGAGGGGCATGTAGGACATTTGACCTTACGTGTTCTTGTCTCATGTGTTCTCCCCCTCCTTCTACCTAACTCCCACGTTGTTGATTCCTTTGATGTTTGCAATGTACTGTTAGTTCTGTTAGTAACAGGATCCTAATGAGGATGGGCCAGATTTTGGGACCTCCCTGGTGAATCATCATCATAGAAACATAGAAAACAGAGCAAGTCAGAAGGGGTCTCCCGGGCCATCTAGTCTGACCTCCGGCAGCAGCCGGCTACGCTCACAACATGCCCACCATGTGGACGTCCAGCCTATCCTTGAACACCCGCACCAATGGGGCCTCAACCACCTCCCGGGGTGATGAATCTATCATCATCACATTGCATTTATATCCTGCAACTTTTCCTCTTGTGAGGTGGCTTACATAGCATCATTTTATCCTTGCAACACAGCAAACCTTTGCGGAAGGTTAGACTGAGAGTGAGTGAATGACTGTCTCAAAGTCACCCAGTGAGCTTCATGGTTAAGTGGGAACTAGAACCTGAATTTCGCAGGTTCCCAGTCCAACTCTGTCATATCACACTGGTTCTCATGGAGTTCCTGTCTACTTGTATGTGGAGTTGCTTTGGCCACAACAGATTCAAGGCTGCCTCTGTCCTATCCCCCATGTTGTGGTCTGTTATGTCTTTGTGTTTATTTAGCATGGAGTTTTGAGAAACATCACATTTGGGGATTGTGAGAAAAACCTGCTAAGATTGCATTTCAAAGTGCTATTACTTAAAAGTAATTTCTACAGATTTATTAGAACTTCTGGATTGTTAAATTTTGGATGCAAATGTTTAATTCTTGAGTATGCAATATCTTTGTAGATGTGGACCGAACCATAGTCCTCAAAAGCTTGCCTGGTTTTGGCTCCTTGTATTGAAGAAGTGGCTAGCGTGGGAACAGGTGAATATTCTTTTTTCTAGGTCTAAACAGGAACATTGTCCCAAGTGATATGCTTTGCAGTGCCCAAAAAAGTTTCAGAATTTTTGTTGGAATAAGGACAAAAAGTCTTCTTCCACTACAACAAGAAACAAACAAACATTTTAAATGCTACCATTGCTTATTATTGGTTAGATCCAGAGCTAGTTATCTGAAATAAATGGAACTGAAATAAAATCATTTAAATATATAGGACATAAGTAAATCACTTCTAACATACATCAGATTGAATTTACTGCATCTACTTTAAGTATGATTAATTCTGGATTCAATTCTATTACTTCTAAACACTGAATGGGAAAAAGCAGACCGTTATGATGTTCCTTGAATTGCTAAACTTGTTTAAGTCCTATTTTCTAAATTTGGAAGTGTGTTGCAAACCCAGATCTATGGGTTCCTGCTGTTGATTGAGTAACTGCAAATGGGTGTCCAGTTCATTTGCACTGGAAGTTCCCAAATAGATTGAAAAGCTAATTGCAATCATTCCCCAGTTCCTAAAACCTTTACATGCTTTAAAACATCCAATTTACAAGAGTTACTAAATTATTTTATTTGTATACTTATTCTAATTTGCATTTTTTCTGTATTCGCCCCTCCTGCTTAATCTCCCCTAACTGTTCCAGAAAACTGTTCCTGTAGCCCTCCAGAAAGAAACAGAATTCTTGCTTCTCTTAGAAGAACTGGAAAAGGATGCACCACATGCTGTTCTAAAGGTACAGTTCCCTCTCCAGGGAGAATGCAGTGCAGCTGTACTGCTTTTAGTGCAGATATGTTTGAGCAGAGTAGTCATGTCACTGGTTGGTGGGGACATTATTATTATCATTTATTTCATTTCTGTGCCACCCGATAGCCAAAGCTCTCTGGGCAGTTAATGTTAAAACTGTGTTAATTTTGGCCATTTAATGTGTGTAAAGCTCATGTGGGAGGGGTGAATTCAGCAGAACAGATAAGGTGGTGAAGTTGGAGCTCCTGACATTCCTCTGAAATTGGGAAATGTTGCCACTTCTATTGTTTGCCTGATTCAATCAAAGTCATCTTGGTAGGATGTGTTGGAAAAAGATGACTGACCTTGGTTCTGGAGTGCTTTGATTTGTTGCCTCTAGCAGAACTTTCTCTTATTCCTAGTCTACTTATTCCACTTCTGAATATGGACTGCTGTTCTGGGTTGTATATGAGGGTTCTCCAAAAAGTTTCTGCACTTTTTAGAATGCTATTTATTAAGAATTTCAAAAACAAATTACATCACCTTTCTACATAGTCATCTTCTTTTGCAATGCATTTTTCTCAGCATTGTACTAACTTTCTAATGCCATCTACAAAATATAAATATAAAATATAAAACTGTAGAAACTTTTTGAAGACCCCTTGTATATAAAAATATTTTTTCTTTTGATGTATGTATTATGAGAAAGGTCTGTGACTTCCAGGGGCAGAACACTACCTTTGAAGGTAGAAAGACTCATGTTCAATGCTCTTTGCATGTAGAAACAGTTCATCTTCAGAGAGGGCTGAGAAAATCTCTTTTCTGAAACTCTGGAGCACCAAGCTAGATAGACAATCTGACTCATAATAAAGCAGCATTCTATTAGCTTGTTGTCACTGCTTTGTCCATTTCCTTGTGGCTGTTGACAGTTTTATTTACTTTGTATTATGGCATTCCAATATAATTCATGAAAAAGGAAGGGAGACATAAAGCAGGCAAAAATCTCTGCCTGCTTTTTGCATAGTAATATTGTGAAGAAGGGTCACTTCTACAGCTGGGAAGTCTTGCAAGACCCATTATGAAGATGTGTTTAGGCTGCTGTTGGATTGGTATAGCCTTCCTGGCTATAAAGGTGGTTAGCCAAGGGAAGGCGCTGTGATAGAAGTTTGGTGCGTGTGCAAAAGTGTTAGTCTTTTCCAATCATCTGTATTTACTTTGGTTGCAGTCCTTTTTCCACTGTTTTCTGTGTTTTATTGGGTTGGGGCCAGAGTTGCCCTGAAGGATCTATTCATTGCTGTGGGAAACAGCCTCTAGCAAAAGGCCCTCCAGAGTAGATTTCAGGGGGCTGCAGGGGAGAGTCTGGAATTAGCAAAAATCACCTCTCCCCCTCTGCATCATCCATTTCATAGCATTTGGCTCCATAAAACTCTAGGTCCAGTTCATTGATCTCTTTCATAACAGACTGTACAGTAAACGATAACAGGAACTCACCCACAAATAACAAAAAATGTTAGTTTGCAGACACTCACTTTTGCTGTCAATTCAGTTCTGAATTGGATGTCACAAATCGCAGATTGACCACCAAAGAGTGCAGCTGATGTAATTTCTTCAGGAGCATTGTTTTAGAGATCTTCTTGTTTAAGATACCTTGTTAATGTATTACTTAAGAAACTGTTCAAGGGCATGAATGCTGATGAATGAGGAAAGTGCTCCAGGACAGCATTTCTCAACCTGATGTCATCAGATGCTTTGGACTACAAGTTCCATTAGCCTCAGCCAGCGTGGCCAGTGGTCAGGAATATTGTTGTAGTCTAAAAAATTTGAGGGGATGCTGTTCTAGAAGCATGGGTGGCCAAATTTTTAAAAATGCAGTCAAAAACTGAGGTATGGCTGATATCTGTAGCTAGCTGTGTAGTGACTATGGTAGGAAACCCCTTAAGTAGAAATGAAACTAGAAACAAAAAAGATATGCCTGCACAGGATGCAGCTGGTTAGTTTCCTCTTGGTCAAATGGTTATTGTTTTAGTTACTGACATGGGAAGCTGATAAATATGTATATATGAATTACAATATTTCCTGCCTTCTTTTTTGTACTTAGAATGATAAAAGGGCAGAGTATGTGTGAAAATAATTTTGAATGAAATTGTGAGTTGCTGATCAACAGGCACTTTCATGATTGTCTTGAAAAGAACTTGGCAAGAATAAAAGAAACTCATTTGGGTGTTACAGTGTGGAATCGACAGTGTTGGTGCAGTATAATAAACTGAGAGTTCATTTTATTAATACAAGTAGGGGAAGGAAAAAGGGAGGTTCTCCTGGAGCTGCCAGATGGTATTCTGTTACCTTTGACTGTCTCCTCCCTCCAGGTGTAAGATTCCTGGTCCAGGTAGGCAGGCTCCATTTGTTTTCAACTGCCTCTGCATGGAGGGGCTATCGCCATCGAAATCCACCTTGCTCAACCTGCAGAGTGGTTTGGTCTGTTGGTTCTCTGAAGAGGCCAAGATACACCTTGTTACATTAGCTATCCTCTTACTTTTTTCTTTTAAAAACTAGCTTTTGTTTAGTTTTTTAGCCCTACCCTGTAGCCACCCCTACACTTAAGACCAAAGGGGACACTGGAAGATGCTGGGGCTCAGTGCATTGATTTAGCACAGATTTAACCTGAATTCCCCTGATGGGAAGTTTGTTTGTTTACTGCCAAACTTCATTTATTTTGGTTCTTATTACTGTTAGCATCGTATCCTTTTTCCTGTTTTAAACATTGTCGTTAAACAGCTGGGAACACTGGATAATAGTGTTAATGGTGTTTGTCTTGAAGTTCTTCTGCTAGTCAGTAGACTGTGGCCTAGTTCATACAAGAGAAGTGAAACAGGGCTTCATGCACCCAGACGCCCATGACTGGCTGTTGCATCTGTTGGCTCTGATGCATACAATCATCAGGTGGAGAGCCTTGTTCTGATCCTCTCTGTGCACCACCAGTACCAGCTAAGCACTTACTAAGATTCTCACACCATGGGGATTCTTTTGCAATATCAGAAAGAGCTAAGGAAGCAACATAACTTTGTCTCTCTCTGACATTGCATGAGGATTCCATGTACCCAAGATAATGAGCAAGCGGGCAGGTGAGAGCTGTGGCAGGCTTATAGGGTTGGAATGGAGCTGGCCAGCTGACTACAGTGTTCTCTAGAACCAACAGTGGCTACAGCCAGGTGCAGGCTTCTAGATGCATGAACTTCTTCTCTAGGGCTCCAGTGTGATAAGGGTCAGTGCTACTGAGAGGTATTTTAACTTGGAGTGAGTACTTCAGCCTGGAATCCTGCACTGAGCTGGGTGGTGGATCTGATGGTCTTATTGGCCCCTTGCAACTCTTAGGATTCCGTATTTGATACCTGTTCTTCAATTTTTCAAATGTATTGTGGAGAAATGACTCTTTCTTATTTCAGGCATGTATTTTCTTTCCCAGGAGCTATATGAAGCTTTTCAAGACAGACACACATTGAACAGGAAGCAAAGGGATGGATCTGTACATAAATTTAGTGTGGAGGTGATGTCTGTTTTCCGGAGAATGCTGTTGCAGACTCCTCGGAGGCTGGAAGCCATGCTGGAGCTTCTGCAGAGAGATCCCATTGAACATGGCTCCTCGCTACCACACAGTTGCTTCCCACAACACATCTTTATTGGCTTTCTTTGGGACTCCCTAAAACATCTGAAACGTCTCCGTCTAAATCCAGATCTCTCAGAATCGGATTGGAGCAAGACTGTGGATGAAATCTATAATGCACTGAGTCTGTTGAATTTGGAGACAGAGAGTCAGACTGGGGAGCTGCGTCTTCTCTGCAGAGAACTCCTGGATGCTTGCTGGGCCGAGCGGAGCCCACTGAGGGAAGAGCGGTTGCTCGGCTGTCTGCTGCGGAATGATAGCCATGCCTTGCTCAGCCTGTTTAGCAGTGTGTTTATTGAGAAGACAAGAGAGAAGCTGCTGAGGCTGAAGTCACCAGGCCAAGGTTTGTTTTAAGTGTTTATGGTCTAAGCCAGCAATGTGCAAATATTGGTCCGTGGGCCTAATTCAGCTCCTCCTGTGTAACCCTGCTTTTCCATTCCAACCCAGTGGCTGTACACAAGATAAGAGGAGGCTGCATTGATGCTGAAGCACCTCGGGCATGTTCTCCCCTCCTGCAGGGGCAGCCTCTGATGTGTGCACTTTGTCCCATTTCAGTGGACACTCTGGTCCCTGCACCAGCTTGGCTAGGGAGGCTTCCACCTCACTTAGCTGAAGATATTGACCAATGTTGATCTAAACCGTGGGTCCTCAAACTATGGCCCGGGGGCCGGTTCTGGCTCACCATGCCCATTTATCTGGCCTGCCATGCCCATTTGGTCCTGCCATGTGTGTACCCGTGCCCACAGGCACGCCCTCCGCTGCCCACCTCAGCCTGCGCGCAGGGAGGCAGTGGCTTGCTTGCTCAGAGAAAATGATCTCCAAGTGAGCAAGCTGCTGCCTCGTGCACCCGCTCTGCGCCGCATGCCTGCCCCCACGCTGGCCCGTGTGCACGGCTGGCACCACCTTTCCGGCCCGCGCCCAGCACTGGCAGCTTTCAACTGGCTCCCCTGGTGGAAAAGTTTGAGGACCCCAGATCTAAACCATAATTTAATTTTTAAAATGAACGGCAGGATACAGATTGGAGAAATAAGTATAATTGAAAGCATAGGCAAAACACTGCAACTGGTTTGGGCCATTCTTTGACGGCTAAAGCATGTGTATCAGTTTGGCCACAATTCAGCCTCTCCTGAAGGAGAGTCTTGGTCAGCCACTAGGTTGGTCCCTTGGGTGGAGCTGCATGTGATGCGGACAGGACAGACCTTGCTGCCACTGCTACCCGTCAGATGCTGCTGCTCTGTGAAAACATGCTCTCTGGCTGAATTGCTGCATCGCTGCATAAAGACCACGTATTCCTAGCCCTACTTCAGTGAAATAAATAAAAATGTACCAGTGACTGTCTCACTGATAATGTTGAAGGAGGTTTTTTGTGTCCTATAATCTCCCCTTCATATCCTGAAGTTTAGTGCTGCTGCAGGAAGCCATTGTGGTGGTGAGAATGTAGGACTGGGGGCCTGGGGGATCTGGGTTCTATTATTATTATTATTATTATTATTATTATTATTATTATTATTATTATTATTATAACATTTCTATGCCGCCCCTTGCCGAAACCTCGGGGCGGCTTACAACATGAAAAAATACATTGAAATACAATAGTACATAATAAATTACCATTAAATATAAAAATACAAAAAAATACATTGATTTACAAATACAAAATTAAAATTATCAGTATAAAATGGCCATGAAGCTCACTGGGTGACTTTCTCAGTTACTCTCAGCCTAATCTACCTCACAGGGTTGTTGTGAGGATGAAATTGGGGACTGGTTTTTCATAGAGAAAAACAAAAGGATTTATATGCAGTGTGGTGTGGCAGTGCTGGTGATGATTATGATGGTATACTTTCCCAGATTGTTATGATAATGATTAGGCAGGATTGTGGAATAACTGAACTGTTGGACTCTTTCAGATGAAAATGCAAGTTCATTTCCCAGGAGTCTCTCTTAATGGTTTCCACTCATGTGCATGCCTTTTAGTGCTGAACACATTTTGTTGGAGCAGGAATGAGGAGCTGCAGCTCCAGGTGCCAAAACCTTGTTCCCCAGAGTTCCCTAGGATTCCCACACCTGTTTTTCCCCTAATGGATTCCTGTTTTTTGTGCAGTTTTCCCCCACCCGACCTTAAAAGCTTGAAATCCCTCTCCTGATACTCATTTGCTGGGCACGAAGAGCTGTAAGCTATGATATGATGGCATGTGTTGTAGTTCTGGTGCTAGCTCTTTTGTCCCATCTGCCACTGCAAAACAGCCTTCAAGAGCTTCTCCAAGTCTGAATTTGGTCTTCAGTTTTTCTCGCTCCCTGCACTGGAGTGTCCGTGATTCTCAAGTGCGTACATACCCAGTTCTCTGTTCCAAACTTGGTCTCAATTCTGTGTGACATTGCTGATTTACAGTTTTATGTAGGCTCCCAAGAATTAGCAGGTGGCTCTCCTTTTAAATAGCTGTTTCAATTATTGTGAACGATTTGATGATGAAGGAATTATCCTGTATTTGCAACATGAGTAATGTGTGCCACCTATCTTTGGCTTCCATGTAAGCAATAAATCAATAAACCACAGTTTCCTTCCAGTGACTTGTCTGGGATACCTTTAGACAGGATTGCTTTTCTTGCTGCAGAATATCATAAATAGGCTTAGAATCTTTTTCAGAGAGACGATTAGGAAGTTTCTACTATCTATATCTACACATACAAAACCTGATTTGAAGCAAGTCCTTTAGCTTAAAGTGTCCAGCCGTGCTGGCTAGGGATGATAGGAGCTTTAGTCCAACACATCTGAAGGCTGAGGAAAGCTGAAGTACATGGTTCCCCTCATGATGATGTCTATGACTTGACTTACCAATAGCGATGTCGCAATGGTCAGTTGTATATTAGGACTGTCTGCCCAGTACAACTCAAATGTGGTGACATGACCCAGACTTCTTCCACTTATAAGAAAGACACATGGAATGAGCAGGAAGGAGATTTTCATTAGCTGGAACAGAACTTACCTTCCTTACTCCTTTTCAAGTGTTGGGGCGTGACAGGAGCTAGTAGGAGGGTATGTCCCCTCCTCTGCTGTCAGTGGTCCACAAGAGTCCAAATTTCTTAGAGTATCAATAAATCAGGCTAGCTAACCAGTACAGATTCCAGAGAAGCATGGGGAACGTACATGAATATAGGTCTTCTCACTGCAGACCCTCCAATGCATGGAGGATGGCCAGGAAGTGAAAGAGGAGTGGGACAACAAGCTGCCTCTTACATTCTATTTACATGGTTCCTTTCTTTACTGCCTGAATGAGCAATACTGTCTGTATCTTGATTAAAGTTGCCATTAACCACAGTTTTATTGATACTCTAGGTACATCTGAACAGATGGATGCTGAGCGGGCAGTGATGGCATTATTCCTGGATCATGAACAAGCTTATTCTTGGAAAGCTGCCTATTTCTATTGTCTCAGCAGCAACAAACACTTTTTGGAACAAATTCTGGTAATCCCCTAATGAGACATAGCTTAATGAGACATTACTCTAAGAGTTAAACAATGGTTCGTGCTGATGTCGTGTATCAGAGTGAAGCAGAGAACTCCCAGAATGGCACCTATGCATTAACATTGAGATCTCTGGCAAAAGTGCTGCAGTTTTAGTGACTTAACAGATAGGTCTCTAAACTGTAAACCAGGGCCTTTGTTCTCTATTTAGTTATTTACATTGAGCTTTATCCAATCAAATTTCATTCATGCAGTAAGACTCCTCTTTCTCTCCTACTGCCTGCACAGCCCATAGATTGGCTTGGAAGGATCCCACAAACCTCCAGAACAAATTTGGGGGATGCAAATGGAGGGTGAATTCATTCTGCCAATGGTGTCCGTTTTGCTGGTGATGGGTCGCCACTGGATACTACTCTGATTCATTCTCTTAAGTATTTCATACTGGGGTTCACTTATTTTGAAGGTGCATTTAAGAAAAGGGGCTGTGAGTGTAGATAAATAAAGAGCTTTATATGTTTTGGAAGTGTAGAAGTCTGAAACAAGACTAAATAGGTGACTTGAATTTAAGTGGGTTGAATCACTTAATCACTCCACAGGTATCGGTATCTGTTTCCATATAATTGTGCCAAAGGTCTGCTCTGATTTCTCAGGTGGTTCACACTAACATCTTAGGAAAGGAACTATCTACTCATGATCTCTTAAAGCGCAATTCTGTGCAAGGTGAGACAGAAGAAGGAGGTGCTGGGAGCTGTACTTTTTTCTGTCTCAACTTTTGCAGGATTGTGCCCTACATCAGAGGTGTTTGAGACTGAATAGGGAGTCTTGATAGATGTGAAGCACGCACTTTTCCTCAGAGCCGCATCCCTTCTGATTTGCTGTAACCTCGCTATGGGGTGTCATTATCCCAGCATGTTTTGCTTCTAAATAAAATTTTGAATGCATCTTTTGAACCAGAGAAAAGGAAGTGGTACTGTGATGACAGGTATATAGGTGTGTTTTTCAACCACTGTTTTCCTTCAGCCCTGAGAAAGTGAACTAGAAAAATCTCTCTGAATTGTTCCGGTGATACAACTTCAACATTTCATGGATCAAATACAGGAATAATCTTTCTGGTTCTGGCATTCCACTTTCGTTAGAATTAAAAAGTTGTTCTTTTCTTAGGTTACGGCATTAGCTTTATTGAAAAGGGAAGACTTCTCCAGCCTTAGCAGCTTACTGAAGCAGGAATTCAGCCACCTCAGTCGTCTCCTGATACTGCTAGGGTGGACACAGTGTCGCAGTTTAGAATCCGCAAAAATGCTGCTGGAAACTCTTCACAAAACTCAGGCAAGTCAGACTCTGTGAGATATGTGGAGAACGTGCAACACATTCTCTATTGTGAAGCGAGGCGCAGAATTGGAGGGATGCTTTGTGTTTTCTTTTCCCCTTTTTTAAATGGGTGTATACCTGATCCAGTTCCTCTCCCTATCACTTTTTTTAAACAGGGACTCTTCAATGATTCTATATTAAAAGATTTCTGTGATGGTCTGTGTGCTCAAGTGGATGTTCTTGAGTGGTGCATCCAGCAGAATAGGTAACAAAACATGGATTAATTCTTTCCAAGGTCTCTGTCCCCATGAGCCTGATTTATGATGGATGCTAGTGATCTCTAATAGCATGTGCAGATTCAATGTATACATGGGCTCTGACTATAGCCATGAGGCAAAAGAAAAGGTACTTCTCTTTGGACATGGCTGGGCCCCTTACAATTTTCTGCTCTCCACCCGATTTCTCCCCCAGCTTCCATTCTTCTGTCTTCAACCAGCCCATCAGCTCCTGTTCTCTGTAAAGCTTGCTCTTCTGTCTCATGTGTGTCTCCTCCTTCCTTCCTCTCTGACACTTCCACATCAAAATACCGAAGCCACACTTAAGTGGAACTATAGCTCTATGTATTTTGAGCTAAATAATTATAATCTGATCTGGCATTGAAAAAGGTATTCAAGTGATCAGGTTGGAAGCCAAATTTGGCATTATGATCATGGTTTTTTTCTTTCAAATCTATTGCATGGCCTTCAGAACCCCTGTTCATACCCCGTATATATTACTGTGAGCTGGAAGATGGGTTGGGGCAAGAGGCACATGTTTTCAGATTTTCTGGAAATTCAAATGTTTATCCTTGTCACTGGTGACGTCTGACTGCGTTTACATAGGTTACTTGGATAAAGTGCTTAAAACCCAACTATTTAAGCTGAGTTGGGTTTTAGAATGTTGTACATGTTAAACAATCCAGATAGCGAGCCAATTACTCTGCCACTGAAAGCAGGTTTCCATTCCCCTGCAGTAATACCATCCCAGAGAAACTTCTTCTGCAGCACTTACACAGTTTGGAGTGCCACTCTTCCCTTTACCTCCTCTACCATCTTACCGACCTCCTGGCTTTGAATGAAGAAGCTGTGATTGAACTTCTGCAGAAAATTCCAGTCAGGACCATAGAGGTTCAAGGTAAATTTTGCAAGGGGTATGGAGATGACCAAGTGTTCATTTAATCGCTGCTGACTTTTCTAAAACTAAAAACCTCTGCCGGTACAGTTACATACCTATTGGCTTGTTGTGCTGAAGAATACATTATGATGAAGAATGATGGGTGATGCTGATCTCAGCTCATCTAGCAACGTCTAGGGTGATGGGGGTCGTGCCCCCAAGTAATTTTATAGAAAGACCCAGCCCTGTTTTGTTTGTTCTACATTTTTTACTTCCATAATGTTAGTAGCAAGTACTGTCGCATCACTGAAAGTGTTTACTGCTAATTGGCAAAGCTTCTGAAGCAGGGGCAGGTAATGTGGTGTTCGTGGGCAGCAACATGGTCCTTGCTCGTGCTAATGTGACCCCAGAAACCACACTTGGTGCCCAGCAAAGTACTCTGCTTGTCCCTTTTTTAGAATAAATATTACATTTTAGCAATATAAACTAACAATGATGTAACAACAAAATTCAACACATGTATCTTTATTAATCACATGGTCTAGTAGTATACAATTTAAACTCCATTACAGCCACAAAACGATCACTTTTCAGTTATTCACCTTACTAGTTATTACACCCTTCCAAAAATAAGACTGATGGGCTATAGACTCTGCATGACTCTTCCTGATTTTTTTTTTAAATAATATTTTCTTACTGGCTGAGATTGTGTCAGAGTGAGCTGGGAGCCTCTCATTTTTGCCATCTGAATTTCCCATGAAAGTCTCTGGTTGGGTTCCTTTTACTTTGGCAACAGTTTTATCTCTTGTTTCTCAAATTTCCAGATGTTCTAACAAAAGGCCCAAAAGTTTAGCTAGCCCAGCATTAGAGCAATTAGGAATTAGATGTTTACCAAGCAGGTATATTTCGAATATCTAAATCCTTTAAGAACATATGTCCTGTTTTCCTGTTTTATAACCTAGCAAAATGTAGCTGGAGTGGACTCTGTGTGTGCGTGTACACATGCACATTTTGTGAGGGTGCCCTTAGTTACTATGCCACACCGGTTCTCATGTACTGGACTAGGTACAAATGACACTTTAGATTCACTAATAGCAGCTAATAGTCCTTTCAACTGTATGTGACTGCAACTTCTTTAGCATTGTTGTTGGAACTGAATGCAAAATGAGTGCTCAGATCTGGAAAATATAATTGTTTCCTTGCATCAGAGTGACTAAACCTTTTAGTTTTCTGCATCCTCTTCTTTTTTAGATTCAGCAATGATGCCAGCTTCCACCCGTTTGGGTCAGCAGCGCAATCTTATCCTTTTCCAGGCATTTTGTGCCATGAAATATGCCATCTACGCACTCTGTGTCAATGTGCACAAGGGTTCACATTGTAAGGACTGCGCGAGCCAGTTTGTCAGTGACCTTCCTGATGAATTGCCTGATCAAAACAAACCTACGGATCAACCTCTCTACCCAGGTCTGGTAGCTTGTGCATACCTTCTAACTAAATGTTGCTTCTTATTCAGTGTGTAACTGCTTCTTCCTACAGATCACAGCATATCTTAATAGGTTTATTCAGAGCTGTGAACAATGCCAGAGCAATGGGGATTAGCAGTCTAGTCCACCCAATCAACATAGACAGCCTTTGTGAATATTCAAGCTGCTGGAAGCACCTACCATGGCTTATTCTGCTGTCCAAACTTGACACAGGGTAGGTTGTTGCCATGGTTGACAAACCACTCCCAAACTTAAAACAGTCTATGGGTTGTGTGTGGTTTATTAACCAAGGCAACAAGCATTCTTGCCAGGTTCTGGTGTCGTCATAAGTTCTAGCCACTACCATTTTGGGAATATTCATAGTGGTGCCAGGATGTGCAGCAACCCACAGCGGCTTAAATATGCTAAGCTGGGCTATGGTGATCATGTGAACCATGTCATGGTCTCATCTCCCAAGCTTTATTCTCCACTGTATCACCACTGCATTCCATTTCCTGGATCAGATTGAAGGCTGGGCTCCACAGTGATAAGATGCTAGTACAAATAGAGGTTTAATGTCTTGTGAACCACTCTGTAAACTTTTGTTGAAATTGAGTAAAGTGTCTACCTGTTTCTCACTTTGCAGCCCTATATGCCCACACAGTTCATTTGCCATTTCTGCAAGGAGACTGGAACGGGTGGCCCATGATTGGTGGAGAACTACTGTGACATTTACCTTAACCTTTTTCTAATCCAAAGAAATCACTGAGAATATTTTTCAAGCTGAGGGTCAGTTTGCAGTGGCAGAAGCAATTGAATGTAGAAGGCCGAGACTCGCCCATTTGTGTGATTGAATGGAAGCCTTATTGGATGAATTGGGCCTTCATACTCAAGCTTTACGTATGCACCTGTCCGACTTTTACAAGCTGATATGATAAAGCAATTTTCATGGAATTCAGTATGTCTAATTTTTCAGGATAACATTTTGGTTGTTTGTATATAGCAGGTCAGATTGCTCCTGGAAAATTAACTCATTCTTTAAGCATCCTTATCCTACTGTCCTTGGTCTGCTTCTGCTCCTTGCTTGTGGTGCTCTGTAATTGAGATGGTATGAGCTTAACACATCAAGGAAAGGAGTGTAATTTGGTGGCTGAGACTCCTGTGCTATCAGATGCTTTAGCATCACATTTCTGTTTTGGGGATTCAGCAATACTGCCTAAGTTCTAAATGCTGAATTCCAGTTACTTATTATCCTCTGGCTATATCAAGAACCCCCAGAGTGTTTTTAAACAGGGGTCACTAAAGGTAGCATAGGATGTTGCCTGTTTTCCAGGCAAGTGTTTGAATCTACTAATTTAAAGTCAATTATTACTATTCCAACATTACATTTATACCTTGCCTTTCTTCCATTTGGAAGGAACACAAAGCAGCTTGCAAAGTTTTCCTTTTTTTCATTTCATCCTCACAACAACCACCCTGTGAGGTAGGTTAAGCTGAGAGTCTGTGACTGATCCAAAATCCATGACCAATTGAAGACTAGACTAGAACCTAGATCTTCCTGATCCCAAGTCCAACACTCTAACTACCACACCACACTGGCTTAAAATATTAAAGTTAGATGTTGCTTTTACATCATCCTGAAAGTAATCCAGTCATCAGGTTTTTTCCCTTACAAATTGTATATTAATACTAAAATCAGTTCATGCTGCAAAACATAGTTTAATTATCTATTTTATGTGTAATACATGATTATATATATGCTTGTCAACAATTGGCCAAACACAAATGTGAGAAATACACAATCCAGTATATGTTTACTCAGGAGTAATCCTCACAGGTTCAATTCAACTGGGTAGGGTAACTAAGGAAAAGGAGTATGCATCATGCTGGTAATTGTTAGTGGAAGCAAAACAGGAAGAATGAAATGCCTTTTAAACCTAGATTCTATTTTTTTCAAAAAGCACCATTTGTGTTTTTCCATTATCCATCTTTGAAAAACAGTATTATTGAGGGCAGGGATGGAGGGGAAAAGCCACTTCTTCCCTAGCAAAATCCAGAAGCAGCACTCAGCTTTCACAATATAAGCTGCTTAGCAACTGAGCTGTCCCAAGGACAGCAGCATCCAAGCAAATCTCGTTGCCGGATACTTCCCCCATTATCCTTAGTTAAACCTCTACATGTTGTGAGTTAGACTGTGGCTGCAACCCCACATTTCTGTGGGGGTATCAGGACTTCTTAAAAGGCATGCATAAGATTGTTCTCTGTCTTTATTTTACTGTCTTCCACTATTTTAATTCTGATGGAAGAATTTTACCCACTCTGAGGGCTATAGCTTGTTAACTTTGCATACCTCCTCTCCCTGTGCCCATGTGTCTTGCTTTCCTTTGCTGTCTTGCTTTCCCCCAGTCTTCAGTCAGGGCAACTTCCCCAGCAGAGGCTGGAGCCAGTATTTCATTTTTGTACTTCCATTAGCCAGAACTCTCTCTAATAAAAACATACCATCAGATCTTTCATGTACGAAGAAATTAGTTAACAGTTAAAATGGTTAACTACCAGTTCCCAGTCAAACATATGCCCCTCAAACACCCGGAAGTAGAGAGAGGCCTATATCTGGCACTGAAAAAATGACAAAGAAAACATGAGCATTTGCTTAATTAGCCAGTGGACATATACCACGGAGTACACCCCACTGAGCTCCATGGAACTTGCTTGTGCATTTGGTAGCTACAGAGGGTTCTCCCGGACCATTGGTTAATGCAGATTATAAATTCAATAATAAACAAACACAAACAAATAAATAGGAACAACTGAAATGGGTCTACTTCTTAAATTAAAAATAAGTTCAAATATGATCCTGACTATGCTGAAAATATACTTTATGCATATTATAGATACTAAAACAAGTAGTTCACTGTTAGGGCACATTCCCTGTATTTGCAAATTCACCTTTCTGGGTTTTTTGGTTCTCTGTGTGTGTGTATGTTTGCATTAGTCCATATTCTCCCTTCACAGCTAAGCTCAGTACCAAAGGCAAAGCTAGACTGGTTCTGCATGCTTGGCTCTTTGCTCTCTTCCTCTCCCTTCTCTATGAACACTGATTCTAGCAACAGTTTTTTGGTATAATCTTCCCTATGATTGTATAGTCCCTGTAGCCAGTCTGAGGGTGGTAGGATCCCTCCCTCTCTCCCTCCCCTTCCGGGTTCTTGGGACTGTAGAATATATCGAAACAAGGTGTTTCAGCAGTTAGGAATTTATCAGGAATTGCCTGGAGGTAGTTATTACATGCCCTGGGGTTCCAGTTAGTGACTATTAGCAAACCCACCAAGTGTACTATCTTTGAAAAGTTTGTAGCTATCTGGTCCTTGAATGAAGTCATCCAGAGAGGAAGTGAGCTAGTTAATCTGTTTTTTCAAATATTTTGTTTTTACAATGCAGATTATGTGAGTCTCTTTGCACAGTATCTTGCCAAGTGTCAGCATTATTTAAGGACTGTCCCTGTTCCTCTTCGCCTGGAGCTCCTGGAGAACATCTTCTCCTTGCTCTTTGTCTCTTATAGCGACCTCTGTAGTACTGATCCCCAGGAGGAGGAGAACACAGAAGATGCTGGTTCTGAGAAAAGTGGCCGTGTGGCAAGGAGACTAGAGCGTTGTGCTAGCCAAGGTTCTTCCACCTCAGCAAGCCCTCAGCACTCTGCAGGGCCAAGAAGGAGATCCAAGATGCGCACAGCTGCTGCCCCTCAAGAACATAGTGATGTCCAAATGTCACTCGGTTCAGGGTCAGATCGAAACAACTGCACTTCCTTCAGACTGAACTATCTGGACTTGAAACATTTCACCAGAGGTGTCCGTGGATTTTTAGTAGATGAAGTGGCAATGGAGATCTTCCTCCAAATGCTGTTGGACCATCTGAAGGAAATAGAAGGGTCTTTTCCATGGGACTCCCGGAATGCATCTCAGGAAGAGCTGGCCCTGCTGGATTGCTTGAATTTATCGATCAGTCGCGATGGCTTCGTTTGCCATGTGCAGCTGTTGTCCAAGTACCTCTCTGAAGCTCAGTGGCGGTATAAAATAGTGCTGAGCAACAGAAATGCAGGTAAGAAATTTACTGCAAGTGGTCTTTGAAACTGCCAAGCAGAGAGCAAGACCCTTCATACCTGTGAGTCGGTAGGGAAGGAACAAGGAGTACTGCATCCTGCCTCGTGATTAGCTGCAGGTTTGATGCTTCTGTCCACTCAGATCTGCAAGAGCCTGGGTGGAAGAGGTGCTTGCATGTTGCAGCGAGAGAACAAATGACTTCAGTGGAGAAGCAGCAGCGGCCATAAAGATCCTGTTTGTGGCCCAAGCCTGAGTCATGATGACATTTGACTGCTTTGCCTTGCCTGCATTGTATAAAGGGAGCCATCTGTGCTTCTGCTACAGAAAGGGAAGCTGCAGGTGATGTTACAGGCATGGCCTCCTCCAGTGTAGCCCAGCTCTGCACCACTATTTGGACTTCTATTCCCCATAATTTTAGCAGTCTTTTGTGAAGGCCATGACAGAAACCCCTTTTTGCCTGTTCTTTGTGGCCCTAGTTTTATCTGCCATGAATCCTCTCTCAATTCTGTGAAATACCCTGCGTTCTGCCTAGTGAAGCCATAGGCTGTCAGTTTGTACAGCATAACCTAGTGGGGTAACCATGTATCCTTGGTGTAGACCCTTGCTTTAAGGGCATTAACATAGGAACTAGTAGGATGGGAGCTTCTACCTTCTACATCTCTAGTTTCTTATGTTGCTTTCATCAGTGATGTGCCATGAGTTAAATAATAGTAAATGCTTAACGTTATCACTGAATGCTATGCTTTCAGGCAGCCCCCATGCTCCTAACAGAATGTCCTCTGATTTAACCGGAGAGTCCAACTTGAAGAGGCAGAGTCAATCTCAAAGGCAAAAGCCAGGTAAAGTGGTGAAAAATCAAAGCAGCGTACAACACCCTCAGTGCTGGTTTGGCTCACATTTCAGAACCTCCTATCTGGAACAGACTGATGATTTACAGGGCTGTGGCCCCTCCTGGCCTATAACTGGAGCCTAAGTCAAGCATCTCTAATTGTCATTGTGAGAAAACAGACTCTGCAGCTTTCAGTGCTCACTTCAGGGTTGGGTCCAAAGATAGAGTCAGCAAAATAGGTGGAGAACAGGTCGATTTTATTTATTACGATGATATATTTCTGTCCTGCCTGCTTCTCTGCAAGCAACCCAAGGTGCTCTATATAATTCCCTTCCTCCTCTGTATTTTCCTTATAGTAACTCTGAAGTAGCTTAGGCTGAGCATTAGCGAATGTTCATGGCCAATTGGGAACTAGAGCCTGGATCTCCTGAGTACCAGGCTGGCTAACCCTCTAACCACGGTGCCACACTGGCTACGTGATCCCCATGTGGATAAAAACTTTGGGAAGCAAAAGTCAGTCTCCTCTAACCAGCCCCATAAGAAGAATGCTCCCATCCTTTCCAGTGCTGCTAATCAGTAGCATAAATGAGTTATACTGTTTATAGTACAGGCTGCAGGTGGTTAAGAAGGAGCTTGTTTCATTCCTGCCAACTGTTAGCACAATTACTGTGGCCCAAGCCTGGTTGTTTCTTTCCGCATATTCTGCTTCACTGAGTTTTAAATCTTTTAGACTTTCATCTCCTGCAGCCAAATTTCCTTCAGTTTTTCTTAGAGATGGCCTTACTTCTTCCTAAAAATAAGCAGAGCGGTTGTATTCTATTACTGCAGTGGGTAAAATATAATTTGGGTACTGGCCACGTTAATTGCATGCTCAGTTAGATTGACACATTCATGTATAAGTTTGTGACACATCTTTAAAAAAAATCAAGTGCATAATAAACTATGAGACAGGAAAATCCTCCTTGGAGCAGCAGTTACCATTCCCACATTTCTTGAAATATCTCGTCTGCTGATAGCCTGCATTAAGATTGCCAAAAAGTCCTTGCTTGTTTGGCAGGCATGATGCTTTCAGAGTATTTTGCCCCCTATTCCTGTGCCTACCTGTGCTTGGTCTAGAAGTCAGCATTGAATCTGCCTGGCAATGCTGCGTGTAGCTTCTGTATGATGGTGGGGACTTTGAAGTTCTACTTGCTGCAGAGCATCCTCACATGCAAGTGCTTTTCAGCTGATTCTTTATACTTACTCCAGCCCTGGCTATCAATCCAAAGGGCTTCCTCTCTTTTTAGCAGTAACTTCCATCTAAGGATCTTCTCACTCTCCTTTGTCCCCAGAATAGCTCTTGATTGCTTTGTATGGCTGTAGAAGGATGGGCAGACCCCAAAAGTCTTACCTGGATAAAAGTTGGGAATGGGCTGTTAATTACCTGAACATCTAAAAAGTTAAAATACAGTAGCTTTGGAGGCCTCTGGATAATCATGAACCATGGTCATGGAAGCCTCACACCCTTCTTCAGTATCTCTTTTCTTTTCTGCTTCAGTTTGCAAGAAAGGCATCTCAGAGTCCTTGGTGGAAAGCACAAGCAGTGAATTAAGTATCACCAGCACATCAGGTATAAAAGTTTTCTCCATCCCTTCCTGCCAGTAGAATGACCATTCTTCCGCCACCCACTGGTACTGGGGCAGCTTACCCAGTGCCTGGTCTTTTGTGCTTTTGGTGTTTATAAAAAGAAATATATAACAATTGTTTATAGATTTCTTTTTGGCTGGGGTTTTGATTTTTTTCTGCTGCAGTGACTTAGTGGTGCAGATATTGATATTGTTAATATTTTGGTTGGTTGTTAGCCACCTTGGGAGCAACAGTGCTGAATGGTGACAAATGCACTTTAAAAATTAAGTAATTTTTTAAAAATGCGCACACTTCCATGTGTTCTTCAGCCTCCTGATAATGACAGTACTTGGCATAAACTTCCCTCTTTGAGATGACATTTGTTCCTGCTAACTTCTGTATCTACTTGGCTTCCTTTCCTTTGTTTTTCTTTCCTCCTTGTTTTTGTTTCTTTTTTAGAAGGAAGTGCTAGTTCACTATCTGACTGGAGTGAAGTAGAATATAGGAGAAAGCCTCAAAGGAACCTCCTCATCCCGATGATGCTTTCTCCTCCAGAGTCTCTTCTTGTTTCCTGTATCTTGAGGGGAAACTACATAGAAGCTCATCAGGTAACTGTGATCATGGCAAGACACTGACCTGGTTCACATAATGCAACAGCCTAGCGTGGCTTAATTTGCCCGTGGGGACTGGCAGTTAATGCTAGTTGCCCACAGGCGCCATTTCTGCATGGTACCCATGGGTGCTTGGCTTGCTCTGGCTTGTCATATTGTGCAAACGCAGGCAGCAGAGACTATCTGAGGCTTAGACAGACTTTGCTCTGATATGCAAACAGGCCTATTATTTTGGTAATGGCTGCAATCTCTGGAAGTGACCATGCATCCATGACCTGGCCAGGAAACCACAGGAATTAATCTTCCATAGTTCCTAGCCACTCTGTGTGTGTTAAGCACATGTGAAGATGGAAGACTGTGCTAGCTGGCCCCTCTCCCTACATGCCTGCCACCTCTGCTAAGTAAAGCCCAGTGAGAAGTATGGACATAGTACAGAGGGCCTGATCCATACTGTGGAAACCCAAGGAGGGTCTCGGGCTTCTATGGAAAGGTGCACTGCTATCCGGAGCGCGAATCTAAACCTAGTATGGATTAACTGAGTGTTCAGGAGATTAACAGTTTATGGTAGACCTTTTCTGTATGACATTTTAGGGGTCTACTTAGCCTTCTATATCCATGCAGGGCAATATTCTCTTTAGTTTGTATTTCCCTCATCTCAGAAAGTTGAACTTGGGAGTATTTATACACCTGTAAGACATAAATACTAAATTGTTTAACTGATATTAGTCGTTCAGTCAAAGCTTTGGATGTGTACTTCCATGGGACCTCTTAAAACAGCTTTCCGATAGGGTTTGGATTGCTCATTCTTGTTCTCTGTAAAAAATACCTAAATACTGATAAAATGCTTCTTACATGATAAATCTATGTTGCCTCTTAATCCACAATGACAGGTGGCTATTATGTTTCATTTGGAGACTTCTGCTTCCTATGGTGAGTTAATTTTCTTGGAGCGTTACCAAGAAGTGATCAGCGAGCTGGCAAAAGTGGAACACAAGATTGAACATCAGTCATGTGAAGGATCCGGACACCTCAAACAGCCTGGCAGTGGCCATTCTACCCTAAAGGCTATAGGGAATGCAGCAGCCGCAGGTAACAACCTGATCTCTGCTTGTAAAAGTTGGAATCTAGGACTGACGGGGGTCACGCCACAGCGGTTAATGAAAGCTAGGAGCAAAGACAAGGTGTGTGGATACAGAACGCTGTCGCATCAAAGGGAAGGGTTTAGCTTAGCCTGCTGTTGGTCATGCTAACTCTGCATGAGTCGTGGCCTGGTCTGGCAAGCCCTGCTGCCACGCATGGAGTGCATATGATGCCCAGGTTGGCACAACATGCTAAGCCACCACACCAGCTTCTTCTACAAGGCACCCCATGGAAAAAGGAAGGGCTCAGATGACACTAAGCCACCCCCACCCACCGTGGCCTGGCAGGCTGCGGGAGTCCAGTCAGTGTTTGTGGTGCATGGGTGGGGGCAGGGCCAGCCCTACCATTAGTCAGGGTGAAATGGTTGCTTCAGGCAATGGAAGGGGCAGCAAAATGTTGCTTAGTTGTTGTAACTTTACGACCAGGGATAGTAAGATTCTTTCTTGATAGAATTCTTTGTCCCAGGTGCCAAAATAATGGGCCTGGTATTGGATTAGTAGATGCACTGAACTGGGGTGAGTCATTTACCACTCTTCCTCGGTAATCATAGAAAGGACATTGGGCTCCAGCTCCTGCCCACTGCACGTCTCCAAGTTAAAGCATCCCTAATGAATCGCATCCTGAATGCCTCCAGTGTTAGGGGGCTCACCTTAGGGAACTGGCTCCATTGTTTTCTTGCTCGGACAGTCAGGAAGTTTTTCCTGATGTTCACTGAAATCCAGCTTCCTGTCACTTGAGCCCGTTCCTGTCGCTCCCTGTAATTTGAGTCCAGTAACTTGAGAGTTTGTATGGTATAGCAGTTCAGGGAACTGGGCTAGAATTCAAGTGATCCAGGTTCTAGACTGCACTTTACTATGGAGCAAACTTGATGACTTTGGGTCAACCATGGACTCTTAGCTTTACTCCACAGGGTTCTTGTTAGGATACAATGGAGAGGAGAACCTTGTCAGTTATCTTGAGTTCCTTGCAAGAAGAATGGTGGGATATAAATGATCATTATTCTGTGTCCTGCACTTAAGGTTATTGAGAAGTGGCCCTGGTTCTCTTCTGCAATACAACTTTTCACATACTTGAAGAGTGCTATCATTTGTCCCCTCAATCTTTTCTTCTCAAGGTTAACATAATCAGTTCTTCCAGTCTCTCTTCATAGGGCTTTGTTTTTAATCCCTTGATCATTTTTGTTGCCTTCCTCTGAACTTTTTTCGGTTTCCTTGCATCTTTCTTAAACTGTGGTGCCCAGAACTGAATGCAGTACTCGGAAAGAGTCCTAGTCAGTGCTGACTAGAACTAACACTACATATGATTTGGAAGTGATGCTTTTATTAATGCAGTCTGAAATAGTATTTTCTTGTGAAACATGCTTTAATTTATCTCTGCAAGCTGAATACAAGCTATATAAAAACAAACTCAAGCAACAGTCCCCATCCTCACTCCCACTTTATTGCTTTTGCTGGCTGCCTAGACCTGGTTATAGCAAGCACCTTGCAGGTCACAAGCCATGGTTGATGCCTTTAATATTATTAGCCTTTAATGTGATGCAGGTTTTGCAGGCCTATAGGAAATGGTTAGATCTTGCACCCCACACCTTGAGTCATTAAGCAATGAATTGCCATAGATAAACTTTAGGGTCATGATAAGCAATCTGGTGCCCTCCAGAAGTTGTGCAGTATAACTCCCACAATCTCTGGCCTTTGGACATGCTGGGTGGGACTTAGAGTTGTAGTCCCAAGCATCTTGGGGAGGGGGGCACCAGCTTGCCCTAAACTGTTCCAGGAGTGTTTGTGAGAATTCAGTATAAAATGACTTTATTTAAATTGCATTGGATGCTTTTGGTTATAGCATAGTTTGTCTGCTGTGATCTTCTTACCCTCACATTTTCCTGATAGCAGTATGTGTGTAGAGATGCATGGTCAAAGAATGAAGATGTTGGGCCCAGAGTAGATTGGATGAAACTCTGCTCCATAACAGGCCTTTCCTGGCTCTTCCCTTCCCGTTACTGTCCTGTGTCCCCACAAAATCTGCTTCTGATGTTCAGTGGAAATTCTAGGATAGCATACACTACGTGCCAGTTCTGCAGAAGGACAGAGATATCAGAGGAATTCCATGGTGCTGCGTCACGCAAGTAGAAGTGACTTTCTGCTCACACAAGGTGCTTCTGAATCCAAGCGATTATATTTGCAAGAAAGTGTTCCCTTTTGGTACCAGAAACAGCACAACAATAAGCAGCTACTCTGTCCTCCAAAACCACACCAGGCATTAAAGCAGCACTTTCACAGAACTGGCCTGAAACAAAGTGAAGCCAAGGGAGGTCTGACTTCTCTGGGATTGCACAACTGTGTTGCTTTTTACATTTCATACAACCTTTTCTTGTTCTTTCCCAAGGTATGGTGTTTTACTCCATCTCAGACGTTACCGATAAGCTGCTTGCCCCTTCTGAAGGTCTTGTTGTCCCTATGCTCCAAGAGAATTTCTGGGCCAGCAGCATTCAGCTGGAGCCTAGCGACCCCCTGAACAACGTCCTGGAAGGCCTCTGCCCCGCCGCAATGGTCATTTTTGACTTGGCATCTACTCAGTGCCACTTGTGGAAAACGTGCAAGCAGCTCTTAGAAACAGCAGAGAGAAGGTTGCATAACAGCCTTGAAATGAAGGGTAAGCTTCCCTCCTCTGTTCAGTTAAGTAGTCTTAAAAAATGTGTGGCATGGAAAGTACCTAAAGGCAAGTAAAAACAGAAAAAAAGGCCTACAACTCCCAGCATGCCCCAACCAGCATGGTTGGCTGGGGCAATTGATACACCGTATGCCTTTTTTTCTGATTAGACTTGCATAGGATTTCACGGTAAGATGACCATGTCAACCATAGCTGTGCATAATTGTGTCAATGCAGTTCTCTTGCCCTCCATTTCTCTTCTTCACTTTGCCTTCTGCATCTGATCACAGGCCGAAGATTTGATTCTGTTCTGCAGTGCCCTGAGGGCATGAGAGGTTTCCCAGCAGTTCTTCAACAAATAAGTAAAATTGTCAATATATCACAAGGACACCCTAAATCAGGTAAATTCTTTGCTTTACTTTATGAGTTCATTCACACCTTGGGGAACCATTTTCAGGGATGCTTCTCGGACGCTCATTTGAACCACATTTTATTTGCCTTCTATTGAATGAAGACTTTCCTCATTAGGAGATCCTCCATGTTTGACATTCAGTGCTTGCTGCTCCTTCTCAGTAACTGTTTTATTAGATTGCTTTACCCTGTGACTGATTTTAGGATTTGCATCTTCAAAGTAGATGGCATGGATTGGATACACCAATGGGCTTACTCAATATAAAGGAGGTGTCTTTATGCTGCATTGACTCCATTCAGCATTTGGTTGTCCTTATGTGCTTTTGCATACTTGCTTAGTATTTAAAATGGCATTGAGCTTTGATATTGATGGATGTTTTCTTTTGTTTCCCAGCAGAAATCTCCAGTGAGAAAATAAGTAGTCACTTCCATTGCAGCATTGCTGATCTGCTGCAGAGTTGCTATCCTGCTCTCACTGAGAACTGTATTACTAATCAGATAGTTTTATCACAGTGTTTTGACCAAATTCTGCAAAAACTGGAACATGTGGAAGATGCTTCTGGTAAGTTATGTGCATTTGGTAATAAATTTCTTCACAATTTTGATTTTTTTTTGCTTCTAACTGTGGATGTTTTTAAGTTTAATGCCCAAATTTGGTTATTTATAAGTAGGATCTCAAAGAAAATAACTCTAACATTTCTAATGAACATAATTAATACTTATAGATTCTAGAACTTCATGATATAATATTTCCAGTGCTGCTTAGTAAGATGCATTGACACTGGATTTAAAAAAACAGAATATTATCCCCACAATTTACTTAATGCTTCCCTGTTAAAATGTCTTCATGCTTATTTGTATAGTATTTGAAAGTTTTCTCCCACTGATGGAAAGAGTGTCAGATTACATAGAACAGACTGCTGTAACATGATAGTGTGCTGGAATGGAAAGGTGTAATTTTGCTAAGGAAAAAAAGTTATTTGTGTGCTAGAATGATGGAACATTTAATCTCTAACTTTTTTGTTTTAATAGATTCCAAAGGGAATTTACTTGCCTCATTAGTAGAACAGGCTTCTTTGAAACCTGCAGAAGTAGAAGCACATCCAGTTTATAAAGAAATAAAACTTTTGCTGAGAACCTTGGACCAACATGCTGAAACCATGCAGGAGAGTTCTGTGCCAAATGCCTATGTGCAGAGGTTCTTTGATTACCTCAACAGGCTGGCTGCCATTGTCCTCCGAAGTCTTACTCCAGAACTAGGTAAAAGATTCTGCACCACTAAACAAGCTAATCCAGGCTTGAATTCAAGAGTCTTCCACTGTCTTCTAATGGGGGAAAACAATATCTTAATGAGGAATTAAAATGAGCAAACTTATTTGCACCCATATTTGTAGGAATTTTTTTCTGTATTTGTATCAGACCGATCAGCTGTTTGTAGTAAAGTTTTACTAAAGTAGTCCTCCCACAGCTGGTCCCCACCAGGTGTTTTGTATGTCAGGTTCCATCAGCTGATCAGGAATGCTGTAAATTGTAGTTCAAAACTTTTAGAGAGCACTAGGTTGCAGAAGACACAACAAATTGTTGTCTGTGCAGTTGAAATTAAGAAGATCATGGCAAGTTTACAGCACGGCACTATCTTTAGAAGGTGGATTTCAGATGCATAACATGGAATCAACTCCAAACAATACATAAACATTTTCCAATGTTTTTCTTTCATTCTAGATCAATCTGCAGAAGTACGTGTGGGAAATCCTTTCATATTACTACAACAGACACCTTCACATTTGCTATCCCAACTTTTGTTTGAGAAACAAGTTCTTCCTGACAGGTAACATTTTTTAGACATAGATGTTGTGATATGAGAACATGTCTGTGTAGGAATCTGATTTTCTGTTTTATTCTTTTAAGTTGATATATGTTTAGATTGTATCTGAAGTGCTGCTTAAGAAATATTCTGCTGTCACCAAGCCTCTGACTACTGTTAAAGGACTTTGGGAGTACTCGCTGTAGTTGGCTTTGTGAAATTTATACCAATCTTCTCTTCCACTGACATAAGTTTCAATTTGGGAGGTCAGTGACTATTGTGAGATTCATTGGTTGGCTTCACAAAAATGAAATATCCTGTGCATCTTTTAGTACGAAATGGACATTTGGAATTGGGAAGTAAGGCCAGCAAGTTCTTTGCATTAATGCTAGACAGCTTTAGTTAAACCCAGAGTATTCCCCAAGGTCTATCCTGTATACTGTGGAGCTACGGCAGAAAATGCTCAAATGGGGTTTGCAACTGAATATGCATGCCTGCTTCTATATGAACAACACAAAACAAGCTGCTTGTTCAGCAAAATCAAGTGGTAGAGTCCTTCCTGTGTTCTTTCTAGCACATTAAGGAGAAGAGCCTGGATGTTTACCTGACCTGCTGGTGTTCTGTGTGTAAATACCTTTTAAACTTAAAAGAAAATTTTTCAACATCGTCACCACCACTGCCATTCCTGAAATCTGAGATGGCACCATCCAAGGAGCCTTCAGGATGTTGCTAGAATGTGTAGCTCATCCTGTTTATAAGCTTTATGATTTCCCTTGAGCATTGAAATGTCCGCTAACTTTCCAGAACATAACTTGCTGCCAGCACAATTAGCACAAATGTTAAAGTCTCACTTCAGTTGCTTGTTAGCACCAGCTGTGGGGGCTCTCTCTCAGTAGCTTCATTTATTTTTAGAAATCCATTTTTGAAAATGCTTGAAGTAGTTATTTCCTAGCTGAAGGAAGCAAATGCAGAGCAAGAGTCAAGGATGTTCTTAGAAATTCTAGTTTAGTTAGATCACAGCTAAGCTGCACAGCTGTGGTGTCCCTGTTTATAGAGGAGCTACTGTTGTAAGCCAGAGTGGCTTCATTATTGCCATATAAAAGAGACGAGGAACACTGGATATAACTGGGCTTCTTCACACATTCTGTTCAAGATGTTCTGAGGTACCTCGCAAAACATAAGTGTGAATATGCCGTGTACATTTGACCCAACAAAAAAAGGAATAAATAAAATAAATACCCAGCTCATCAGGAAGCTGTGATTTCTTGCCAGTCTCTGTTGAGTGAGTTTGCCATTTAACCATGTATCGAACAGTTCATAGTATAAACTTACATTTATTGCACATTCTCCTTCTCAATCCTGCAGGTTGTCTTCGTTGCTGGCCAAAGAAGAGCTGAAGCTGAATGTGCAGCAGGTGATCATTGACTGTTGTTGTAAGGCATTGCTGCTGTGCAATGCCAGGCAACACAGCCAGACCAGGTCACTTTTGACCAACATCAGCAGCCTCGCACATCTGCATGCGTATCATTGTCTGCCTGATGTTGAAGTGCCAGTCCACAATCTGGCCATGGACTCTGGGGACCCTCCTAGCCACACCGTACCACCCCTGCCTGACCAGAACCAGCATATGCTCACAGCGTCCACCCTCAATTTCCTGAAGTCTCAGTCAAAACTGACAGCTGCCATGGCTTGCCTCAATGCAACAAAGGTTCAGAAAACACCCAGACAGAGCCTGTCATGGATGGAGTTCCGAGGCAAGCGGGAAGCACCCTTGTCTATTGAGCAAATTTCCAAGGAATGTGAAGCCCTGCTAAAGGGGTTCCCACTGCTGGAGAACTTCCTTCTTGTCATGTCTGAGCCCCTGCAGGATCCTCAGGATGAAGGAAATGGCTTGGCTAGTGGACTTTGTGGCAAGTCTTACGTCTCCTTGCTTTTCCTGGGACTGCATTCTGACACAGCAGTCGAGGTGTTAACGGAGGTTTTTGAGCACGCGCTCACTGCGGGGGACTGGTCCAGAGCCCTGAAGGTCTTGGATCTCTACAGTCAGGATACGGACGAGCTAATCACTGTGCGAGATGCTGTGCTGAGCTGTGCCACTGCTGATGGTAAAAAGGAATGATTCTTCTTTTACAGTTGATACTTGGGCTGGAAAATGGGAATTTGATCTACTAAATTTTGGAGGAAAATCTGTTGAACTGCTGCCGATGCATCAATTCTAAAACTTGGGCTCATGTAGGTATAGATGCAGGAGAAGAGGGTCTATTAAGGCTAAGGACATACGGTCTTTGTTAGAGCTATTCTATTTACGTTTCATGGATTGTCAGTCACCTTTCCTTCCATCAGCTGCTCATTGCTGGAAAAAGATTTTGTGCAGATTCATTTATATGCTATTGTGCAAACTGGGTCTTCCAAAATATGAAAATCACTTGCTCAAATATGCAAATCCCACTAAACTGTGCATTTTCACACTTTAGAGAATGTAAGGAAATGTGCATTTTCAGTCAGTATTTTTTGGGGAATATTTTTCTATGACAAAATTTTCATGGAATTATGGAAAGTAAAAGTGGCTGGCTCCAAGACTGCAGAATCCATGCAGTTCAGGAAAAAACAGTCTACTGCAGAATCCATTGGCTGGATTCATAGAAATCCAAACTCATCAGACTCCACTGCAGTTTTCTCTGACATCCCTAGTTGAGGCATGATGCCCAGGGGATAAAGTATAAATGGAAAAGTTTTTCTGAAGGTTTGAAATGACTATTTCTTGAATTATTGACTTATAAAAGGGACGGACAGGCAGGAAGGCCACAGAGAAGGGAAAGGCTGTAAGTTAGTGGCAGAGCACTGCTTTGCGTGCGAAAGGTCCAGGTTCAATTCCTTTGAGCTCCAGGTATGTCTAGAAAAGACTTCTGTGCAGAATCCTGGAGAGCAACTGATCCATCTAGTTCAGTATAGACCATTTTTCGTTTTGGAAGGAGCCCAAGGTGGCTTACATAGTCCTTCTTTTCCATTTAATCCTCATAACATTCCTGTTAGACTGAGAGTCTATGGCTGGCCCAAGGTCACTCAGTCAGTTTCATGACTGAGCTGGACTAGAATTTGGATGTCATGTATCCCAGGTCAACAGTCTAACTACTGCAGCTCACTTGGTTTCTGGATGCTTTCTGTGGTTTCAGTCATGTTGTGGCCATCCCCTTCTGTGTCTCATTATCCAGTACTCTGGTTAACCTTGTACATTTAGAACACACTCAGACTGGGCATCATCGTATCTGTAAATGTTACTTCCTTTCCAGAGGAGGAAGGTTGGCAGTACCTTTTCCAAGTGAGAGATGCCATGCTGAGAAGCAGATTGGCCTTGCGCTGTTTAGATAGGTGGCCCTTGGAAGCTTGTCTGGAAATCTTAGCCTATTGTGCCTGTGACCCTGAAGTGTCTGAAGAACTCAGATCCGATCTGCAGAGCAAAACAAGAGAGCTTCAGGTTTATCAAAAGGTACCCAAGCTGTTTTATTAGGGGCAGAAAGTTTCTTCATAATGCTTGCTGAATATAGAGATAGCCTTCTCCATGAATTATACCTGCCTTGATTTTGAGAAGTATTTAAATTGTGGTTTTGGATTCTCCTGATGTACTTCTGTGCTCTGTTTTTGAGAAGACAGTGGAAATAATTTTACCAAACTTTGCAGCAGGTTTTTACCAGTATTTCTTATAGATATAGGCCATTTTATGGTCTTTGGAGAGTAGAAAGATGCAAAATAGAATTATTGGGAGGCAAATTTCATTGATATCAATTGAACTATCAGATAAGCATGCCTGAGATTATAAGGTTAAGAAACTTAAAATGATTTTGCTTGTAAGTGTGTATCTGATTTTATCTATGCACTGTTTGTAATAAATGTTCTTCAACAGCCTAACATTTATTCTGAAGAGGTGAACACCATTTTGCCTGCATTAACTTTGACAACTGTTGGGACAGCTCAGTTCTTAAAACTGAAAAACTTACTGCATTGGCCTCTTAGGTCGTTTTGTTTTGTTTTTGTTTTGGTTTTGCTTTGACAAATAATAATTTGCATTAGTAAAATGATAGTATCCCATAGAGTTGTTTGTTCTGCTGGGATTTGTGGAAGATGTAGAATTGATTTTTCAAGAGTACTTTTCATGGGACTGTCTGCTGACTTGGTTTTTTCCTTGACAAGACAATGTAAAATTGGTAGGAAGCATGGCATTTCTGTAGTAACAGATGTCATAAGATGATCCCTCCCGTCCCCTCCCTTCCCTTCCTTGTCTCTGTTGCACTCAAATTTAGTATATATAGTATTGGGATGGGAACGTCCCTTTTTCTTGTATTCTGAATTGTGTTTATACACTGATGGTGTTGTATAAAAGTGGAAATAGGGATTTCTGTTCTTTTGAGAGCAGCTCATTTCTAATTGAGATTAATTCTTGGAATAGCTTGTTTAGTTCTGGCCTTATTTCTTAAAAAAGAAGGAAATGGCTGAATTAATTATTCAGTTGCATTTGCTTTTATTTTGTCAGATTCTAAGTCTGCAAGAGGTGCCAGCATGGCATGACTGGCAGGACCTGAAAAGAGCCTGCACTGAAGATTCCCAGGCTATTATAGAGATTATTCTGGAAGCAAAGGTAGGACACTGGTTTTGTCTCACTTTTTTCACAGAAATTTCTGCCTGTGGAATCCTTAAATTTTGCTTTAAATATTAAACAGCTTCATTTAATCCATCATCTTATTTCCAGTAAAGACTGGCTAGTTAGCTGTCTAGCTGAAAGCACACAATACTGGCTTTCTCTGATATACCCATGATTAAAAGGGGCTGTATCTTCTCTCTGTATTCTTTCCTTGCCAATAGAGTATTAATTTTTTTTTTCTACCATAAGAGTTTCTGCCTACAGTTCCCATCAGCCCTAGCTAAGATAGCTAATGGAGAGAGGTGATGGAAATGAAAGGTCAAAATGTCTGCAGGACTACACTGTTCTTGCTTAATAAGTGGATTTGTTCTTGCTTAATAAGCAGATTGGGACTGCAGGTGGCGCAGTGGTTTAAACCACTGTGCTGCTGGGCTGGAAGATTGAAAGGTCGCCGGTTCGAATCTGCACAACGGGGTGAGTTCCCGTTGCTCCGTCCCAGCAGCTGCCAACCTTGCAGTTCGAAAGCATGCAAATGCAGGTAGATAAAAAGGTACCACTTTGGTGGGCAGGTAACAGCATTCCATGCACTTCAGTGTTTAGTCATGCCAGCCACATGACCATGGAGACTGTCTGCGGACAAACACTGGCTCCCTCGGCTAGGAAACAGAGATGAGCATTGCCCCCTAGAGTCTGGCATGACTGGACTTAATGTCAAGGGGAAACCTTTACCTTTTTAATAAGCAGATTAAATTTTCAAGAAGTTCTTTAAGCCTTTCTATAGTATCTGAATGACAAATCTCCAAGGAAGAGTTGTTTGTCTTTATCCTAGGATTATGAATTATGTGAAGAATGGGGTAATTTATATTCTGTTCCAAGAGAACATCTGATCAGCCTTCATCAAGAGCACCTTCTTCATTTGTTGGAGAAGGGTGATATGGAAAAGGCCCTGCAGGTAACCATTTTGGTTTTCTGATTTTTATCTATCCAAAATTGCTTTGAGATAAAGGATGCATATGCTGTATCACCAAGTCTTTCATAATTAATTCATGGGAGGAAGGTAAGTTCCTGTGTTCTGCAGGTGTCTTTGTGCTGAGCCACATCAATGGACAGATCAGTGTATGTTTAAACACATAGGAAGCATATGCCCAGAAGTTTTTCACACTTATGGCTCCTGGTCACACAAAAGCATCTCCTGAACTTTATTTATGCAATTTATCTCAATAACCTAAGTGACTCTCAATATATACATAATGCAAGTATTATAAAACTATTCTATGTATTCCAAATATGGGAACAATGTAATAACTAACATTTCAACAGACACAGTAATAAAATGGAACAGTGTCATAGTCCATTACAAGCCAGGAAAAGTGTATGTAGACAACTGTTTCCAAGTGGTGTTTGAACTTCAGTTAAATTACTGTATTGCACAGTGCATGGCAGGCTGTTCCAGAGAGAGGGTGCCATTACCAAGAAGGGCTCCTGATACTGTTAGCTGGGTGTATGCCGAGGGTTGCAGTCTAGTACATCTGGGGGACGCCAGCTTCAAGGAGACAGCAGTGATGTGAAGCAGCCTGCTTGAGATGGCACTATGGGGCTTGGAAGGAGGTGGAGTCTGGGCAGTACAAGCAAGGTGTTTAAAGTGCCTGTCCAGGAAAGGCAGTACGACTGTGCGACAGCACAGTTCATTGTTATCCGAATGAGCTGAGCATTTCATTTTGATTTAACTTCTTTGCAGCTGTTGCAGAGAATAGATGATCCTGATATTCAGCTTACCATAAGTGAGCAGTGTCTTGACAAACATCCTGGCTTGGCAGCTTCTCATTTTCTCGCGGATTATCTTACAACTTACTTTTATAAGCACCTAACGATTATGCGCCACAATGAAATCCAGGCTCTTTACATAGGATCAAAGGTAAGCAGGGGTGGCATTCTTGAGGACGTGCCACACGAGTCTTTCTCATTGCTCATCTGTGTGGTCTCCGGGTCTTCTCTCGGCTAATGGCAGCCCTGTCTCTCCTGTATCCAAGGTGTTACTGACTCTTCCCGAGCCTTACCGTGCCAGCTACTCTCACCTGTCCTGCAAGCCGATGCTCATGCTGGAACAGCTCCTGATGAACATGAAGGTGGATTGGGCAGCAGTAGCCATACAGACAGTGCACCAGCTCTTGGTTGGACAAGAGATAGGGTTCACGGTGGAAGACATTGATGCTTTGCTCTGCAAGTATGCCGGCAAAGCCCTCGAATTTCCTTTCTCATTAAAAGAGAAGAGATCAGGTGACTGTTTTTCAGAAATCTCCAGTCAGCAAAGGGGTTCCATGTGTTCTTTCACCAAGTGTCACACATACTCAGCCTGCAGGACAGAGTTGGAACGCAGACAGGTGCCGCCACCAAAACATTGTTCTTGTCACGGCTTCTGCGAAATGAGCTAATGGCTAATGGGGTGACTTAAAAGCCTCTGTGCTGCCCCATTTTTCCTCTTTCCATTCTATTTTTATGCACTCATGTGAAAGGACTGTTCTAATCTGCTCTGCAAATAGAAGTGGTTCACCAGTATCAGAACTGCTCTTTTCTCTTGTCTTAGATTCTGTGATTCAGATTCAAGAGAGCCTTTATCGAGGAACTGAGCCTGACACCTTGCCCAAATCGGAATCAGTAGAAAAATTTCCAGCTAGTTCTACCGGTGAGAGAAGGTTTACTGTCCAGATTCTGTTGTGATACCTGTATTTTTCTGGTCCTTATTCTTCTGTGGTGTCATCTGCTCTTGCTAAATTTAAGAAGCATTTAAGATACTATTTTTGCTTTACAGTATTTGAAGAAATTATGAACAGAATGTTTGATATGGTGCCCCTGTTATCTTGGAGGAGTAGAATAATAAAAGATTGGTTGATCAGTAGATATCCATGGTGCCTTGCTCATGTACGGACATCTTTTGGAGGTCCAAAGCTGGAGAGCTGGCACTTAATCTTAATGTCTGCATTGTTAGCATTCATGAAAAGCTAATGGTATGTGGGCATGAGAAGAGCATATCAGGTTTTGTTTGCTTTCTAGAGCGAGCAGTTGGCTAGCCATAAACTCCTTATTAGAAAAAAAATTCTGTTATTAGAGCTACCTGCAACACATAAATGCAAAAGAGAAGGTTCTTTTGACCCATGGTATGAGTATTTTGCAGTACTGAAGAAGTTGTCAGGTGATATACGCACTAGCCCAGAGTCTGCCTGGAGAGTCCCTGAATTAAGACTCCCTTCTCCTTCATGAAGTCTGTTTCTAAGTACAGACAGTGCTGGTTGTTGTTATCTCCTCATTGCTGCTATGCAGTGCTTATTCTGTGGCAGAGTAGGAAGGGTGGTACGAAAAGGGTTATTCACCCATCATCTCCAGCTCCTATTTACTTATTCTATCTCACCATTTTCTTTTCAAGGAACTCAAGTTGGCTTACATAATTCTGGCTCCCCTCTCAATCTGATCCTCACAACAACGACCCTGTGAGGGAGGTTGGGCTGCGAGGCTGCAACTGATCCAAAGCCCCACCCAGTTAGCTCCATGGCCAGGTGCAGACTAGAACCCGGGTCTCCTGAGTCCCAGCCCCACACTCTTAACCACTACACCACACTGGCTCTCAGCTCCTTCTGTGCCATTACTCTTAGAAATGATGCTCACATTGGCCTGATGATTCTAAGCACCTAGATAAAAGATAGGAACAAGAAGTAACTACATACATGCGCTCCCCAGAGAGGTCCACCTGGCGCCGTCATTATTTGTTTTTCGGTGCCAGGCTAAGACCTTTTTATTTCAACAATATTTTAATAACTTTTAACATTGGCTTATATAGGTTTTAATCTGCAGCCAGGGTGGATCTGGATTTTATTTGTATTATGTTTTATTTTATTCTTCTTATTTATGTAAGCTGTCCTGAGGCTCTGTGAAAAGACAGCATACAAATACTCTAAATAAATACATACATACGTATACAAATACTTCATACAGATTCTGCTGGGGGAGATAGTGGAACCCATATTTGGAAGTATATGTACTAGAGTTCCATTTCCTGGAGTCAGCTCTCTCTGCTGCTACAATAAGCGGCTATATGGTCTACATGCTGCAAGGAATAATAAGTGTGTTAGAGCCTCCATTATCTCTGCTCTCCTGCTTAGAAATAGCAGAAGTTCACTAAGAATGTTAAGTCCGCCCCCCAGTGGCAGTATAATATTTATTTATATTTTCATTTGTATGCCGCCAATTACTTTAAAAAGTCCCCAGGCAGCTTACAAAATCAAAGGGATCATAGTTAAAGCAGCAGCTTCCTGTCATACATCTTAGTTGTTCCAACTAAGCTTATGCCCCGAGAGCTTACTCTATAAAAGTGTTTGCTTCTGCCTCTATGTTACTTCTTATATTTATCAAAGTTAATACAGCTGTAAACAAAAAGGCAGAGTCCAGCAGAGTGCTGTTGTCCCCACCCATTGTGTTGGGCAGACTGGCCCTGCTGCTTGCACAATGATGTTTTAGCACTTCCAGAGGCACCCTGAAACAAGCAGAAACATCCTGGAAGGAAGTGGGGCTGTGGAGCACCACTGCCCTGCCTCTTTTTAGAAACAAGCATTTCTGGGTGTTTTGTGCCTTTCCCTAGGAATCTGAGCTAGATAACATGGAAGAGGGCAGTGTTACCATTTACTGTTTATTGCTTCTGGTTCAAGTCCCAGTACGTGTGTGTAAAACAAATGAACAAAAAAGTCACTCTGGGCAAGTTATCCGTGGAGTTTACCATACAAAATCTATTTTGTGGTATGGGAAAAAATTAACCCAGTTCGCTCCAGTGTAACTGATGTGGGCTTTTCTTCAACAGTAAGTGGACTGCATGCATGTAAGGTCCACTTCCTTGAGGTCTACAAGGTCGGGATGTGTGACTCTAGTTGATGGAAACTGTTCCAGCAGACCATCTTCTCAGTCAGTTAGCGCTGACGTGAGAACGTATTGTGCATGATGTTGTCATTATAGGCCAGCAGTAATTCAGTTCTCCACTCATTTGGTTTTCTTTCTGTTGTTAGATACATCACAGTCACCCAGTCCAGTGGAGAAAAGCCTACAGCAAACTGTGTCCCTTCAAGAGTTCGTGCCACCAGAGAAGCCCCCTCCAAAACAGCAGTGGATTCCTGATGAAACTGAAGCCACTTGCATGGTTTGCAAAACTGAACATTTTACTATGGTACGGAAACATCAGGACTGTTCTTGGGTCATACAGTTGGAGCTCTTGAACAGGGATTGTACTTGCAGTGGCCTCTGCCATCCTGTCCAGAATTTTAGTCAGCCATGTTTCTCTCTTTAATGAAAAGATCCAGAGTTCAGGTTATTTTACTGGAGTAAATATAACCGCTGAAATACCATTGCTCATTTGAACTTCCTTCTTTGTGTCTCAGTTTAATAGGCGGCATCACTGTAGACGTTGTGGGAGGCTAGTGTGCAGCTCCTGTTCCAGCAAGAAAATGGTGGTGGAAAATTGTCGGGAAAACCCGGCTCGGGTGTGTGACCAGTGCTACAGTTACCACCACAAGGAGGAGTCACCTGAAACACCCCAGGATACAGAAATGTGTGTAAAGAGTCTTTCTTCATTCTTAATGTATCTGTACTGAGTGGAATATTTAGGCATTACTGTATGGATCATTTCCACTTAAAATTATTTAGTTTTTAATTAGAGGGTTCTTTTGGTGTTTAAGTATCTTAGCTGGTTGACATTTTTGTCTGTCTTTGTAATACCATAGTTCCCAAAGATCTGCAACTAATTTTCATTCAGTAGGCCCTGATTATTCAGTCACTCAGTGGCAAGAGCCATGCATCACCTGGCCATGTTCAAGCATCAGTAGCCCATTTGGTTTCTTGGCAATAATGCGAATAGCAGTGCATATGGAAGAAAACACATTGGTGAATTTCCTAGTGATGCTGTGCACATGAGCTGAAAGATGTTGGACATAACTATTTGTTACGCAATGAAGTTGTTTATCATGGTTGTCTTTGCTCTAATTAGAACATAGTTGCCATGACACACACTCTGACTTTGTATAGTGCAGTTGCTTTTGCTTCTTTCGGAGGCTGCTTCACATTCACTGCTGTTAGGAAGACAAATAAGTGGGTCCCAGATCAGGTCAGATCAGAACTTTCCCTGAAAGCAAAAATGACCAAAAAAGCCTGTCATACTTTGGGAACATTCTGGGAAGGTAGGACTCGTTGGAGAAGATAATCACGTTAGGGAGAGTCAAAAGCAGAAGAAGATTAAAATGACAGCAGCTAAATACGAAATGGATTGATTCCATAAAGGAAGCCACAGCCTTGAGTTTACAAGACTTAAGCAGCATTATGAAGGACAGGTGTTTTGGGGGGCACCTATTCATAGCGTCACTGTAAGTCAGAGATGACTTGGTGGCACAGAGCAGCACATTCATAGGTTGGCTTAGGAAGAATTGGCTCTGACCAGCAAATTTGGGTATACAGCAAAGGAAAAGTGGCGGTGTTTAAGAGTATGGCAAGCTAGGAGAACTGGCCCTTTGGAATTCTTGTGAGGCCATTGATCATGGGGATAGAACCTTGCTACTCATTTTTTATTCATTTAAAACTTTTACATCCTATCTTTTATGAGAAGAGTCTTTGCAGTGGCTGTCAGCTCAAATAGATCTAAAGGCAGCATAAATTGGGGAATAAAATGAATGACCAGCAGGCTGTTATTTCAGTGCTTGCTTCCTCTTAACAAGAATTCTTACTTAGCAAAGGGAAACAAGTAACTTACTGTATATTTATGTAGTAAGCATAGCAAAAGTAGATGTTTCTGTTAGCTAATATTCTGGAAATGTATACACTGTTGTGGTCAAATTAACTTTTCCAAGCATGTTAAATGGTTACGAAGTAGCCTCCTTTCTTTTCCTTCTTTATAGTTTAAAAGAAGGGCAGCAGGATCAAACTGAAGGTGAGGAAAACAACTTTTTGTTTTTGCATGTAATAAGGCTAAGGTCATGGATCTCTAACCTGGCTCTTAGTATACAGTTTCAGGCAATGCAGAGAAGGTAATAGGAAAGTCTGAGGGCACTTGAAATGCCAGTAAATGCTAAGTGGGACCAGCTTTCTAGTCTGTGCTGCTGCAAGGCCTAATCTCTGGGAAGAACACAGGGGAGAATATTTGGTCTTACTGGACCACCTACCTCAGGGGTCCTCAGACTTTTTAAACAGGGGGCCAGTTCACTGTCCCTCAGACTGTTGGTGGGGGCAGACTTTAGTTTGAAAAAAATATGAATGAATTCCTATGCACGCTGCACATTAAAATTTATTAAAATTTATTAAAATTAATTAAAAATGTAAAAAATAATTAAAAATTAAAAACTGTTTGTTCTGCTCGCTTGGGCTGCAGCAGAAGCCCAAGATGAGGTGGGGAGGAGCATGTCCATATTTAACGGACATAGCTACAGTGTCTGCAATGGTGCTGGTGGGAGGGAAGACGGGCGTGATCATGCTCATGCAGGGAAGGCAGGCGCGATCGCGGTTGCGCTTGTGTAGGGAAGGCAGGCGCGATCGTGGTTGCGCTTGTGCAGGGAAGGCAGGTGCGATCACGGCTGTCTCCCCCCTCCCCCCAAGCACAACCGCAATCATGCCCGTTGTCCCTGCACGAGCACAACCGCTATTGTGGCCATCTCCCCACTGAGTACGCCTGTGCCGGCTCAGAGCTTTTGGACTCGCTCGGAGATCATTTTCTCGAAGTGAGTCCTAAAGCTCTGAGGCCAGGTAAAGCATTGTGGTGGGCCGGATCTGGCCCACGGGCCGTACTTTGAGGACCCATGAGCTACTTCCTGAAAAGTATTGCAAGCTTAGGAAAGCAACACATGCTGCTTTGGGCATGGGTCAAGGAGCCCTTATGGTGGAAATCCTTGTTACCCTTCCAAACAGCTAATTCCTCCAATACAGATTATAGCCTTATATCTGTTTCAAAGTGGGTAACAATAAAATAATAAAATGTTACAATAAAATGCCTCAAGAAAAATAACAACCAGTAGCACTTCAGTCATTAGATCAGTGAAATCAAAGTAGTAGTCATTAAAAAAAACACAAGCAAAGCTCTTTAGAAGCTTGAGCACTTATCCCTTCTAGTCCTCCCACCCTCCATGGTTGTATGGGGAGTGCAAAGCACAAAGGTGATATGAGATTTTTAAGAAACGGAGTGCATTTTTAGAATTGAAATATCTCACCATAAGAAGTAGAATATTTCCAACTTTCAATGCGTAGGATATGTAGTCCAAGGTGCTACAAGTATTTTATTCCATTCTCAAAGTGCTTCTTCCACAAGTGTTGCCGAGCTGTTTGCAGAAAGTGGCTTTTTGTCCTGAACTCTTCTTTGCTTATTTCTTCTTCCCATGGTAGCAGAGGCCTCGGAGGATGGAGGCTTAGATTTTTCTGCAGCAGTGCAAGTACCAAAGATGACGGAACTTGAGTGGCTTCTTTCTTTGAGGGAGGAAGAGAATGAAATTGTGTATGGCGAGTTCTATTATGAACAGGTACATTAATGCTTTTTAAGTGGGAAACGAAAGACTCTTGTATACAGAAGCAGGGCATGCAGGAAAGAAGAGTTAAAATGATGTTGTGGAAGAGAATCCCTGACAGGTGGGGAGAGAGCCAAGTGATGTTCCTGAACTTTTGGAAACTGACTGCTGCAGCCGCAGTGCCATCACTCCCAGGGACCATACAATTTAACAGATCGTCTTTCCACTCACAGAGATGGAGGTTTGTGGGCAGAGAGGGAAGTTCCCTTTCCCAGGCCTCCTTGTCACAGACATGGAAACCACTGTTCCACTTACCACTCTGCCATCAGAACTCTAATGGTGGTACTGGCAAAAAGAGGGGCATTCTGGGAGGGGATTAGGGAAGTCTTTGAAATGGAGTGTACATATTTTCCCTTGAGCTGCCTCCTCCCAGCCTCTGCCCTGCTGGAGAAAACCCAGCAGGACTTTGAATCTGGTGGCCCCTTTGTCTTTGGATCATTCTTTCCAGATCTCGTAGCAAATAAATGCCCTAGCTGTAACCCCATCAGATAGCATGTAAACTATTTGTATTTACTGTGTGCTCATGCAGGAATTCAAGGTTGCCAATCTCTTCATTTTTGCTTCTTAGTTTTATAGGAAAGAAGATGGTTTTGGGTTCATCTCCTTGTGCTTGGTCTCTCGACTTAGGTGCCTTCTAACAGGCAGAGTCCCTTAGCTCCAGCCTGCTAGGGGTAGAGCCATGGCTGCATCTGACTTTTCATTCCTTTCCTCTTTTAATAATCAGGCTCCCAGTGCATCCTTGTGTATTGCTATCTTCAATCTGCATTCAGACAGCACAGCCTGTGGTCATCAGTTGATAGAACATTGCTGCAGGTTGTCCCAAGGCCTGACAAACCCCGAAGTGGATGCTGGCCTCCTCATGGACATCATGAAACAGCTGCTTTTCAGTGCCAAAATGATGTTTGTTAAAACCGGAAGGAGTCAAGATCTAGCTCTTTGTGACAGGTAAATTGACACCAGTTCTGCAAGGATGCCTTTACCCCATAGTCAAGGATACCCATGGTCTGTGCCAGCCAGGTGCCCTTCAAAGATGTTCAGCTATGAACTCCAGAGTCCTCAGCCAGGATTTTGGGAGTTGTGAGAATGAAGATGGCACATCCATGTTACATTTGTACCAAGAAACAGTTCACTGGAAAGAGTACTGTTACCTAGCCAGTTTTAAGAAATGTAGATATATAGTGGGCTTTGCTTCTGGGCTGACACACTTTTCTTTTGTTTAATTATAAAAAAAGAAAAAAATGAGGCTCTTTGCCTTTGCTGGAGGTTCAGGAAATGGTGTGATGGAGCATTGCTGCCATCTAGCATAGATTCGCCTCACTGTTGGGCTGTGTCTGCCTCTTCTTTGGCTACAGTGGGTAGACCACCTTATATTGCCCCGATACACTTTTCTGCTGCTTTTGCATATGTGGATTACTTGCAGGTAAGCACTCACAATAGCCTTTTATGGGGCAGATTAGAGCATGTTTTCATGTAAACCTGCTGGACAGCCTGCCTGTTGTCTGTTGTCCACTTGTAGTAGATTTCATTGCAATTAACCACCCCAGCCTGTTTGTGTAAACAGCCAGCTTATAAGTAGCAGGAATGGAGTGCAGACCCCTCTGTGTACCTGCCCACTTAGTCTAACAATTTGTGGATCTGATGAAATAGACACTAGTCCATAAAGCATTAGTGATGATAATATGTAAAGTTTGTAAGGTGGCCTAGGATGCTGATTGTTCTGCTTTGGTTTTGCTGTAATGAACTAAGACTGCCATTTCGCTGGAAAGTGTTGTTAGTTCAGTGAAGAACTAACTTCCACATAGTAAAGCTCACAAGCTGAGCCCAAATTGTGAGCAATAGCCAAGATGATGAGTAAGCTGTTCCGGGGAGACATCCAAACAGGGGAAAGCTTAGGGAAAAGCCTAAGGTTTTGCCTATTCTGAACAGTTGTAAGCTTTGTAAAAAATAATGTAGAATATGGGTTCTTTTCCCTTAGAATAATGCATAATATTTAAGTGTAGTTCTAGCAAATTACCTATAACTGATTTTTATAAAGAAGAAGCTGCTGTAAGGGTAGAAGTAAAACGAGGATGGCTTTGGGATTAAAATACATATACTATACATCATTGGATCTACAATCTGGTCTTGTAGTACAGATTCCTTATTAAGGGTAGCTAGTTTGGTTGGCCCAGATCCAAGTGTGGATGTTTGCTCTTGGGCACCCCACATTGAAACACTGTTCCAGCGAGTGAGACGTTAGCATTTTTTAATGTTCAGGATCATGTTAAATTTTTCACAGTTTTGTAGTCCAGTGTGACTTCGCATCTAATTCTGCCATGTTTTAACTCTGCCTACAGTTACATAAGCAAAGTGGATGTGCTGAATATTTTAGTAGCCGCTGCATATCGCCGTGTGCCGTCTCTGGATCAGATCCTGCAACCCGCAGCAGTCACTAGGCTAAGGAATCAACTTTTAGAAGCAGAATACTACCAACTAGCTGTAGAGGTAATACATGGGAAATATGTAGCTGTGGATTTATCCTGGGGGTTTCTCAAAGCATTTCACTGTTCTCTGCATGGAGATAATATCTCCAGAGAACACAAATGATTTTATTTTTGAATGAGAGCCCAAGTCTCTTCCCAACAGGGATGCAAAGACTGACCCATCAGCCTTGGGGACATTTCAGGTTTGGGCTGTATAATTGATCAGATGTTGAAAACTAGGGCCCAAATATTTGTTTCCCATTTTCACCAATATAAACAAAGGAGCCATCTGAAAATAAGATTACCACCAATCTTTATCTTTGATAACTTTTTTTAGTAACACGTTTTTTAGGTTTCCACCAAGACTGGCCTGGATCCAGGTGGCGCATGGCATGCATGGGGCATGGCTTGCCTTAAAGCCAGCAACCTAACTGCTGCCAGAGAGAAATTCAGCCGATGCCTGAAGCCTCCTTTTGACTTGAACCAACTAAGTCTAGGATCGCGGATGGTCCAAGATGTGGTGCAGTATCTGGAGTCCACAGTGAAGCCAATTCTCTCAGGGGTAAGAATCCAACCCTTCCCTGCCGCAACAGCTGATCTTTCACCCTGGATTCTGGCTGTGGCTAACAGTGTTACTTAACCATATACTTAACAAAGGTGGTATGTGGTGATTCCAACCACATGGAAAAAACTGTCCTTTGTAGCCACCAGCCATGCTGGAAGCGCACTGTTACCAAGCTCAGTATTCCCAACATGACAACCCCCAAGTGAGGATTGCATGTGCCAGGTGGCATCTGTGGGCACTGCTGCTTTGGTTAAGCAAGCCATGAGGAGCCATGGCATGTTGTCAGTCCAAGCCTGGTATTAGCACATACTCTCATTTGTAATTGAGGTTGGCATGTTATGCCAAAATGTTTCAGATTTTAAATCAGTTTCTTCATACATTTTTCTTTTTAGCTGTGAATGTGCAATTGCTGGTCTGTTATTGTGGTCTGGAATGACCTGTCATGGACATCACATTTTTTAGTTAACATAATTCCACCTGTGCAGACAAAGTTGGGGTTCCCATGGTCCCAGGCACCCTCACGAACTGCTTGTCTTGTTGTGGAGTCCATTGGACAGTCCCCACTATCCAAGAAAGTTATTTCCTTTACAGCTTCAGTAGTACACTACACCAGTGTGAAGGGGGAATGACACCAGAGTATCTATGGCTTTTCTTTGCCATGGAACAAAAGATCAGACAAAATATATTATTGCATTTTACATTTTGAATAAGGTTGTGGTCCTTGCTAGAAGCTGGCAAAATTGACAGCTGCTGGTCTTCCAGACACAAACTTTAAAAAGCAAAACTTTCTACAATTTTTTCTGGGGAGATTTGCTCACAGGGTTCTGCAACATCATGTACTGATCCCAGCATCCCATGAACTTAGGAACCCGTGTCAGTCAGTGGTGGAACGACTGTTGAGGGTTGTAAAAAGCCAGATTCAAGTCCTTACTCAGGTGGCCCAAGGCTACTACCTCGTTTACTCTGCACAACGTTGTTGTGAGAATAAAATGGAGGAGAAATAACCTACGCTCCTTGGAGGAAGGGTGGGATAAAAATGGTAATAGAGAAGTGGTCTTGGGATGGTGATCCTAATCTGCTATATAAGAACTGCTAGTGCTGATAGGAACCATCCCGTATTATGCACTTCTGTACTATTGATCCAGGTTGTGGCACCACACTGATCTCTGTCCATTTGAGGGCAGAAGGGCCTGGGACCCAGGGGAGGATGGCTGTGGGGACGGATGGGTTCTACCCATTTGCACCCTGTCGCCCTTTGCGCCACCTCCTGCATCATTCTGGTCAGCCTTCCATCCCTCTGAAGCAGCTTCTCAGGATGGTGTGGGGTAACGAGTGGGGATGTCTTGTGCATGGAGTTCCATTCAGAGAGACTCTGGATCCAACCCAGTGACCTTTGATTCTCTGCCTCAATAGCTGGATGATGATTACTTTGCCACTTTGAGGGAACTGGAAGCGATGCTGAGGACACGAAGCCTGTCTCTTGACATGACACCTGAGGGGAAGATTCAAAACAACACCTATTATCAAGAGTGCCTCTTTTATTTACACAACTACAGCACCAATCTAGCAATCATTAGTTTTTATATGAGGCATGACTGCATGAGAGAAGCACTGCTGCATTTGTTACATAAGGTAAGATATTTGCAAGTGCCTGAGATGTAGCGGTAAGGACTTAGAAAATAACCTGGAATAGAGGCAGTGTCTGCCCCTAAGCACTGCACAATCTGGGAGAGTTTACTGTGTCATATCACTCTTCAGCTGGTGGGTCTTCCAAATGTCTTTCTTGTTGGCCTACCCGCCCCACCCCACATCTTCAGAGGACGGCACCAATCCAAAGTTCTCCTTGCTTAACCTCTGGTATTCGTGTCCCCTTCCCTGGGAAAGCTTCCTTGAACTATTTCTCCTGCCCCAGTAAAGGTGTAATCCTAAGCATGTTTAGACAGAGCAAAGCCTATAACTCCCACCGCTGCAAACTTGGGCATGCTGGGAGTTGTAGGCATTTTCTCTCTCTCAGCATGTCTAGGATTGTGTCTTTAAGTGCTCATATCAGAGTTCATAAATGATTGCTTAATTTGCCTAGGTTTTGGTTAGATACTAGGCCATATAAATATCTTATGGGAACCATTTTCCCCATGATATGATGAGGTCCGTGGCCTCTATCAATTATTGGTGCCATCTTGTGCTAGGGAGACTGGGTCCATTAGTGTGCTGAGACTAGGAACAAGAACTGCTGTGTTCTCTTCTTCCCTTCCTGAAGTAGATCCTTTCACAAAATGGCTGAGGCCTGGTTTGAGATGCTACAAACAGATGGATTGTGGTTAACAAAGGAAAGGCGTGAATGGTTCAAGGAGAGACTTGCAGAACTTCCCAGGAGTTGACAAGAATTCAAGGGAAGGCTGCTATCAATAGAACTTCCAGAATATATTAAGATGATTTAGAGAATGTATCAGCTTCTGCTGTGTTTGCCTTATGTCATACCATTTTCAGCCTGATCTGGAAATTAGTCAAAGGAGCCCTCTGGGCAGCATCCTGGCCTGCCCACAAGTCAGCAGGACCCACTGCTAGCACAAGGGGGAGCTGGCAGTTAAACAAGCAGCTAGAAATGAGTGGAAACCCTGGCTTCCGCAACAGGATGGTTACAGAACTTGGAGAAGGGTGCTTCACTGGCTTGTCCCAATCCAGAAGCTGGGATTGCTTTTTGAATGGCTGGCTTTCGATTGTGTGGGCCGTGGATGCTGTTTGCAGAGCAGAATGCATGTAGCGGCAATATTGGATACTGCCCAAATGAAACTCTGTAACCTGTATGATTTAGTGTGGACTGCCCAGGGAGTGTTGCCCATTGGGTGATACAGCAGTAAAATAAAATAAGCTTCTCTACCAAAAGCAGCATCAGTGATGTGCATCTGCTTAAAAGGTTCCTTTTATACCCTTTTAGGAGAGCCCACAGGAAGTGTTTATTGAAGGAATCTTTGTCCCAAGCTATAAAAGTGGAAAACTTCACTTGTTGGAGAACTTACTGGAATCCATTGATCCAGGCCTAGAGAGCTGGGGAAGCTATCTCATTGCAGCTTGCAAACACTTGCAAAAAAAGAATTACTACCACATTTTGTATGAATTACAGCAATTTATGAAGGTAAGAATGAGGAATATTCCTGCTGAAATTTTAAACATTGTCTGCTTTTTCCTGACACACAGGTGGGAGTGCATTGCTCTAGAATGGGTGCAGAACCAGAGGCCCAGGGACAAAATCCAGCCTCCTGGTTCCCAGCCTGGCACTCTGGTGTCCCCAGGTGCCTACACACCATTGCATGGCCCCTTCTCCTTTCCCAGGACTGCTGCTTGATTTCATAGCTTTTGTACAGTATTTTTCTCCATTCTAACAGCTTGAAGTCCCTCCCCTAATGCTTTGCTTTGGTCAGTAAGAGATTTATGCTTAAATCTGCTGGTGTTTGGGTATTTTTGTCCAACTCCTTTTGCCTTCGGGTCCTCCTTCCGCTAGAATGCACCCCCACCAAGGGTTCTCCAATATGGAATTTGGCTACCCCAGCCCTAAAGGAAAGTATGAAAGGCCATGCAAATTGAAGACTTCACAATTCTCTTGTTCAGGATCAAAACTAAGAGCAACCTGTTCCTGTTAGGTCGGAGAAAATGTTTATACATGGAGAAACTGGGGTTGCGTGTATGTACATGCTGGGATTTGATTTGAGTATTTAGCTTGAGGAAGTCCAAGTACGCCCACTCCTTTCCTCCTCATTTATGTGGAGGTTCTTTTGTGCAGTTAAATGTATTCTGAAGAGTTAGTTAAGTAAAAATGCTCCTCAGACCCAGAGGCTTTTTGAATGAAACTTGGTTGCACCCAATACCTTAATTTTAGAGCATACCCACATGTTAAAATCTGTCTTTCAGGATCAAGTCCGTGCTGCTATGACCTGTATCAGGTTTTTTACTCACAAAGCCAAGTCTTACACTGAATTGGGCGAAAGGCAAAAATGGCTCTTGAAGGTCAAGGACCACCTCAAAGTTTACCTACAGGAAGTTTCCCGGAGTTCAGGAAGAAAAAGGGTTGCGTGCACTTTCCGTAAGAAAATGCAAGCTCCTGATGTGTCAAGGTACCAGAAAAACGGTGGTTGGCATCAGCTTAAGATTTTTTCACTATTAGTAATACTGTTTCCTGAATGATGTGATAAATTATATTTCAGGACTGGGGTAAGCATCCAGATTTGCAAGTCAGCGAACCATATCTTTTGAGGTTTCCTAACTCTAAAGATAATGCTACAGTTTTAATAGTACTTTGGAATTTTTTCCTTAAAATTGCCTACTAGAGTGTAACACTCTAATTCTCTTTTTGCATCGAATGTATTGAGATGTCCAACCTCTCTACCCTAAGAAATTACAGAATGTTTTCCATGTTTGAACTTTGCATTATGGATGCTTATTTTGTTCTTCTCACAAAGTGATAAAATATGTTTATTCCAGAGGAGGGGAAAAGGAAGACAAACAACGATGTAACACCCACTCTTAGTGACCTAAAACTACATACATATTTCTGAAACAATTGCCATTATCAAATCTTTTTGCATGGTGAAGGCATTGGGGTTTTTTAAAGTGCTTTTTCTGTGCTGGTTATTGAAACCCATTTCCCCACTAAATTAGGCATATCAATACGGTTGAACTTCAGATGGAAGTAACAAAATTCCTCTACCAGTGTGAGAAATCAGGGGCCTCATCTACAGATGCTTTGTCTGTGCCCACACTCTTTGGAAATAACCAGATGAAGATGGAAGTAGCTTGCAAGGTAAATACCAATTAAATCCACATTTAATACCATGACCTTTGACTACAATGAGAACATCTGCACTCTATATTAAAAGTAATTATTTCAACTTTTTAACATTTCATGTTTGCTTTTCATCATTAATGGGGAGTAGAGTTTCCTGCAGTGGGAAAGACCGGCTTCCCCTTCTTTTATTGTGCTAGCCCTAGAGCATGGGTCGGCAACCTGCAGCTCCGGAGCCGCACGTGGCTCTTGAATCCCTCTGTTGCGGCTCCGTCACCCAAAATACGCGTCACAGTTGCCGATCTGCCGCCGAGGCTCCGAGTTACAAAATACCGATAGGTGATGATGAGGCATCCACTCAGGAATGCCTCGCTAGCCAGTTAAGTAAATTGTGACATTGCAGGGAAAGAGTGGAACAAGCTTCCTGCAGGCTCCCATGTCACACAACAGGCTGCTGAAAAGATTCTCTCTGTTCAAATGTAATCTCCTTCCTCTGAATGATAAAAGCTGTGCTTGGGACCTGTCACAATTCACATCCCTTGACTGTTTCTCCGCTAATCAGTCACTAAACGCACCTATATCTGCGACTTCCCCCAGTAGGCCAACCATGGATAAATCGAAGAAAAGAAAAGTTTCTGAAGAAAACCAAACGTTTAATGATACGTTTTAATGATACGTTAATGAAATGTTTAATGACGTTTAATGAAACATTTTAATGAAACGTTTAATGATGCATTTGCTTTTACTGCTGATGAACTTATGGGGTCTGCTGTTTAATGCATGCAGCCCTTTAGCACTGACTTTGACTCTTCAGGAAGCTGTTCTCCTATTCAAAATATATGAAAGGAGTCCTGCTAGTTTATAATAGAAGATTAAAAATACCAGTTTTTAGTGACTGAGCAAGAGCTGCAGCTAAATCATAATGAAGATATACATAGCATTAAGATAAAAAATGATATATGCAGTGTTATTTTCATTTTATATGTCAAAAGGGTTTTGCAGCTCCCGGTGTTTTCTTTTGTGTGGGAAACGGGTCCAAATGGCTCTTTGAGTGTTAAAGGTTGCCGACCCCTGGCCTAGAGACTGAGTTGACTAATAAGCTATTAGAGTTGCCTCAGTTAGACACTATTTCCATTTAGTTTTAACAGTGCAGGCTTACAGTTGCAATCCTGAGTATACTTCCTAGAAAGTGATCCCCTCAGAATACTGTGGACCTTACTTTCTTGCAGCTGTGCCTAACCTTGTTCTGCGTGCTGCTGAGGTGCCATTGGCTGCAGAAGCCTTTCTGAGGTGGCAGCTTGGATCTGGGGAGGGTCCCAGGGCAACCAAAATTATGTCTTCCTCTTTCTGTCCTCCTCCTTCCCTGTTCCATCTTTACTGCTTTCAGAAGTAGTTTTAGCTGTATGCAGACATGACTCTCTGTAGTGCATTTTTTCCCAGCCTGGAGAAGCAACCTTCCAGATGTGTTGGGCTACCGCTACTAGTATGCTCTGGGCAGCGGTGTTAGCTGGAGCATACTGAGAGTTACAGTCTGGCACATCTTAAGGACTCCGGGTTGAGGAAGGTCTGTATGCGATAGGAGACTAGGGTGCCGCAGGTCCCAGGGAGTGTTTGTGGGGACTTCCATTTAAACATGATCCTCTGCAAGAAGGTGAGGCAGTGTTACCTTGGTCCTAACTGCATGTAAATCATGTGGTCTCTAGGCAGGCTTTTGATTTTCCTTAGGTAAGTACTTATCAGTGTACTTAACAGAGTACTTTACTCAACAGTGAGTAAAAATGTGTGTGAAAGTTTCTTTTGTATGTTCATGATATAAACCTCAGATGGGCAACTTGTGTCCCTCTAAATGTTGCTTGACTGTACTGACTTAAGTTGTCTGGGACTGATGGGAGCTGCACTCCAGCAACAACTAACTCAAGGGCCACAAGTTGTCCAACCCTGATACAAGCCAATGCTGAGGCTTCTGAGTGTAAAATTTAAAATTGGGCAGATTGTGGTGTATTCAAGGAGTTGACGACACGTCCAGAATTAGAGGCTTGTTTCAAACAGAGTGTGTGGCAAGCATTGACAAAGTCGCCCATCTTGTTTCCACTTGGCAATCCAGGTTTTTCCAAAACTTTACACTGTCCTGAAGCTTAGTAAAAGGGAACAAGAAATCTCTTTGTGCCGAACAGTTACCAGTACTCTTTGTGGAATGTCTCTGCATTACTAATTTTTTCATTTTTGCTGTTCCTCTCATTTCTTTGCAGGTCATGCTGGAAGGCAAAAACATTGAAGAAGGCTTTGGGATTGCATTCAGAGTCTTACAGGTATGTTGAAAAAACTGCTGTACTGAATATTGACACCTCACAAACATCACCAAAACAGAGCAGGAAAATCATGATAAATTACAATTGCCTTTTCTTTTAGGTATGCCTAAAAGCTTCAGTGTTCAATACTTTGTGTGTTCTTATATTGCCCTGCCTCTTGTTGCTCAGAGTGGGTTAAAATGACTGCTCCTAAAGGTCATGTGGGCAGCTGTATGTGACCCTTACGTGCTCTGCTAATTATAGTGGGGAAGCAGCAATCTCCATCAAAATCTTGGGGTGTGGAGAGACTTTAACTTCCCTACTAGCTATCCTGTCCCTTCTTTTCAGTGGACAAAGAGAAGTCCCGTGTGTGGAGAGGTCTGAGCTTACGTGAGTGCATAGGCCCCAGCCCATTGTGCAACCCAGTCCTTGAGGGTTTTACCTTACCCCTGTTGTAATGTTTTTAAAAAATGTTATTTTACTTGTAGTTTGTCCTGACCCATCTTAAAACAAATGAGTGTTTAATTAATTTATTACGGTCATAGACCAGCAAAACCAAATGTAGGCCAACATAACAATGCTTTTCCAATTAAACTTACAGTTTAAAATGAACTTGAAAATTAAAAGTAAGGAATGAACACTAAAAATTAAAATAACCTAGGCCACAAAACTAAAGCATATACTGCCACAGAGATGTGCATATTAGTAATACAAAAAAACCCTTTGTTATAATTCACTACCATCTAAATTGTATACAAGGAATAGATCTATTACTAAAAAGCAGTCACAGAAAACCAAGGGGAAGAGGCCTTGTGGGTGAAGATATCCTTTTGGGCACACACATATAGAAAAAATACTGACCCAGGCTTCAACTTTTATACACCCTGTCTCCAATATTATTCTAGCATTTGACACACACCTAGGGACCTGCAAAATGGTTCTTAGAAGCTTAGATAGGGCTCTTTCCTGTGTTGCAAAGCATGAGCTGGATAGTCCCATAAAGGAACCATCGAGCAATTGGGCCAGTGTCTTTGCCTTATAAAGTCTAAGAGCTGTAGGGACACTCCCACCCCACTTTGCTTGGTGGAATTTTGCAATGCAGATCTGTTAGCAGATCTTTCTCCCTGTCTTGTCTATTGCTGTGCTGAAGCCTGGAGCCCGAGTCCTGCAGGACGAATCCCAGATATTTAAAGTTATTAGTTCATTGAACAGAATGGCCATTAATCAACCATGAGTGGATCTTTGGCCTGCGCCCAATAGCAACTACCTTGGTTTTGAGGGACTCATTTTCACAGTATTGGGAGAGCTTCTCCAGAGCCCTCCTCAGATCAACAAGGGTTCTAGAAAGTAGCACTATGTCATTGGCATTTAATAGGTCTGAAACCATCCCATTAGCAAGTTTACGAGGATGAAACGTGGGTGAGTTTAGCCAGCTTGCTATATTATTTATATAAAAGGTGCTAACAGACACCCCTGCCTGACACCTCTGAGAGTTGGAAAGCGTTCAGTAAGATGCCCTAGCTTGCTGCATTTAATCCTGAGAGAGGTTTGCTCATGTAGGGCCCGAATAAGGCAATGCCGCCTTCTATCGCTCCTTCATGGATCACTGCCTTGTCATGGCGAAGGGGCTTGCATAGCTCAATGAAGCTATGAGCTATGCTGTGCAGGGTCACCCAAGACGGACAGGTCATAGCAGAGAGCTCTGACAAAACATAATCCACTGGAGAAGGAAATGGCAACCCACTCCAGTATCTTTGCCATGATAACCCCACAGACAGTGCCAAAAGGCAAAAAGATATGACGCCGGAAGATGAGCCCCTCAGGTCGGAAGGTGTCCAATATGCTACTGGGGAAGAGCAGAGGGCTAGTACTAGTAGCGCCAGAAAGAAAGAAGCGACTGGGTCAAAGCCGAAAGGACACTCAGTTGCTGATGTATCTGGTGGTGAAAGGAGAGTCCGATGCTGCAAAGATCTATACTCCATAGGAACCTGGAATGTAGGATCCATGAATCAAGGCAAGCTGGATGTGGTCAGACAGATGACAAGACTGAACATCGACATCTTAGGAATCAGGGAACTAAAATGGACAGGAATGGGTGAATTTAATTCAGATGACCATCAGGTATACTACTGTGGGCAAGAATCCCTCAGAAGAAATGGAGTAGCCTTCATAGTCAATGAAAGAGTAGGAAAAGCAGTACTGGGATACAATCTCCAAAATGACAGAATGATCTCAGTTCGAATCCAAGGCAAACCATTCAACATCACAATAGTCCAAGTCTGTGCCCAACCACTGGTGCTGAAGAGGCTGAAGTTGACCGATTCTATGAAGGCCTACAACACCTCCTAGAATTAACTCCAAAAAATGATGTCTTTATCATCATGGGGGATTGGAATGCTAAAGTAGGAAGCCAAAAGATAACTGGAATAACAGGCAAGTTTGGCCTTGGAGTACAAAATGAAGCAGGGCACAGGCTGGTAGAATTTTGTCAAGAGGATACGATGGTCATAGCAAACACTCTTTTCCAACAACCCAAGAGACGACTCTACACATGGACATCACCAGACGGTCAACACAGAAATCAGATTGACTATGTGCTCTGCAGCCAAAGATGGAGAAGCTGTATACAATCAGTAAAAACTAGACCAGGAGCTGAGTGTGGCTCAGATCATGAGCTTCTGGTTGCAAAATTTAGGCTTAAGTTGAAGAAAGTAGGGAAAAGCACTAGGCCACTCAGGTATGACCTAAATCATATCCCTGATGAATATACAGTAGAGGTGACAAATGGATTTAAGGAAGGACCGGGCGGGGCTTCGGAAGTGCCCTGCGTTAAGTGGTTAATGCTTCTCTGAGGGAGGGTCAGGTGCCTGCCCCTTTAAAGGAGGCGGTAGTCCGACCGGTCCTGAAGAAAGCGTCACTGGATCCAGAGATGGCCACTAACTATAGACCTGTGGCCAACATCCCGTTTCTGGGCAAGGTGTTGGAGCAGGTGATGGCGGGACAACTCCAAGCACTCTTGGATGAAACTGATTATCTGGACCCATTTCAGTCTGGCTTCAGACCCAGGTACGGTACTGAATCTGCTTTGGTCGCCCTGTACGATGACCTGTGCAGGGAGAAGGACAGGGGGAGTGCGTCCCTGTTGGTTCTTCTGGACCTCTCAGCGGCTTTCGATACCATTGACCATGGTATCCTCCTGGATAGGCTAGCAGGATTGGGGGTCGGAGGCACTGCTTTGCAGTGGTTCCGCTCCTATCTCAATGGCCGATACCAGAAGGTGGTGCTGGGGGACTATGACTCTGCGCCATGGCAGCTATGCCATGGAGTACCACAGGGCTCCATTTTGTCCCCTTTGCTGTTTAACATCTACATGAAACCGCTGGGAGAGGTCATCAGGAGGTGTGGGCTGCGGAATCATCAGTACGCTGATGATACCCAGCTCTACCTCTCGTTTTCCACTAATCCAGGTGAGGCAGTGGCTGTGCTGAACTGGTGCTTGGCCGAGGTAGTGGGCTGGATGAGGGCCAATAAACTGAAGCTCAATCCAGACAAGACGGAGGTCCTGTTGGTTGGCAGATCGGGTTTCGGAGAGGGTGGATTTGACCTGGTCCTGAATGGGGTTGCACTCCCTCTTAGGGACAAGGTCCGCAGCTTAGGAGTACTCCTCGACCCGGAGCTTTCATTGGAAGCTCAGGTGACAGTGGTGGCGAGGAGCGCTTTCCTTCAGCTTCGGCTGATTAATCAGCTGCGCCCCTACCTGGAGTACGACTGCCTGGCGATGGTGACACATGCGCTGGTGACTTCCCACCTTGACTTCTGTAACGCGCTTTACTTGGGGCTTCCCTTGAAGACGGTCCGGATACTTCAATTGGTTCAAAATACTGCTGCCAGGTTGCTGACAGGGACGGGGCATTATGTTCACATGACTCCAGTCCTCCGTCAGCTTCACTGGCTTCCCATTGAAGTCCGGGCCCAATTCAAGGTGTTAGTTATGACCTATAAAGCCCTAAACGGCTTGGGTCCTGGTTACCTGAAGGACCGCTTACATCCATATATGCCCGACCGCCCCTTGAGATCTGCGGGAGAGGCCCTTCTCCAGGAACCCTCCATGAAAGAAATTAGGAGGGTAGGTACTCGGAGGAGGGCTTTCTCTGCAGTGGCGCCCAATCTATGGAATGCGCTCCCCAGAGAGGTCCACCTGGCGCTGTCGTTACTTGTTTTTCAGCACCAGGTGAAGACCTTTTTATTTAAACGTCACTTTAATTGATAACAATATTTGCTTATTTATCTGGCCAGGGTGACTTCTTTTATATTTTATATTTTTATTTATTTTATATTGTTAATTTTAATTTTATATTGTTATTTTTGTATTTTATTGTATTTTATTGTGTTTGTAAGCCGCCCCGAGACTTCGGCAAGGGGCGGCATAGAAATGTTCTAATAAATAAATAAATAAATAAATAAATAAAGTATCCCATAACTGATATCAACCTTCACCTTTGCATGTTCCACTCATGACCCTGTTTCACTTGCCCACAATTTTTTTCTTGTTCTTTTCCCCCTTTGCAATGTTTTTAGTTTGCAAATGTTCCCTTTTGCCAGTAACAGCTGCTTGACAGCCCTTCCAAAGTGCTCAAGCAGCACATTGGAGTGGTTGTCACTGGTTCAGTACCAGGTGCTTGGGAAAAGAGAAAAGTGCACTCTACCCTATTTAGTGGAACATGGAGTTTTGACAGCTGTCAAAAGAGAGTAAGAGCGAGCGGATCTTTTACAATGGGGGTTTTCGAAAGTTAAGCACAGTTTTTTTGATAGGGAATATACAGTGAAGAGAGCAGCAAGATAACCTGTTTCCAGTCTTGCTTAATCAAAGCAGTCTGTTGCCTACTGCAATCTTGATGGTAGGTGCTTGCACAGCAAGGCATCATGAGTGGAGTGGGAAATCAAGCTAGTGGCAGTCACACCAAGGTGTCACTTGTGTATTGCTGGAACAGCCCTCGCTGATGGAGGCTCAGATGATTTTGGCAAAAGTAGCAAAGGGGTTTGCTGCGCTTGTTGAGTGGCTCACTCACCACCTCCCTGGACCCATGACAGGAGTTGGTCACTCAAGTTCTGATGACGCACCAATTCATGGTGAGACCAGAAACCCCCAGATCAAGTCATAGGTTGTCAGGTTGGCTCATTGCCCCAAAACAAGTGGTCTGTGTTCGCACAGCACAAGAACCCACCATGACTAGTTACAACGGGCTGCTGTGTTGTATTTTGTTATAATTTATTCAGCAAATTACTCTATGGACCATGTCTGGAGTGAAAAGAAGGATTAAAACATGGAGATTTTGTTTTTAAAAAGCCTTGTAACCCAATCCTGTACTTACTGACTTTGAAGTAAATCCTACCAAGTGTAAAGGGGCTTGCTCCGAAGTGTGTGTCCTTATGATTGCATCTCCAGTCCTTTTAAATTACCAAATATTGTAGTTCCCAGAAAGAAATATACAGTTCATCCTGCAGGAATGCTGCACCACATACACCCTTCTCCATCAGCCCGGCTCTGCTGAGAGCAGGCGGTGAGGTGCAGCTGCAAGGGCTGTAGCGCAGTGAGGCAGAACCCCTGCTCTGCATGCAGAAATGGCGGGGGCCCTGCCTGGCATTTCCCCTTTAAGGCTGGGAAGTGTGCTCTGTCTCGCCCCTTGGAAAAATGTTGCTGTTTGGTGTAGGCAGTAAGAAACCGGATGAATCAGTAGTCTGACTGCTGTAAAGTATAATTGGTAAGGAAGATTTGCCATGCTTGTAGCCTGACCTAATACCTGTTTTTTCAGAGGTCTGAGTTCACCGGGACTGATATCTATGTAATTCTGCACAGGATAGTTCGATGGCTCACATTGTGGGAGGAAACATACGTGGTGTTTACTGTTTCAGATGGATGCACATGAGACCAGGGAGGACTTAAAGAAGTCTTTCCACAAACCCTGGTCATTTGGTAAAGGAGTTTAAATACAGCTGCCATAATGAGAACTAGTCTTGTTAACACTCAGTATCTTAAATGCAGGAGCCAGGTGAGAAAGGAGAGAGTATAAGCAAGTGGATCACAGTGGGAGGGCTTTGGAAGGAGGATTCTGTAGCCTCATAGTGGCTAAAGGTTTTCTTAAGTGCTTGGCAGAACAGGGTCCCTTACCACACTACCGTGCTTCTGTATGAAAGGTGGGCTGAACTCAACTATATTGCAATAGAGAGTGCGAAACCTCTTTCAACCCAACGGCCAAGTTCCATTTTGGAGAAGCTCTCAGGGGCTGAATTTCAGTGGTGGGAGGAAAAGGCAAATGGATTGGAGCCGGAACAGCAAGAACACCACCCAATTCAGCTTAAAGCCTGACCTGTAAATAGGGAAGCTTTAGGAGAAGCATTTTAACTTTTAGCCAGCAGGAAAACTGGAAAAGCTTGGGAGCCATGAAAAGCGAAAGGAAGGGGCGTGGCCCTCTGGGAACTGGATTTGGCCAGTGAAGCTGATGCTCTGCCCCTTTGCTCTATGGCACTTCAGCCCCCACAATTCCCCATTGCAGCTGTGTCAGTAAAGCTCAGCCCCATACTTAACACATCTTGAATGGATATTGTTTCTTCCCCCCTAGGACTTCCAGCTGGAGGCAGCTGCTGTGTACAACAAAGTAGCCAGACAGCTGGTGAAGCAGCAGAATTACAGTGAGATCAGACAGCTCCTCAAATGCATCAAGGAATCTGGTGCTGCCGATAAAAATGATGGGGACAATGTCATCCTAAGTTGTCTGGACGAATTTGATTCTATACCTGCCGAGGTAATTCTCTACTCCTCAGGGGAGGAAAGGCACAGCCAGAGTTTCTCTTTCCACAAATGGGTCTTGTGCTCTCAGAATGTCAGGAGCAAGTGCGGTACTCTTCAGGACTGAATCGTTACCATGTTGCTGCCACAGACCTCTAAGAGAGCATCTTCCTTGAATCTGTTGTCCGCAGATGGGTACCCAGAATGCCCCAGCTCTGAGTGCTTTACCTCCAGGTTGCCCTTTTCAAATGGTTCATGAAGATTTGGGGGAGATGCCAACTGTATCCATAAAGTGAAGACTGAGATGAGCACTTGTTCCCCTGCTGGATTAGGGAGTGATAGGGTTTGTGCAGCAGACTGCTGCAGCTAGGCTCTTTCTGAGAATCTTGATGTCAGAATTCAGTGCTTGGATGCCAAGCCGGAAGTACTGTCCTGAGAACCTTCCTTGTATTCTATGGTTCACAGCAAGTCACAATATAGAACAACAGAGCCAAGCACTCCTGAAGGCCTAAACATTCAGGAGTATGAATGTGGCATAAGTAATGTGATATAAATGTGATAAAACAATATAAATGGTTCCTAGTAAGGGGATGTAAATAGCAGTGTCCTTAAATTTTATTTTTAACTGTTACAATCCCCATCATCGCTTCCTGATTCCAGTCCAAAAGCTAAGAACATCTCCAGCTCCAATAGTTACCATGCAGTGAGGGCAAATAGCACCTCAGCCATATCTTTAGCCTGCAGTAACTAAAATGCCTCAATCCAAGAGTGAGCTCCTGGATCTATGGTGCATCATGGGTGAGTAGCCCCAGGAGATTGTCGTGTTCTCTGAAACCGAACAGCTGCCTGCAGGATGGCTTGGTTTTTTTAACAATAGTCCACCATGAGAATCCATGAGCTGCTGCTTTGGGGATTGATCAGCCTATGAGGGGTTGTCATGTTGTCCAAACCTGGGCAACCAGTCCCAAAGAAAAGTGGGTTGAGGGCAAAGTACAGCCCCTATTTTGCTTATACTTGCCTTTAACAGTTGTCAGACGTAGGACTTTCTTTGGAAACAGGGTGGTTTGGACAGGGAAATGAATGGATTTCGCACACACACGCGCGCTCGCGCTCTCTCTCTCCCTCCCTCCCTTATTCAAACTACCTTATCTAGCTCTCATGAATCTCTTGTTCTCCAAAACAGCAAAAAAGAATAGGTGTACTTTTCCATCTTCCTGAGCACCTAGACCCTTGAATGGGTAAAAAAGTTGGGCACACTGGGATCTAAGGATCTAAGGGGGATGTTGTGAAAGAAGAAAAGGAGAAGTCTACCTGTTCTGCAAGCAGAGATCACTCACAGCTTTGCTTTGACTTGTGCCTCGCCTTTTTACGAATGTCACATCAAAACAAAGTGCGGGGAGCGGGGGGAATCCCTTAGTACCTTCTGCACTTGGCCAGCAGGTAGCCCTCCAGGACAGTGTCCAGGCAAGGCTTCCTGTTTTCAGACCTGGCAGTTCAGACCTGTGGAACTGCACCTCCACAATTGCACATGTCCGATTAAAATACATATTTTTAAAAAAATTACCCAAAAAAGTGCAGACTTGGAGCACAATTTTTAAAAGATGTGGCCAACCAGCTACAACCACTTCAAGTATCCCGTTTGGGCATTTTGGAGGATCTGTCACTAGCTGTTAGTTCAGCAGTTGTTGTTTGCAGTTCCAAATAAATATTTTTTGAGTGGGGTTGGGGAAGAAAAAGGTGCAACAGGCTCTTGTGATCACAGTGGGGAAATGAGACTTCATCTGTCAAGTTCCATGTGATGCCACCTGGAAGACAGGGGAAATGGGGGCCGGGGGGGGGGGGGGAGACAATTCACAGCCTTCTGTTGTGCACACAGCCAACTGGTCAGCCAGCAGCCAACCTGCTGTACCTTCTTGGCAGGATGGGTTAGCCTTACATGTGATCTCAACTATTTAATATTCCATCTAAATTGGAATGGATGCAAGGAATGTTTGAGTGACACAATTATGTCACAAGGGAAGGGCTTTCAGCTTTTTTCTTCTTCTTTGTGGGATACAGGAACTAGACAATCTGATTCAGGATATGGACAGTGATGAAAACAAGGTAAGTGCAGTGTAACAGCAGAATTGATTTACAAGGTGACATAAATTCTAAAGATTGCATAAGCTTAAGCACTACTGTCCTCTTCCATGCTCCTCCCATTATTCTATGCTGTTCTGATTTAGCAGCGAGTATAGCAAGGTGGTAGTTGAGAGCTGTTGCCTGGAGCCTAACATGAGGTGAGGCTTGCAACAGCCTTGATAAAGAGCGAAACAAAGCCACTGTAAAAGGACTGCCTGGTCCTCCTTTCTCAGCACTGATAGCGCTGTTTCACAATGCTTGCTCCCCAGGCCTCTCTCCCACTTGAGAAGGAGCCTGCCAAAGCCAAGAGAGTAGAAAATAGTCACAGGGATGCTGTAGCAATGCTACTTCCCTGTCCTGGCTGGGAAAGGCTGCACACAGCAACACCAGAACAGAGACAGGCACCTCCTTTGCTTCCGGCCCCTGGCTGAAAGGGCAGCCATATCACCTGCTGTACATTCGGGGCTTTGTGTTTCGTTTGGGTCTGATCTGGAGGTGCCCTGAATGCACAGGAAGGCACTTCCACTGGTGTAAGAAGGGTGGGAGGAGGTCCTTGTTTTTGCTCATTTCCCCTTCCTGGTGCAACTCCCAGCCCCAAGCCGCATCATATGCTATTCTAGAGGGCCCCACAATCCTCAGGAGCAGACATTGTGCAAAAAGATGCAGGGGGCTGTATCAGGAGGAGGTGAAAAAACTAGGTTTCTAGCCGTGGTTTTTTCTTTCTTTCAGATCCAAGCATATCTGAGATGCCACAAGCTACGCTCTGCCTACCTAGTCTCCGTGAAACAAGAAAACACTAGAGCTGTGCAGTTGGTTCAACATGTACGACAGCTGGCTGAAAATAGTGGGGAAGACGTGGTGCAGGCAATTTGCACCCAGTGGCTCGCAGTGCACCACACCAAGCCAAGAAGCTGGCTCACCCAGAGCTCCAAAAAATGATTATCCGCAAGTGACTAGTTATCATGGGTTTGCTTTCTTTAAAGGGAAGAATCGACAGTCGTGCTGATCCAAGCAGCTTAGCCTGCGCATGGCATTAAGCTGGACCAGAGCTGCTCAGATGCCTCTAGTGAAAAGGAAAGGACTGACTTCCTGGAAGTGCCAATCGTGTCTTGGTGATAACCAACTCTTTCTACCTCAGGGGTTTATTCTCTCCTAGCTTCTCAAGTTTTAATGTTTCAGGCTTGCTTCAGCCTTATATTCTTTTCTTACCATTAAGACCAAGGTCTTCAGACATTATTTTATTAATCAACCAAGCAGAATTCAAAGTTTAATGATGTCTTGTGATTTAATGACAAGAAATACTGTTTGACACTCATCCTGCAAAAAATTCAAATTGTAGAGTAATGCACACTTTGTTCATTCCATGTGGAGGAGAGCAATTCTTCACTGCAGTTACTCTTTACAGTCTGATGCATCATTTTATTAAGTGGATGCTGTCCTTTAGTTCAGGAACATAGTGAACCTCATGTTGACCTCATTTGTGTGTCTGCAGTGCTGTCACAGCTACAACCTTAGTATTGCTTAGCTCATTGGATCTGATGTCCAGAAATAGTTTAGAGCTTAAGTAATTGCAGATGGGTACATTTGGCTTCTAGGTTCTCCCAGATTTTGAAGCTTATCCCATTAGGAATTTAAAGCTTATAGAAGCTGCTTTTGCTGTCTCTTCATAACCAAATTTGCACTTTGTCCTGGGTGACAGTCCTTTCTGGCTGGTTGTGGTACTGATATGCTCTTTTCTGGAGTGATGGTTGGAATTTAGTGCTCTTTTTGAATTTAAGGATGTAATCCTGTGCATGTTTACACAGAAAAAAGGCGTGCAGCAGCATACTCTAGCCAGCCAAGCGGGCTGGGATATACGAGGAGATGGAGATGCAGATGCAGGCCTTCTGTCTAAACATGCCCAGGATTGTGCTTCAAGTTACTCTGGTTTTGGGTAGTTACAAACCATGCTGCATGTCTCCCACTCCCCTCAATCTCCTCTCAGAGGCATCTTTGCAAAGGGAAAGTTATCATCTGCTGTGGTGAAGAGCCAAGACTGTTATTTTGTGTCCCCCTTTGCACTGTGTTTTATGCACTTTATGTGATTTGCAGCTCAAAATTCCTTAGCAGCTTATGCCAAGGATCCCTTTCTCACCAGCAAAATCTGTCCTAGACATTGTCTTGCATCATAAGTTCAAGTGATAAGTTCAGCCCTTCTGTTAGAGGGTCATTTCTCATCAGGAGTATAAGGAACAAAAATAAAATCTATTTGGTCAGTTTGGTGGTTTTGCTTCAATTTTGATATATACTTCTGATATATACTTTGATATATACTTCTGAAAGATAAAAAGTTAACACTTAAAACATCAAATATTTTATTTAGTCAAATGTACCACAAAAGTGCAGTACTCATGGCAAACAGAAGCTCCAAGTCAAAATAGATGCAGTTTTACAGCCGGATTTTCATAGAAGGAAATTCCCTTGTCTCCAGTGGAGCAATCTTCTATGTAACAAGATCACAACACCCTGGAAAACAAGTTTGTGTGTTGCATAATAATTTTGTGTTTCACAAAATCTTATTTCCTGTAGCAACAGCTGTGTTACAGCATGTGCAGCACTTAAAGTAGGGAAAAATTATTTGTCCAACAAATGGAGGATTCAAATGTGCTACTGGCCTTGTTTTCTAATGGAGGGAACTGACCATAATGTATGCATGCATTTTGGTTAAATTTCAGCATCCATGTATACACACGTTAAAAAAGATCAGGATGTCTGTTCACATATTAGAAACAAGTGCATCTTAACAGTTGTGTTGTACATATGAAAGAAGTCCCGACTGTATCTCTCCAAGGTCTTGAATTAAATTTTGAATGTATTGGTATCAAATAAACACAAGATGTCTGGCCTTTAGATTGGCCAGGGTCTGTTTTTCCTGGAAAGAATTCTGTAGGAATGTTCACCCATAATTCAGTCCCACAGGATGCCTAAGAGTTCACAGCTGACTTTCCAGAGCTGCTTTGCTGTTTCATCATTGCGTCCTTGAGGTGATACATACGCTGGTTTACAGTCACTGTCATGTAAAGGAGAATGTTTCTGTTAGGAATTTTTTGGACTGCATTAACTTCATTTAAATCTCAGCATAGCAAAAACAATAAAACAACGTAAAAACAAAAATGAGAAAGCTAAATGGAAACATGCACATCTTCATCCCTTGGCCCATCCTACTTGCTAATGCAAGTTAACATTTTACCCTTTTTCCAAATGCAGAATCTGTTTCTCACAAAGGTATAGTTAGTTCCACTTCTGAACACTCACTGTTATCCAAGCACCTCTACAGGATGTTAAATTCTACCTTCACAAACACCATTTGTAGATTTTAACAGTCATTTGTCTTTTATACTGTGTTGCAGTTCTTCAGCCAGCCTGATCCAACAACAATGGAAGCAGGCTATTGGGGTACACATCCCCACTTTGATTGGGAACATGGTGGACAGGTATGCTATGCATATGGCTCCTGAGTATGTACGTTTACCTTCAGAACAAGCAAGGCTGCTGCAGATATGGTACAATCAATGTCAATCTAACCAGAGGGGCTGAATTGAACTTCTAGTCCTAAAGTGCCAATGGGGATTGTCAAAATGGATACAAAATACCAGCAGGCTACTGTTATTAATCTTTTGGACCTGGGGGCCCTCCTTCCTTGGGTGAGTTCTACAATTAGAGGCACAGAAGGTGTAAGCATTGCTATTAGAGAAACTATTTAGAGACCCAAATCCATCCACAATGCAGCTCCAATTTAGCCACATTTTTGCATTCTATTGCTAAAGTGATTATAGGCGGTGGTTGTATCATAGTTCACCTTGCTGAACACACTATGCCGAGGCTATCTGAAAGTTACTTTCAGGTCTTGTGTGCTTGCTAGAACTGGTCCCAGTAGCACTGGAATGATACTGCCTTGAGAACTGAATCAGGTCCCTGCCCTCAAAGCTCAACTCACCTGAAGTACTGCCCACTGACTGACTCCAGCTCCTCTGCCACCGCACAATACACACTGGTCTGAGCACCTTCTACAGGTGTCTTCAACAAGAATGGTATACACTTCCGTAAAGTATCCACTATAGACAAATGACGGGTCAGTTCAGAATAGACTGTGCCTGGATGCAAGGCATTTACAATCACGCCAGTACCTACAAGAAAGGAATTGTTACAGAAAATATTTACAATTATCAGTTGTAAACCACCCTGTGAGCTCTAGCTGTGGGGTGGTATAGAAATAATACCAGCCTCTTCGAAAGCAAAGCTGTTGCTGTTTCTCTCAATCACAACTGACAAAATGATATTGGTTGGTACCTGGAAAATCAGAGCTCACATCAACATACTTTTTTCATGCATTCATACAAAATTACTGATGGGTGTGTATGCTGCAATTATTCGTTCTTGTTAAATTGTTAATCCATTTCCACAGGATGATGGTTGGTCATAGCTGTGTATGGCTGCACATACACAGTGGAAAACAACCTTGATTCCATGTGCTTTGTGTTACAACCCTACTCTCCCTGAGGAACTGTTTGGAGGGCGAGGTCCCTTTCGTTAAAGTTCAAATGCCAAAATAAACTCCCATTGGTTTGGACCAATCCTAGACACATTTACTTGGATGGAGTGCCTGCTCTTCAGCAAGACTCTATTCCACATAAGTGTGCAAAAAATTTCAGATTCAAGGCTCTTGCATCCCTTGTCCAGCATCCCTTACCTTCGCTTTTCATCCAGAAATCTGTGTTCTGCCCAAGTGGGTTCAGGTCAACTTTTGTAATTCTGTTTTGGCTCACAGAGTAGTACCAGCTGAAGCTGTGCTTGAACTCTAGACCCACCCTTTTTTCCACTGTGCGAGTTGTATAAGGCTGTTTTATGTGAGACAGCAACAAAAGGCCTCGTGTTCTTCCAGCTCACCTTGCAGTCGCCTGGCCAGCTCCCGGGTAAACAAGATATTGGCTAGCTTGCTGTGACAGTATGCCAAGCCCCGATTGTAGCACTTCTCACCCTGAAGATCATGGAAGCGAATCCTCCCGCCGTGATGAGCCAGGGAGGACACGTTCACAATGCGGGCCGGTGAAGACTGCTTCAGGCGTTCTATCAGAAGAAATGTTAAAAGAAAGTGCCCTAAAAAGAAAAGAATGACGTGTTAATGTCTACTTACAACTCTATATTCTGAATGGACCAACCCTAAGCACCACACTTGTGGGAATGTCAGAAAGAAATATTGTTATACATAATGAAGCCAATGGGCTATAAAGGCTATGGATTTTTTTTTAAAAGATAGATGCATTTGGTTCTGCCAGCATCTGGTCCCCACTAATTGCACCCATAATAGTCTAATGCAGGATCTATTCTGCTACATTTATGGTCTTTCATCTTCCAAAGGTGATTTGCACATGGAAACCTTTTCATATTGTTCTTTATGCAAAAGGCAGTCTTTACTTAAGATGAAAGACAACCAAAAACCTCATCTGTGCTTGACAGATTTGTGTTCAAAAGATGAGTTTAAACAGATGTCAACATGTTTCTGAGTACTGAGTTCAGGCATTTTAAACCAGGAGGTGCTGGTCTTTGAAGACAGTTTTTTTAAAGTCACAGCAGCCAAATATTAGCCATCTTGCTGTAGCAGAACTCTCATTTTAACACTTGAAGAAATTAAACCAGAAAAGACGGCAAATTAAAGATCCTGTATACCAAGAGGATGGCTAATACTGAGCAGTGCAGTCAAGTGGCTGTGGTCCTCAGGGAAGCCATACAAAAGCAGCGAGTGTTAAGCTGTAAGCAGTTTTGTGTTCCAGCTGGGACAAAGATGTTTTATCAAATTTTGGTCATTTGAGCAGTCAAGTGGCATGACACTCGCAACGTTCCATCACTATAAGCAACATAAACACCTGACATTCTTCTGCCTGAATCCAGCTAAGAAGGACAGGCATATCTTCACATGTATGAAGTGCTTACTTTAAAAAGTGATCAATATGCAGTAATAAGTGAAAGCAGCTAGGGCTGTGCAGATGTGACCACAATCAAAAAACTGATGACTATGTGAATGAGCCATGTGAAAACAAGAGCCTGAAATCCAATTTCATTCCTCCCACCACAACCCTGTGCTTTTTGCATCCTGACCAACATCACAGCAGTGACCACAAACACACCACACCTTTGTTGTAGCTGGACTGGCCAACTGCACTTTTCAAATGATTGTGCTGACTAAGCAGGGCTTCCTCTGTGCCATACATTGTGTCCTTTGTCCTGGACTCTTTCATAGTCACATTAAGACTATGATCTTTCCTATCTTCCTGACACAATAGTTTGTAGATTAGTGTTTCAAAGTCTTCCAAAGAATGTTAGGAACCTAAGGAGCCTTTCTCCTTCCTTCCTGGGAAAAGAGAAAGCTATCCTAGAGTCATCAATTTGAAATGCAAACTCCTGTCAAAAATTCATCAAACCCATGTGTCTAAACCTTACCAAGGTGGTTGACTCCCAGATGCATCTCAAAGCCATCGGCAGTCTTGGAGTAAGGGCACAGCATAACCCCTGCATTGTTAATGAGGATATGGAGCGCTTTCTCTTCTATAAGAAATAACACACAGGACACCACATTAAAGAGGAAGAAAATTCTAGTGCTGCACAAACAGCATCTGTCAGCTCAACTGCTTCATTTCAGAGCCTTCCTTGATCCCTTTATTCTCTCTACTAAGCCAGCAGCCCATTGGACAAGGCCACAATTCTATTTTTCCTTGGCAGAGCAACACTATACATACAGCACAGCAAGTTGTAGAAGAGGCCTGGGTGTAGTTGTTGCTGTTCTTGTTGTTATGTGCCATCAGTCATCTTTAAATGGTGACAGTGTGAATGAGTGCCCTCCACCCTGCTCAGCTCTTGTAAACCCAGGGCTGTGGTTTCCTCTATGGAATCCAGCCGTCTTTTCAGTGATCTTCCTCTTTATCTTCTGCCTTTGACTTTCCCCAGCGTTCCTGTCTTCTCCAGTAAGCCTTGCCTTCCCATGATCTGCCCAAAAACCCAACAGCCTGTGTTGTATTATTTTTGTTTCTAGGGCATGTTCTGGCTTGATTTGACCTGTGACCCACTTGTTCATCTTTCTGTCAGTCCAAGGTATTTGCAAAGCTCTCCTCCAGCATCATGGTCTGAATGCATCAATTTTCTTCCTGTCAGCTTTCACATCTATACGTGGTGGCCAGGAATACAATAGTGTGGATGATCTTGGTCTCCAGTGTAAAGTTTTTACAATTTATATTCTTTCCTAGTTCCTTCAATGTTGCCCTTCCAATTTCTTCTAATTTATTTTTTATTTATTTGGATCACTTATAAGCCACCCCATTTGCAAAAGCATACTTTCTTGGTGATCTCTCTAAATTAATGATTGAACCAAAATATACAAAAGCTTTCACTGCTGACTTTGACAGTAAACTTGCATAATTCTTCTTAATGATGGTGTTTTTTGTTTTGTTTTGTTTTTTGTTTTCTTAGTGTTGGCTGCAGTCCTATTTTTACATGCTCTTCTTTTACCTTAATCAGGAGTAATTTCAATTCTTTGCTGCTTTCTGTCAGGAATATGGTATCATCTGCATATCTTCAGTTACTGATGTGTCTTCCGCCAATTTTCAATCCTTTTCCTCTGATCTTAACCCAGTTCTTTTTGATATGTTCTGCACACAGATTGGGAGATAAAATATTCCCTTTTCTGATGTCTTTGTGTATAGGAAACCATTCTGTTTCTCCATATTCTGCCCTAACAGTAGCTTCTTGTCCATGATACAAAACAAAAATTGTATCTACATTTCATCACATCTTATTTTAATGTTCAGGTATACACCCAATCAGCATCATTTCACCCAAAAGGGATACTCATAGGATCACAATAAACAATATGCTTTGGGCATACCTTTCAGGAAATCCTCCGCAAATTCTCGGATAGACTTTGTATCTGCCAAATCTAACTTCTTAGCAATGACTTGTTCATTTCCTGTCGTGCTCCTGATTTCACAGGCTGCTGCTTCTGCTTTTGCCATATCTCTACAAGCAAGGATGACTCTAGCTCCTGGAATAAGAAAAAGTAGAAAATGGATTAAAAATATGAATGTGGACAGGTTATTAACAAGAGACCAGCAACAAAATGTTGCAGTGTGAAGTGGTTCTGTTCAGGGTGCCAGTCAATCATATTCTCTTCCAAGATAGGCCAATCCATTCTCCCTCCCCCCATAATTTTCTTCCTCAAATCAGTCAAAATTCTGTGACCACTGAGCATGCTCAGTCCTCATTGGGCTATTAGGGGTTGATCGCCTTAATTTTCTAAAAAAGTTTTGTAAACCTTGGAATCTTCCCAAACCTCTTGGTATCTCCCCTCGTGTGTATAATGCCATTTTCACTACTTTGAGAATAAGCTCACTATTAGCATATAGGGCATCTGATTCCTTTCTTTGTTCAACTTTGTATCCATCTGCACTGCTTGTACTTTGGCAGCAATTGATAGGGATGAACAAGGCCAGACCCATTTGCTAGGGCTCTAGCCATGTTTATAAATGTCTGTGGATCCGGCACTCAGCTGGCTGGGCCAAATTCCCAATGCAGTAATGACTGTTCAGAGCTACTGAACTGCTGCCACTCACAGAATGAAATCAAAGTCAGTGCAAGACCTAGACAGGGGTCAGCAACCTACGGCTCCGGAGCCTCAGGTGGCTCTTGAATCCCTCTGTTGTGGCTCCATCACCCAAAATACGCGTCACAGCCGCCGATCTGCCACTGAGGCTCCGAGTTACAAAATACCGATAGGTGATGATGAGGCATCCACTCAGGAACACCTTGCTAGCCGGTTAAGTAAATTGTGACATTGCAGGGAAAGAGTGGAACAAGCTTCCTGCAGGCTCTCATGTTACACCAAACACTGCTGAAAAGATTCTCTTTGTCCAAATGTAATCTCCTTCCTCTGAATGTTAAAAGCTGTGCTTGGGACCTGTCACAATTCACATCCCTTGACTGTTTCTCTGCTAATCAGTCACTAAACACACCTATATCTGTGACTTCCCCTGGTACAGTTATGTACAGTTGTGTATCAGAAGAACATTTATTCTGCTGTTTCTCAGCTCAGTAGTGGTTAAGCTTAATAGCAAAAGGCTATAATATTTCATTTTGGGAAGGACTATGGTGCAGGCAGTTTTTTAAGGATTGCCACAATAAGGTGTAAGGACTGGTCTCGTTGAACTGTTGTCAGTGGACTTTTTCAGGAGACCAGAAGATTAGCCACAATCAGACAGGGAGAAAACCGAGGAGCAGAAGGAAGGAAAAACAGCCCATGAGCAGGGAGCTTTGTGTGGTGGCGACCTGGTGCTCTCTGGCAGCCGGGGTTATGCTGAGAATCAGGCCAGATTTACAAGCTCAGCTGAAAAGCTGTAGTGCAAACTGCTGATAAATTAGTTAACAGAAAGCTGCTCCTTTTTCTGGCACAGTGCCACTATGGCACAGAAAGCAATTGTGTTTTATTCTGATTGCTACAGCCTTAAATGTGGCTGAATGGCTCATTCAGGAACACCTACACATGGTGATGGAAAACCGAGTCCACATGCAAAGTTAAAAACAGAATCACTACAAAAGGCCCAGCCAGCTCAGCCAGTGATCAAGGATTATAGGTGTTGGCCAAAAATATCTGGAGGACACAAGGCTGGCTATCCTGATGCCTGAATGGCTAAAAGGCAAAGACATTTCTATAGCTTTTGCTTTAACATTTAGAACACCTTAGAAAAAATTAGTGAAGGTGAACCCTAATCATATTCTCCTAGCAATGCTTTTATTGCATTCAAAAACAAGAAGCAACAAGTTAAATCTTCAATGCAGATCAGGATGCCTCCCCAACTTGGTGCTCTCCAGTTATGTTGGACTGCAACTCCTATCATTCCCAAGCACTAACCATGATGGGAGTTGTAGTCCAATAATAAATGGTAAACACCAGGTTGAAGAAGACTGATACAAATGGCTGCCTTATGTACAATTCCTTCTCCTTAACAAAGGCTTGTTACGGGGGTAGCGGGGACAACTGCTGTTGGGTGGTGATAAACAACTTGCCTCTTCCTGCAAGGTCTCTGGCTGTTTCTTTCCCTATGCCAGTGTTGGCCCCTGTGATCACTACGACTTTTCCATTCAGCTTCGCTGTAGATTTGCACATTCCTCCCGCAATAAACTTCCTATAAAAATCAGAGACATCAAGAAGTCATACATTAAAGTATTAAAATAATGAGGTACTCTAGTTCTATGCTAAATACAGTCCAGTCTAGTGCTGCCTGCTTATCCCCATTACTAAAAGCCAAGCAATTCAATGCACTTTAACAACACTAGTCCCCAAGATGCAGGTGGTTCCAAACACATTTACCTCCATAATTCTTTCAAAAACTTGTAAGATACACTTCTATCTTTTTGCTGGGGAAAAGGTAGGATTAAGAGAGAAACCTTTTTGCTTATTAGGTCCCTGTGGAAATTGCAAAAAGATCTCCACAATTTATTATGTATTTTAAGGTTGTAAAATCTTATATTACAAGTAATGAGCCATGAGTAAAGGGCTAGAATCCACCTGGATGCAATCTGAATCCACAAGGTCCAGTACTATAGTCCTGAGATGTGGCATTCACGATTCTATGCCATTCATGTCTCTCATAATTTCAATCCAGCTCTTGGCTTCAAAGTTGAGGGCCCCTTCAGATTTTTCTCACACAGTGTTTTCTCACCCTATCTCGAGGTCATGATTTCACCGCACATGGGATGGGGACTCTTGCTCTCCCCATCAAATCTGTGTTTTACTTATGGTAAATCACCCAGCACCCACACACACTGCCACATGGAAGCCACACCTCTGAGATGCAATCCTAGTGGGATATACATGAGCACATCACAGCAATATGGGTGGCATCCATAAGTGATAAAGACCTATTTCCCAGTCAGATCCAGATAGCTGTAATGTTTGCATTCCCGTACACTCCTTGGCAAGTAGAATTGCACCATATCATACCATCTTATATTTGTACAGCCTTGATACTTATTACCTTCTTGGAGTTACTGATTAAAGTGCCCTTTTTTACTGATAAAAAGTATCCTCGTGGTTCCTATTCTCTACATGGGGTGATGTGGGGGTTACTATAATCACTCCCTTCTCTCTTTTCCCTTTCTGTGGACAAAGAGACCTCTTCCACAATAAAAAGATAAAAATCTAATAGCTGCACCCCAGCTCACAATAAAAATAATACAGAGCAATTAGTTTTTAATACCTAGTTGTACTGAATTGCAGTGGTCAAAGCTGCAAGGGAGAATTTTCTAACTAAAACAGCAAGAAATATTTCCTAAATTGGACATCATATAAGAAGTTTCTCGACTATGTTGGCTGGCTGTAATAGGGAGCATGTCACCATACCAAGTGCTCCATGCCACTCAAGTTTAATTTCACTTTCATTTGATTGTGAAACAGCAGTGCTTAAACAACACTAACAAAGATATAATTGTGAAAACAGCATTTTTATTTTTATTTTCATTTAACCAGCTGATTCATGAAAGATTTTTTTAAAGCAAAGTTGTATCTTCACAATTACCATCCTGCAGGTAGAACTGTTTCCACAAGTTCCTATACAGTACAAAAATGAGAAAATTAGTTTGTATAGTACAGAGATAATAAACTATTGCTGACTTAATTTGGCAATGATGACCACAATATGACTGTGAACAGGTATCATCCTTGCCTTCTTTTTGGCACCAGGTGATAATCCTTTTTATTTTCCAATTATCATCATAGGTTTGTAATGATATTTCAAATATTGTTTATTATCTGCTGCTGTGCCACAGGGTTAGCTTATTTCCTGTGCTGTTATCCCGTTGTTTTATCGTCTTATTATTTAATGTGAATATTCATTGAATGCATATATAACATTAATAATTGTAAGAGTCTCACAGAGACTGTGGGCTATGAGTAATATATAATTTCAATAAATAAAGCAAGCAAGCAAGCAAGCATGACTGGGGAACATTTGGAGAAAAGATACTGCAGGTTACATGGGGTCAGTAGAATTAGTATTAACAGTGTATTCCGTGGGTATGTGATTTATTTTTAGCGCCTCTTTCCAAAACAAGTTATTTTTACAGCAAATTTTTAAAAATCTAGCCCATAGACACACAAAAGACAATGGGATTCCTAGGCCATAATTAATTAGTTGTGGGATATATTTCTTCTAAGAAATTCAAGAGTCATAATCTGTGAACTGGTTCAGGGAATTAGACAAACTAGCTCCAAAAGACTTTGCAAGTCTCTCATTTGTACTTAGGATCTGATGAGGATTCATCTTCACAATACATTTTCTAGTTACAGGAACACTCCCTTTCGCAGTGTCTCAATTACACGAGCGTCTGCATCTGTTGAATGTCTGCCTGTCAGAGGTACAAAGGCTGCGTTTAGCACAAACGTGCCAGCCACGACCGCCCCTTCTCACCCTTTTTAAAGCGCATGCAGCCGGACAGCCCCTGCCAAGTAGAGCCAGATGCGCCAAAGCAGAAACAGCCAAACCAGCCACACAAAGATGGTTTCGTCAAAACGGAGAAGTCTGAGGAGTGCTAAGACAGACGCACTGAACAGATTTAATTCCGATTAAAACCTCGTAATATAGCGTGTTACTTCAGCACCAGCAGTACGCAAAATTAAGTTCCTTGAGAAAGGCACTCTGCAAAGTGCTCGCTTCACCCACGTCCTCCCCCCGCAGGAGTTTAAAACCCTACAGTGACCCTACAGTCCCACTCACGCGTTTCAAGCCCGCCACTGCACCAACCTGATGTAAGGAGCTACCAGGAATATCAGAAGGGGAAGAGTTGCAGACAGCGCTAGCACGGACCCCAGAAAGCCCAGCATTGTTACGCCTTGTGCTCCCCTCTCGCCAGAGAAATTGCTCAGCAAGGCAGAAAGGCAGGCGCGAAGCGAGGCAGGATGGGGAGAGCGAGGCTTCCGAGCCTGGGCCAATAGCGACAGAGTCCGTTCATCGAACGACGTAGAGAGAGAGCGTTTAGGCGCTCACGGTCTCAATTTCCGGTGATTTTCGAAAGTGCTTGGATTCAGGGTGGATTCTGAGCGGTGTTGCTGCGACTCCTAGGGTTCGTAACACTTTGCCTTGAAATGAGACTTGAACGTGCCGGCAAACTGTTTTGCCAGCAAGTGATTACCCCGGTGCCCCCTGAGAAAACAGATCCATTTTAAGGTGGAAATGCCTGTATGGATCGAGAAAGAGGGTGTACATCACAGACACAAATACTGAAACCTGAAAAGACGATTTATGCAGGGCCGTCTTAACAGCATTGTGGGCCACGGGCAAAGCAGCGTACTGGGGCCCCTGTGACAACTACAACTACTGTTAATTTTGGAAGTTTTCCAATTGTCCAAGGGTTAACATACACTGATTAGTATGGGGCCCACGGGCAAGTGCCCATCAGCCCCATGCGTTAAGACGGCCCTGGATTTATGTGTTGCTTTCGCCGACAGCATCGTTTATTTTCTCTAGCGAAAGAGTGACAGTGTGCCTAGGGAATTGTTAACTGGGAAAGTCAGCATTTTAGCAATTGGGCAGCTGTAGCTTCCTCACGTAAAAACAGAAACTCTTGCTTTTTATAACCCCGGCGCTGTATCTTCTGGGAAATATGTAGGATTTTTGCCTTCTGTCATTCCATCAATTAAATCATAGAAGAGTTGGAAGGGACCAAGAAGGCCATCGGTCCAAGCCCCTTCAGTTACAGGTCACCAATTTACATCCTTCCACTCAAATGGCTGTCCAGTTTTTTTTTTTAAAGTCTCCAGGGTAGGAGAGTCCACTTCCTCTCTAGAAAGCTGGTTCCACTGTTCTATTGCTCTGACAATGAGAAAGCTTTTCCTGATATTTAGCTGAATCTGGGTTGTTGCAGCTTGAAGTATTCTGTCTTACACTCTGGTATCAGTGAGAAGAGATCCTGACCTTGCTCTTTGTGACCGCCTTTGAGGTACTTATAGAGGGGTGCCATGTCCCCCTGCAGTCTCCTCTTCTCAAAATTGAACATGCCCAATTCTTTCAAAAAGCTCCATCCCACTTCCAAAATTGCAACGACTCCTGTGAAGGTTCAAATCCTTCCACATTTTAAAAAAATGCATAATCAGCACATAAATTCCAAATCCATCAAAAATATTTAATATACCCCTTTTCACTTTAATATCATAAACTGCTTTATTTTTGTTGTTGTTGTTACCTCAGACATGCAGGTGATACCACTCCAATGGCAGAAAATGAAGAATTAAAGAGCCTCTTGAAGAGGGTGAAAAAGGAGAGTGCAAAAGTTGGCTTGAAACTCAACATTAAGAAAACTAAGATCATGGCATTTGGTCCTATCACTTCCTGGAAAATAGATGGGGGTAGTGACAGATTTTAGTTTCCTGGGCTCCAAGATCACCATAGATGGGGACTGCAGCCAAGAAATTAAAAGACGCTTGCTCCTGGGGAGGAAAGCTATGGCAAATCTAGACAGCATCCTAAAAATCAGAGACATCACCCTGCTAACAAAAGTGCGTATAGTCAAGGCTATGGTTTTTCACAGTTGTAATGTATGGCTGTGAGAGTTGGACCATAAGGAAGGCTGAGTGCCAAAGAATTGACACCTTTGAATTGTAGTGTTGGAGAAGACTCCTGAGAGTCCTGTGTACTGCGAAGAGATCAAATCAGTCAACCCTAAAGGAAATCAACCCTGACTGCTCTTTAGAAGGTCAGGTACTAAAGCTGAAGCTCAAATACTTCGGCCACCTAATGAGAAGGAAGGACTCATTGGAAAAGACCCTGATGCTGGGAATGATTGAAGGCAAAAGGAGAAGGGGATGGCAGAGTTGAGGTGGCTGAATGGGGACACTGGAGAGGTGGGTGTGGGGTTCTCCTATCCTCCGGGGGATGATAGGGGGCAGGTGAGCCTGGAGGAATGTTGTCGATGGGGTCATGATGGGTTGGATGCAACTTAGCAACTAATAACAACAACAACATTGTGAGCTCAGGACATATTTCAATATTTAAACTTAATATTTTACTACTGTCTTTGAAAACCTCTTTCCAAAAAATTTCATTATGTATTTGCATTCCCACCACATATGAAAATATGTACCCACTCCATGACCACAATGCCAACATAAATTGAAATATTTGCCATTCATATAATTTTTATTGGGGTTAAGAACCATTTCCATATTAATTAGCTTTTAAAGATCTTTTATTCTTACTGACATACATTTTACTGTCCTCTTAGCTCAAGTATTTTCCTAATCTTCATTACTAATATCACTTCTCATATCTATTTCCCATGTTGCTTTGAGTGGATCATATTGATCTTCATCTTATAATAATATAAAGTTTACTTACTATCCCTATATTGTCTTGTTTTTCCTTTTTTGACAATCATATCTTCAAATTTAGTATAATCTCTACATCTGCCTCCTTTTTTTTGGCTCTAGCCTCTTGGCAGAGCAGCAGAGGCACAGGCTGGGAGAGAGCTCTGAGTGGCCAGGGGAATGGCGAAGGCAAGGCAGGAGCTGGGCAGGGGAGCAGAGGGCCAGGAGCAGCGGAAAGGGGCGGGGCCAGAGAGGCTAGAGGGGCCAGGAGGAAGCGGACAGGCGGGGCCACCGGCCTGAGGGGCTGATAAGGCGTCGTCCCTTGTCTGCGTCCCTTAGCTGTGGCCCAGGCTGCCCGGGGACTCCCTTCCCTGAGACACAGAGGTTTGTTTGCTTGTGCTGTGCTTTTTCTTCCAATTTAAATTTAAGTTTATTTTATTCTTGTGTGTGTGTGTGCGAGTGGGTTTTCGTCTGGGATAACTGGGCGAGTTAGAGGAACTACAGAGCTAACAAGACAGGGGACAAAAGTAAGGTCTCGGAAGGGATACCGATGGTAAACCAGGAGATGGCCTTGGTGGGAGTCACGGGTGTTGCTGTCTGCTGTGACAGCTGCGACATGTTCGCCCTTCTCCCCCAGGAGAGGCAGGGATACACTTGCCCTCGGTGCAAGATGGTGATCCTGCTAGAAGAGGAGGTGAGGTGCCTGAGGGCCGAGAGAGCTCTCCAGCCCCCCCCACCCGGAGCCGCCCCCCTCTGGACAGAGGGTTGAGGGAGAGGCCACGGGAGGAGCAGCTGCGGAAACATGGAGGCATGTCACCCACAGGAGGAGGAGGCCAACACGGCCCCCTCCTTCTCCTGCATCAATCTGGAGCTGGGAAACAGGTTCTCTCCACTTGGGGAGGCTGGGGCTGATGAGGCCTTGGGGGACCAGCAGGACCCCAAGCCTGGGACGTCAGGTGGCAAGGGGGCCGCTGCAGGAGAGGTGAGGGCCAGGGCACGGCTGCCCACCAGCACCGGGAAGGTATGGCGGTGGGTGATTGTTGTTGGGGACTCCCTGCTGAGGGGCACTGAGCCGGCGGTGTGCCGCCCCAACCTGGAGACAAGGGAGGTTTGCTGCCTGCCAGACGCACACATCCGGCATGTGATGGACAGAGTGCAGCATCTGGTTCACTCCGGGGGTCACCAGCCGCTCCTTGTGATCCATGTGGGCACAAACGATGTGGCCAGGCAGGGTGTGGTTGGGACCACCAGGGACTTTGAGGCCTTGGGGAAGAAACTCAGGGAGCTGAAGGCCCAAGTGGCCTCTCGTCAATCTTACCTGTCCGGGGATTTGGGCGAGGAAGGGACAGGAGGGCCTCCGAGGTGAACGACTGGCTTAGGGTGTGGTGCCAGAAGGAACGCTTCGGGTTCCTCGACCACGGCACTCATTTTCTTGCCAATGGACTTCTGGCAAGGGACGGGTTACACCTCACGAGGATGGGGAAAAGGTCCTTTGGAGATGATGTAGTGAGCTTCGTCCAGAAGATTTTAAACTGAGCCGGGGGGGGGGGTTCAGGCCCCCCAGGAACGTGTCTGCACTGGACAAGTGTGGGGGGAGGATCAGGGCTCTGGGAGCAGGGTTTTAGAGATACTGCAGGGACTGACAGGACTCCTTCAGAGAGGGGCCAGGTATTAGGGAGGATGGGAGGAAGGAGGAGGCTGGGAACTCCAAGGAAAGGAAGCAGTGGGAAGGAATTGAGGTGCATGTACACCAATGCTAGGAGCATGGGTAATAAGCAGGAAGAGCTTGAAGCTCTCCTGGGAATAGGAGGATATGATCTGGTGGAATCACAGAAACTTGGTGGGATGAAAGGCAAGTCTGGAATGTGAACATAGAAGGGTATCACCTTTTTAGAAAGGACAGGAAGGGAAAGAGAGGTGGGGGCATGGCTTAATACGTCAGGGAAGGGATAGGATGCAGTGAGATAGAATGCAGCACAGATGGGGATTCGGCAGAGGCAGTCTGGGTGAAACTTAGGGGTTTTGACAGGGAAAGAGACCTGACAGTGGGGGTATGTTATTGCCCTCCAGGTCAACTTGAGACCCTGGATGATGTCCTGACAGGCCAGATTCTAAGGATATCTCGGGGGATAGACACAGTAATTATGGGAGATTTCAATCTCCCGAATATTACTTGGGAGACTCACTCAGCGGTGACAGCCAGGTCACATCGTTTCCTAGAAGCTATAGAGGGAGCGTTTTTCACACAGAGGGTCCGAGAGGCGACGAGGGGGGGGAACATCCTTGACTTGGTCTTGACCAATAGGGAGGAGCTGATAGATGAAGTACAGATTAGGGGAGTTCTGGATGCGAGTGATCACTCCATCCTTTGCTTTGAGATCAGGGGACTGTGGACGGGCAGCAGGTCGAGCACTAGAAGCTGGGACTTCAAGAGGGCCAACTTTGGCCAACTAAAGGCCAGACTGGGGAAAGTCTCCTGGGATAGGTTACTGGAAGGTAAGCAAGTTGAGGAGGGGTGGGTAGCACTCAAAAGGGAGGTTTTGGAGGTGCAAGCCTTGACGATA